TCAAATCTGTAACAAAACGCTGGTGACACACTCAGCAAAATAGCGTAAACTGTATTTTTGAGTTCAACACATTATAAAGAAATACGTATTAAAGAGTGAGGAGAAATAAATTTCCCTTCCTATACGAAGTAGTACCGATCCACTTCGCTTTCCTGTGACTTCGAAGGCCATCTCAGTCTGGGGCAACCAGCCCAGACCGGGGTTCCAGACGTTTAATGTTTCATCTGTATGTTCATATGCGGGGTGGCATCAGTAGTCAAGCTGATTACTACTGCGAGGCAGTCTTTACCTCGCCTAGAAACAGAAGTTGCGCTCTATGCCACCAACGGTTTCAGGGACCAGTGCCCACTCGGTGTGCACAGTCACGCTTACATAAGAAACCCTACCGTGGTTTCTGTGAAACTTCAGATTACCATGTATGTTACATACTGCCGACCAATGTCAAAATCAGACGCCGCTGCTAGATCTGTTCACGTATTTTCATGATGGCCCCCTGGCGACCAAAAGTCATGAAGACTCTTCCTGCACCTCTGCCTTCTGGGAGAGTGTTATCGATTTCGGAATCAGAGGCCCGCCACGAATTTGTTCTGATCTCACCATATTTAAAAAGCCTTTCTTATCATCCTTGAGCTTATAGTCGTTGCTCTGCTTCAGATGTGACAGAGACTCGATATCGTGGTTGCGATAGGAGTACACCTGCGCCTTGCGGTTGCTTCCCCTCTGAGTCGAGCTTGAACGTGTTGTCAACGTTGATAGTAGAGACCGAAGACTCTAATAATGCTTAGAGTTGACAATGGTCATTCTCCATAATGCTGATGTCGCGGATCCGCAGCCAACAATGATGGCCACGTAAGCCTCGACACAACTGGTAGAGGCGAGATTTAGTAATCTGTACGACGCGTCGTCAACGAACATATCAAACTTACATGAAGATATAGAATTTTGCCAGGTTCCAAATCGAGTCCACCTTGCGCCAATTAAACCACGCGGTAGTACAAAGATGATACGCTGGCAACAACCGCGAAACTAGCAGTTATGAAAACCGCAGTGAGGCCCAACTTATTCCTGTACGGCAGATAGAGATCAAGGACTGTTGAAAGCGGTAGCACAAGAATGTAGACATTCATGATCACGCCGAAAAGTTCCTACACGATTGCAAACACACTAATGACTTAACACTTCTGATGGAGTTCGAGATCCCAGCCTTGTCCGTGACGAGGAGTGCAGAAGTAGCTGAATTTTGGTACGTTCACTTCACCCAACAGACCCGAACGTGAAGGCCAATCCGAAATAGATAGAAAATTGTATAGTTTCGTGGACTTGATACGCATGTTGTCATCCCAAGTACGAATATCCTTAAGTATGTTGGCTTCAGTCCTTGGTAGCTGCGAATATAAAGAAGATAGGAAGCTACGGACAAGCATCTCAACTAAGATTAGGTACTAATCGGGAAAATCGCTTACAAGCTTGTCAGCACAGAGCTCGTAGTAATGATTGCCATGGTAATACCTATTCCCGTGACGATAGGAGCGAGCGTAGAGGGATTGCCGAAGGTCGATTTTATTGTTGGATTGAACTGTAAAGGGATCTTCGAGATATCGATCTCTGATGGTACTGGGTTGACCATGACTGCTCACTGTACGTATTAAGGCGGTAGATGGAGAAACCAGTTCGAGATTGCCAAAACTGTTGGTGGAAAGGTAGGCCCGATAGCTGTGTTTTATATACAAGCTTGACAAGACCCTGTTCGACATCACACTAAGACCGCATTTCATAAAATAAACCAAATCAAACGCTTGGCGGATGAACCAAATTCGTGCTTTTCTTTTGTAGTCACGACAGAAAGGTCTTTTATTTTGAAATTATCAGGAGTTATTTTTTGTGAAAGGAGACAAGTCTTGGCGGACTCGTTTTGTGAGATGAAAAATCCTTGATAGTCCTCTGAACAACTTACCAGTAGAAAAACGTCTTGGCAGACTCTGTTTGCGAGAGGAAAATCCTTGACGGCCCTCCTAACAAAACCGCAGAGAAATTTCTTGGCAGCGTCTGTTCGTGAGATGAAGACCCTTGACAGTCCACCTAGCAAATTGAACCGTAGAGACATTTAATGTCTTGGCAGACTCTCTTATTGAGATGAAAACCCAACACAGTCCTCTTGACGAAACAGTAGAGAAATGCCTTGGCGGACTCTCGTCATGAGATGAAAATCCTTGACAGTCCTGCTGTTGGACCAAAAGACCGCAGGCCCCAGAGGACCGATAAAAAGCTTATGTCTGACACCTCCTAACAAAATATTACTCACTTACATTTGCCTCTATCTGACAACAAGTCAAGTCAAACCATACCTGGGACTAGATAAGCAAATCAAACGAGGGTCATGATTTGGTTTATTTGATATGATGGGTACACTGCTTCGGAGTCTACGTTAGGCCTAGAGCCTGGGGCTGAATGTGGATTAAGGAGTCTTTCTGCTGTGCCTCATGAAGGAGGGGGAGGAGGAGCGGATTTATTGTTGGGACTGGGCTGATGTTCCGCTGGCCTGAGTAGTAGCTCTTCCATTGGGGTTGGAGGTGGGAGTGTGTGCTTCCGCTCTGCCGGTTTATCGGTCAGCGGTGGGTTTCTCAGGCGAGTTTGCCGACGATGTGGCATCAGTATAGCCAGCCCTTAACTTCAATGAAGGAACAACGCTTCGATTGGGACTTGCAACAGGGCTGGCTTCTTTATGTGCAGCTCCATCATTGCGATCGAAAGTCGCTCTTGGGTCTGCGCCGGGTTGACGGCCGAGACCTGTTGCATCCGTGCTGCCGATGGGATGGCCGGCTTCCCCTGTATACTGAAGGGAGCTCTGTTGGTTGATGTGCTGGATGCCGACTTCTCTGCTGTCGCGAAGAACAGTTCCTCCAGCAGCCTCCCTCTTGCATTTGAGGCCAGCCCTTCCGCTGCCCTGTCGCACAGCATCTCTTCTTGCGCGGAGACCACCAGCTCCGTCACTAGATGGGAGCGCCTCTTCCTTCGCCGAAACGCTCTCCTTGGGGGTCAAAATGTATTGCTCTACGTGCTGGGGAACCGGGGGGTGGTGACCCATGGGATTTTAATTTTGCGCCCCAAGGTCGGTGGAAAAGGAGTGGAGACCGAAACTCAGTGAGCAGGCAAGGTAGTACAAGTCTAGGCTATCAGTATCACATAAGTTGCCAGCCATGCATGGACATCTGACATGCAGAAAAACAGTGAACTGATACGATAGCCATGAGCTTGCCCACCACAAGTGGTGATATGCTCTATGCTCTGTACTATAACAGCTCAATCTAGTCAATACTCCTCTCCGTGTCCCAGGCTATGCAACAGGGCGTAGCATGGACAAGATCTATTTTTGTGCATGCCGAAATGAGTGGACGAGAACCAGTAAATCCGCTTTCGTGATGTAGCTTCTTCGACCCAGTTACACATTTTCGGCATCCAAGAGTCGGCAGGATCCTGACTCAGGACCTCCGGACCCGGCAGCCTGTAGTAACAATGCCTAAGATAGCATGAAACTCTTCCAGTCACAGCCTCGTGTCAGAACGTATAAGCGCCTACTGGCTAGTTATTCTCCGCGGTAATCCCTGCGTATTGCCTGCTTTTGATTGATCAAATCCTACTGTGATTTCGTAGCTAATATCGCTGTACCGTACAATCTGTACGTATATTTACGCAGGCAGCTCCTTGATAGTCAATACAACTTTCTTTTTACACCCAACCGCACACTCTAGGGAGCAGGTCAAACACCTCGAGACCACCTGAGGACGGAGGTTTGGATATTGAGTCTATTCCCCCTTTGGAAAATTTGGCTGGTAATTAACACAATCTTTTTACTCCGTACTACTAATACAGTAACGGCTGTCGTGATCCCAATCTCTCGATTCTTCAATAGACGGAAACGAAACATGAACGGTAATGTTGTCTAGATGTAGAATCAAATCCACCGCATGATCTGATTGTCTACTGCACGGAACAATGCTCTCTCAACAAGGTTGTCGTTATTGCCTGCGCCACCCGATAGTATCAAATGGCCAAATGGTTACGCTCCCATCGTCAAGGGAGACATCAAGCTTGCTCCTGGAAACGTTGAATATGAGGTATAGCCAAGGTTATATCCCCCAAACAGGCCATTTCTGCTCTTTATTGCTTGCTGATATGACGATGCTGACGATACGGGCTTTATGCTATATTGGGATCTCGACAGCCTCATTTCAAGAGCGTGCTTTCATTCTTGGTTGTCTTGCAAGCAATTGAAAATCCTGACTATAGGTGAGCCATGCCTAAATCAACTACTAATGTCTGCTTGGACATAGTGATGATCTTGTGCCAGTCAGCGATAAAGGGATGCGAAGCTGAAGAAGAGGAGAGATAAGGCCCGTGATTGAGTCGCTCAAGAAGGCCTATGGATCCTCATCATTTCCAGCCTGTGATTGCGTCTTTCGATGGATGGAGGAGGTAGGACTGGTCGCCCTGATACTGACAGCCCGGACTCCGAGACCCTGGACGGCGGAGCCTGGTCTTGGGGCTGGTTTTCCACATTGAATAAGCAGCCACTTGGATTTCCTTCGTATCCAGGACCTACGCCATCACACAACAGTAAGAGATCTGAGGAAGTATTGAGCATGTCCTAGACAAACGGCGCACAGACGTTAGCAGGCGCTACGCACGACCTCGAGGTGATTAAAACATTGAGGCTATGACAAAACTCACATCAGCACTGCTAGGTTCCCGTGGTCGATAACCTCCGGTTCCAGGGGCGAAACGACGAGGATCAAACCGATCCTGATCGACGGGACTGGTATGGATTCCTAGAATACGAAGATCTCCTTCGAGGACATTGATCTTGTATTGTCCATCTTCGATTGTTTTATGAATGTGTGTACGTATCTGATGGGCATTCATTCCTTGGTATCGCGGATCTGTTAATGGTCGACCATCATCAAGACATGCAAGATCATACATTGCTTTCTCAACTAATTCTGTCAGTATCTCAATATCTCGAGTGTACAGAATCTCCATGCAACTGGCGTTGTCAGAAAGAGGACTATCGGTGTGTGCAGTCCCAGTATTGGCAGCTCCACCTGTTGCAACCTCGTTTCTGGGAATATTGCTTTTGGAACGCTCAGAGGTCTGTGACCCACCAATAACGGCCTCGCTACTGGGTTCCTGGGTCGTCCCTCTCGTTGGTGTTGGTCCAAATACGCGAGGATGCATTTGACGGATCGTCATGCCATGCCTTAATGGTACGGAGGGTTTCGGTAAGGACGACCGAGGATAAGAACGTGAAGGGATCACCGGCATAAGGCTATGAGGTGGTACCGATAGTCTATTGAAAGGTCTCAATGGAATTGGTGGCATGAGCTGACCAGATGGTACTGATTCCTGGTTAGTAACACGACGAGGGGGGCGCGGAGGAGGTGGCGGCATGAGAGCGCGAGCTGATGCTTCTGACAACGATTGTACTGCTGCCAATGGTTGCGCTCCTGCCGAAGAAAAAGTAGCAGCTCCATATCTGCCGAAATCTGTTCCTAAAGTCCTTGGGCCAATGCTCGTTGTGCTAGTGCGAGATGGGTCAAGCTGAGGCAGGCTTTGATATTGTTGAAGAGGATTTCGAGAAAAGATCCGAGGTCGTCGACGGGGTTCTTGCGGAGTGATATCGGACATGATAGAAGGACAAGCTCGCTATGCAGGAGCAAGGGGTACGGTTTGTATATAGAACAGGGGGGTTTCCTACGAAAGAATGGATTTGGCACCAGGAATAGCTGAAGATGTGCTGCTTCTCACCTCGGTCATGTGTTGATAAATAGCTGCTCTGTGATGATGGAATACTAATATCAGGGGGGGGAATGTCCAGATAAAAGTCTAGATACGTATCTGTTGCCTTCTCAATCGGGATATCAGAGGGACCGGTCTCATGTTCAAAGAATATGGCGCAAGCATTGAGTGTAGCATGTAACCTACCGTCTGCGTGCTACCCTCTAATGCCAAGCTGAAACCCGATATCAACGGCTTAGCATCTGTCCATCGTCAAGCAGATACGATGCGACATCCGTGTATGGAAAACGCTAGCCTGATTGGGTCCCCCTTTAATAAGGGGAAAGGTTGCCGAGAAGGTCTCAAGAACTCGGAAATGCCGTAGGTCATGTTGACGTCCTGGTTAACACCGGCATGATAAGATTGTGTTACCTCCACAACCCATTTTGCGGAGAGCAGGATCTATGCATTCTTGATGCGAAGTCGTTGTGGAGTTGACGCGCTTCGCGTTTCGAATAAAGCTCTAGCTTGGATAGGCTCGGAAGATGTTGGGCCGTAGTTGTGGACGCCAAGTAATGAATCTGCATCATCTGATTCCACAGTGTGTCCATCAAAATCAAATTTGTCAAACAAATCAAATCAAATCGGTGCTTTGGTCAAAGCAAATCGGCCTCTGTGGATTTGACAAATTAGACGAACTGAAGTCTTGGCAGAAAGGTCTCTTCAGGTTATTTTGAAATATTCATGTTTTCGATGGAACAATAATAGTCTTGGCGGACGCTTGATCTGGACGGGAATTCACTGGCAAGTTGTCAGACGTGACTACGCGTTACCCCCGCGTTTTGCGTTTTGCCTGCTTTTAATTGGTCATTTCCGCCACAGTCTCCTTGCTAGTTTCGCTGCAAATTGTACTCATTCCTGCGCGCCTTGCGCCCTTTTGAGAGAGAACAGGGCCATCTCCATGTACTCTAGCATAAAGATAGTACCGAGTGCCTTCTAGCGCTGAAAAGAAAGGTATTTTTGATTTGCCAAATGTGAAAAAAAAACGGCCTCAGTCACTAACTTCGTTGGAAAAGTTATCATATTATTTACTCCGACCTACGGCGGACTATTACGTGCTAGAGCCCAAATCAAATTTTTCGGAAATTGGGCTCTAGCACGTAATAGTCCGCCGTACCGACCGACGAGAGGAGGACGTAATGGTACTTTATCTGCATACTGCTTAGGATCGTTGACTTACACGAATTCCATGCTTTCAAGGTCGAATAATCTTTCCTCCGATCACACATTCCCCAGTGTTCTCCAGCTGTTCTATGACCCGGCTCAATTGTACTATGTGAGGATCATATTTTTCATAGAACTTCCAACCATCGTACCGCAGCGTACGATACAATTTTAGGTGCGCTCTCAAGAAGGGCATGTAATCCTTTGGGTCCGGCACCCGCTTGAATAACTTTATGAGGTGTTCATCGAGTGGACCATCTTCTTGCGAGTGGTCGTCAGAGGACGGTGCGGCGTTGATGTTACCATTGCGTGCTCGATTATGTCTTGCGGCCGTGGTCCCTCCCATGGATGTTGATGGAGGAGGTAGTGGTCTGCTTAGTCCTGCTTTGGTGATCTGCCTGGTAGAGAAAGAGGAGGATGATTTCGCTGCTCTTGCCACTGTTTGGGTGGAGGCCCGGGGTCGCCGATCTTGTTGTGCTGTTGAAGTGCTTTCCACCCCCTTCACAGTCAGAACAGACTCTGAGAGTCTATGAAGCATGATATCAGATTTCTGCTTGTGATGTACTTTTCACCGGTGTCTTGTGGGCGTGTCTCCAGTCACTCTAGATGTTGTGAGTGGCAATCTTGACACACAACTTGAACTACTACTAGTAGTAATTGACGGATACATACTTGCGCATCCAAGCTTTGTAGTAAGCCGCGGACTTATGATTGATCCGAGTTTTGGGTTGAAACCTTCCGTACGGAGTACACCGAAACACTCAAGCTCAGGTGCATCCGAAACCGGACAGCAAGAGATTCGCCAATTCCGTTGACGTAATCTCCCGTAAGACTTTGTAACGGAGACAGTCAAGAAGATATGGTGAGTAAGAAGTCGCGAGTCTACCAATCTGGTAAGGGGGCTTCCATCACTGCTAGTAGCAAAGATGATGATAAGAGGTTCCCATCCTTAATCCCTTTAACTAGCTGTAGAACGCCATTTCGTAGATGTTGAATTCGAGGGCCAATTGATACCAGCCCCTTCACCCAGCTAGATAACAGCCATCTTCTAGTAGTTATATTAGATAGCCCCACGGAGTACTGGCCCCTCGATCTAGGAGGGGGGGGACAATCCATTCTGTCGATCCAACTAATTCGGTTAGGCTGTGTAACAAGCCTAGGTAAGCTGACGCCGCTTCAAGGGCTGACCTACCGCTAGTTAAATAATGACGCTGTTTTAAGGGTCCAGCCAGCTCGAAACGTTGAACGACTACTAACCGGTAGAACGCAAGTTCAAGTTCATTAAGAATCTGTCTCCTCCAACATACAAAGCCAATCCAGAAATATCTGTCATCATTCCTCCTGACGAGCATGTATCAGATGCTTTTTTGAGCGCAAGGTATACGAGCTGTTCCGAACTGAGATATCAGGGGTCAAGATCGCGACAGATGTTGATCATGCCCTGCTGTAACCTGTGGTTGTTTGACCACATCTTTCATCTCCTTGTGCTTCGGCCGCTTAAAATCTGTGGGGAAGCACCTTGCTAACTGTACTTGGACCTCTCCCTTGTTTGAGCTTCGAAGACCAGAAGCTGTCAGGCATGAGCTTCAGCATGTAGGCATAAATTCAATAACATCGACCTCAAACTGCAGTAAGCCACGCTTCTCACGGAGAAATGAAATGAGTCCCTGTCCTCCCTACCCTGCAGATCGAACAAGTGAATAGTATCCCCCTTCTGACTTCGCATATCAACCACACTTCCTTGTTAATCTGTCGTCAAAAGCCATCAGTGACACTCAGTGTGACCAGAATGCCATATTAGTACTTACCAGAGGTTTTCCTTAGAACAAACAGCTAGTTCCGACAGCATGTCCTCCAGATATTCTCATCGATCCCCACCACGGCCGTCAGTCTCTTCCGAACCTGCAAAGTGGGCTAGACAGAACGATTCTCCGGCCATGGTTAACAGAAATCACACAGCAGCGTCCTCATCTACAGTTCGACCACCAACTCCATCGCCAATGCAACCGCCAATGCAGCTCCCAGTCCAACTCCCAATCCAAGCCCCAATCCTTCCATCCAACCGACCACCAAATCAAGCACCAATCCATCCACCCCCCCGATTTGACCTACCCGCAACCCGCAGTCGCTTTATTATTACTCCACAAGCGCTTAGGCAGAGCAGGGCAGGCGGACGGGATGCGCATGCTAGTAGCCACAGAGCTGCCCGTGAGGCCGGCAGAAATCCACCTAATCCTTCTCCAGAGAGGGATCCACGAAAGGCATTGCTCCGGTTACAATACGCCGATACTAGCTCAGAGCTGAAGAAGGCGGAAGGGAAGTTCTGCGCTCTTGTTGCTAGCAAGCAGGGCTCGGATCCTCAACGGGTCGCGGATCAGTTCACAGACGTGTTGGCGACGATCACGCGTTGTCGACATACGGCTCAGGAGATCGAAGATGAATTGGCTGGTCGTGCTGGGCCCAGTATGCCCGCTGTTAGGGTTGCTGATCGGAGCGCTGCTAGTAGGAATACTGCAGGTCTGGGTGGCCATGGTGGGGCTGGAGCAAGTACAGGCTCTCATGGCGGTGCTCGTCTTTGGTAATAGTGGAAGGAAGTCTTCTAGTCCATCCGTACAGCAGGCCGCGTGCCATGGGAGCACTAGAGAACGATGATAGTAAATTAGTACAAGGTAGTACCGGTGCTGATGTATACCAAGATGGAAACCTAATTGTGGTGTCGGTTATCGTATATGTATCTCGCTCGCCGCTTCTTCAACACGTCAGAAATGTCCCCAATCGTCTATGTCGTACCCCTGCTCACTTTAGGCGCCATTTTACCAAGCAAATAAATGTTCTCTCAATGTCAAAATCTCCCTGGCCACTCTTTCTTGTCAACTCGCATCCTTTCCCGTCCTCCCCCACACGCCGCCAGTCAGTCAGCCTCAACAGGTCCACCCGGCCGTTCAACAATCCACATGACCCTCAAGAAAAAATAGTCACAGCCCACACCCCGAAGGCAAGCAGATATTGACAAATACTAGTATGCAAGAACATCATACGTCGGTTGGAACCGTCACCTCCAAGTATAACGTACTAGTATTCGGACACCACACATTACTTGGCATTTTGGTTCTCAGCCCATATTGCTATTTTTCAAACGTTGCTGGTCCTATTTGGACGATAGGTTTGATTGAAATAGTTCAAATTGGTATTATGTAAACAAAGATGGCTTCGTTTTTGCTATCCGACCCGTCGCTGTGCCGGTTTCAATGAATATTCGTAGAATGGCAGCGAGTTAAAATTGGTGCCTTGAAGATTTTTGGTAGGGATAACTCCCACTCACATCACGTCGAACAGGACGTCCGCCAAGAAAGAAATCAATTGCCTGGCATGCTTTCTCTGAGGAGATGAGGCGGAAGGGGGGAAGTCTGTATTTCGGTTCAAGTCTGGTCTCAAGGGTTTTTTCCCCTCCGTTGGTGGCTAACTCGCTCTTAATTCAATTGATGATGGACGAGGAAGAGCGCCGTGTGCTACTAGTAAGCTTGGTAGCTTCTTAGAAAGCTCTGCTCCCCGTGTTGTAAAGAAGGGGTGTTTTTGGGCTGCGCTACGATAGTACACGTTCATACTAGAGTCAGACTGAGGGGGCCCTCGTGACCCCTATGAGAGTGTTTTGTATAAACGCAATGGGGCATTTGCGCCAATAGTACCTCTTGGTTGACTTAGCCCTGAGAGAGAGGAGTGACAAGTTTTTTTTACTGCGAGGTGAAATACACCGGTATTGGGCCATTGAAATGCCGGGCGCGGCAAGTATCTCGTACTCATTTCATCCAATACTTGGGCTGAACGTAACGTCAGGTCCATCAGACTGCCCTGCTTGCCAAGCATGGAAAGATATACATTATGGCTGCTTTTTTTCCCAGGAAGACTCTTCTTCCGCTGTAGAGTCAGTACAAAGCAGATGTTTCTGTAAATTATAGCATTAGATCACGTACAACCACACGCAGCCCCCTCAAGCATATGCATATCTTGCAGTTCTTGTCAACACCCCGAGCTTGGCATCGTCTCCCTCGCCCTTTCGTCTCTGATCTCCTTCTCCATTCGCTCGATCCAATCTTCCAACACTCGAACTTCCTTGCTAAACGATCCACCTGATGTGCGTTGGCAGTCAAGTAGATGTTTGATGCAGCTGTGGAAGATCAAAATGCACCGCCGCGGATTTTGCTCTTGTCGCAGAGTGTTGGTGATGGCATCACTAATCGAAAGTCCGTTCGCAGCTCTCGTTTGAGAAGGCGTCCTCTTCTCTTCGAGCTTGATGTATTGAATCATTTCCGTTAGCTCATCGACGTGATCTGTAGTCAGCGGGCCCGGCTCCTTCGCTGCAGATTGTGAGAGAGACGCACATGAGTCGGCCCCGGAGCTCCTAGAACTAGTAGCTGTGGATGAAGATCTAGAGCGTTTTGCGGTCCGTCTGGCTTCAGGCCTAGTGCCCTTGGTTGAGTGGTGTTTAGGATCTTTTCTGTCAAGGTCCATCGCAATACTGCCTCCTGCACATGCAGGTTTTCGTTTTCTCGATGTCAAGTGAGAAGAACGTGGCAGGCTCATAGTCGCGTTTGCTTCTTGAATAGAAGATAGGGAAGCAGAAGGGCTTGCTGTTGTCACAGTTAGTTGCACAGAACCAAAATTTGAGATGGTTGCAGAGAAAGCTGAGGACTTCTAGGGTGAGTCAGAGCGTGGAGGTTCTCTAGGTGGCATGATCGGGGATTTGTTAGAAGAAGGGAGTGACAAAGGAAGAAGAGGGAAGAGCCTTCACAGACCTAAAGAGGAACTTGTTTATACACCATTAGGGAAAGAAGTAAGCTTCAATCGTGTACCCGACGTACCAGCACATTCCTCTAGAACGTCGTTAATGCTAGGGAGATGGTACGATTGTCTTAGGATATGTCGATAAGGAGGAAGAGATACTAGTAGCCCGGTGTTATGTTGCCTGTATCTAAGAGAGACATCGATGACGATCTCAATGAAATCGAGAGTCCGCCAAGCCAAAATAAAATGATCGTTCCGAGCCAATGTCCACGAGCAGCACCAAACGCAGTGTTTGACATTGTGAAACCTGCCACAGGCGAATACTCATGGTACAAGTACTAATGAACTTGCAGCAGAGGTTCGCCCATCTGGGAGCGTGTACGTCGCACCAAGACAGAAAAAGAGCAAGTGGATGAGGCTGAGACCTTCATGATGCAGATGACGCCACGTGTTTCAGGGGGTTAGCCTTGGCACTCAGCCGACCTCAGCTGTTCAACGGTGGTAAGGGCACTATTTTGATAATAAGTGTCACAATATGTAGCGATTGTTCTGTAACAGGACATCCGTACGATTAACCCGTTAATAACAGGGTGTCTCCAAATAAGTGTCATCTCTTGCTTCCGCTGGCACGACCTATATGTAGTCTTTCCCCTATCAAACAGCCCCAAGCTTTGTCAGGGGATACATCAATCAAGGGTGGCTCAACCCACCAGCGCTGTCCTCCTGGAGGAGTGGTCAATGTGTTTGGGGCAATTTCCGGTATGCTGCATTGGGATAAGACAGGGTCGCTTTCAGTGGTAGGAAGGAGAAGACGACCAAACAATCGCTATAAGTCATAGAAAGTAACCAAATGCTATCTACGTATTCCAAGTACGATCAAATCCCATTGCCATGTCGAGACGCTTCTTTTCGCCAGTGTGTCTACCAAGGAAGCCCGTTTGAGCATCCTACCAGCTGCCGGATCAAAACCGAGGTGCTGTGAACGGTCAGGGTCGGCACTGATCAATCAGAACTGGCGCACATACCACCCCAAGGATAGAACAATAAGTCGGCTAGTCATGCAGTCATATCTCCGGAAGCATTTGATCCTTCGCTCTTCGAATGCTTGATATGCTGGACAACAGTGTCCGCTGCTGAAGGCACTCTAACTCCACTGGCGTTGAGGTCCGACAGCTCTATATCTCTGGATGCGTTGAAGTCCTGATGATCGTCTGAGGTCGAAGGATCTCTGGTACCATCACATCCATAGCGAGCACCCTCTTCATCTGATCTTCTCTTGAACGAAAAACGTTTCGTAGTGAAGCACCAGCCCAGTAGGAAGCCAAGAAGCATAATGCCAGCAGTGCCACCTAACATGATGCCCGCCACTGCCGCAGTAGACATACCAAGGTGCTCCTCAGCCCATATATCGCTATTCATGGTCGCTGTAGGAGATCCCAACGCTGACAATGGTGAGGGTTCAAATGTCCAGCCATTCACTGCGATGCCGGCAACAGTTAGTGCTCTTGACGAGTCTCCGGTAGCTAATGTTGTGACTGGCGGAGTGGCTCCAGAAATATGCACTGTCACATCTCCTGCCTGCATTGATATACATTCGTATAGATTGCCATGATCAGTCGATGTGGCAAAATTGTAGTTGGAAGGGCAACAGAACACCATGGTCGAACTCCGGTCTTTCTTGCTGGTAGATGCCGTTGTGTACCCATCGGGACATATCATGGGGCCGAGGCTGGTGACTACGCCTGTTGTGGCGCCATAAGGTAGATTATTTTGCGTGTACCATTCGACTGCTTCGCGAGGAAGGCATGTTATGTTTGCAACGGCCTCTAGGTGTGGATCACAAGCTACTAAAGTATGGTGCGCGCCGTCTGGACTGTAGAGATGGCTACTGCATCGTGAATCAGTAGGAGGTGCTGTGATCAAGGGCAGCCAGGAAGTGGTAGTGCCATTGTGCGTTTCGACCGCTTTGCTGGCATAACCAGCAATCTGTCGCAGTGGTACCATAGAGCTGTATATCATATCTGTCATAACGAAGTTGAGAATGACAATAATTGATTGCGGTGTAATATAGAGTTACGTTGCGAGAAACGGGCGAACGAAATGCGCACGATTATCGTGGTTGAGGAAGGATTGGCAAGAGCAACCATTTGGATGAGAATGGTGTACAAGGCAGGTGGAACTCGTGATTCCAATCTCATCCGTTACGGGAGCGACTCGCTTTTGGGCAGTGTTCGATCAAGGGTTGAAAGCAACATCGCAAGCTCCGTTGGCGAAGTTGGCCACTTTAGTCCTAAGCTTTGCCATATCCGCGTGGTCAACTTGGGCTGTGGCTTGCGGCTGAGCTTCCAGGAAAGTGGTCTCAACATAAAATTCGTTCAGCAGTCCTTTTGCTTGCAAGCAGCGAAACGCTTCTTTGACCTACCATACACAATTCTCTCCAGGTGTAGTTTTTCCGGGCACTCTACATTCTTTCTTGACTGTCTCAATGAGGTCTTCCAGCGGACCTGCCATCGACCTCAACTTACCAACCATTGCGATAAGCACAATTCAAATGCTCAACAGCGGATTGTCCACCTGTCACGGAAAGTCCAGTCACGGGTCAGGATTGGTATCAATGTGCTTGATAGGTCCAATCTGCATGGCATCTGTGACGTCAAGGATATGGGTCTTTTCAAAAGAATCTTTTGGTGCGATCAAAGAGCCTAATGGAAGGACGCCAGAGCAGCTCGTTGCGATGAGGCACCAATGAGAGCTTGTTTCTGTGAAAGAGCGCCAGAAAGACACGGGGCTTGTTAGAAGTCCTCATGATTGAAGCTTTCATCTATTACCAGCCTGGGTCCTCGAGATCAAGCTGCACAGGTCGGATGACAGTACCTCGACGAGTCAGTACTGTTAGAAGTCGCGGACAATAGTCAGAGATCCAATCTGTTCATACTTAGTCGCACAAAGGTACAAGTTGTTCACGCTCTAATAAATAGAAATCCTAAGGGGGCGGTGGGGCCGAGACCCGTTGCAAACAATTGGTGCCACCCTTGGCATTAATTTGTGCCGTCGCACTGCAGTGCCATGGCACCCAAGTCTGCGCCAAGAGCGGCACCAATTCCGAGTCATTTGCACGGGCGGCGCTTCTTTTTTCCGGTCTTACTACGTACTAGTAAGCAGACCGAAAAGGGGCAATCTTGGCATCGGCAAACCTGCTTCGGATTCAGTGTTAGAAAAAGATCATGACGATTCCTCCTGCTCGCATCATAGTGAGAATCTTGATGATAGCAAAGGCTGGATAGAGAGTACCGAATTATCCGAGTGCCTCTTTCTCTGCTATGATACTTCCGCGCTCTCGATGATGACTATCTCCCAGAGGTAGCTTTTACCATTAACTATGCGTACCATTCCTACCTCCTTGTATCACTCTAGCCGACCACCGCCACGGCTGGCTACCATATGTCCTCTTGTCCCCTTCTGTGTCCAAGTGCATCGCCATCCATGTCTGAGGATCAACCAGTGCCGAGCCTTTCTCAAGCCTCCGTCCCTCGATAGCCTCTTTGCAACATCCACACCGTTGCGCCAATTGACTCACACACGAGTACTTCCTTACCCGTGCTCCTCGGTCTTTGACGCTCTCGTCTCTGTCGACAAATACCCTTCCTTCCTTCCATTTGTCCTGTCCGCGATCGTCACTCAGAGAGATCAGAACAAGTTGCCAGCACGTGCTAGTTTGAAGGTTGGCTATGACGCGATGGGCATCGAGGAGACCTGGGACAGTATCGTCAGTGCCAAAGAGGAGCAGGGAATCATCGAGGCAAGAAGTGCAGAGGTGGAAGGGGGCAATGAGGATGGCATATTTGAGGTATTAAAGACAAAGTGGCAGCTGCATGACATAGAGGATATTCGAAGACAGGGGGTAGGATTAGGAGCCCAGACAGCAGTCAAATTGGACGTAGAGGTCAAGTTCCGGAGCTCGATGTACGATAAGATATTTGCCGGCGTGGAAGAGAAGGTTGCGGGAATGATGGTTGGAGCATTCGAAAAGAGAATAAAAGAGTTAGCTGGGACTTGAGAGGGAGCGACTTGCACCATACTTTAGAACAGGACCACCTTCCCGAGCTCCCTCCAAATATTCATCAGTATCGACGAATACGATCATGCATGCATAAGAAGACAGCTCTGTACCAAGGTATTAAGTCACTCCAAGCGCAGAGGAAGAGCAGTCCAGCTATACTTGACTCGATTTGAAGCCAGGCGGCAATGTTTTAGGCGACCTTGATGCCGAGGAAAGTTGGTGGTGGGTGCAGGGGCCAGTCGCATGTTCCAGGCATATCAGAGACAAATTTTCTAATCCGTTGGACCAAAAAGCAGGCAAAAAGGAAAAAGGCTAGCTGGTCACAGCGAGGATCGAACCCTACATATCTATCTATCTGGTTTATGATTTCTAAATTCTGCCAATTCCCACCAGCTAAAAGAGACCCAAAAAAAAAACAACTACAAAAGCAAAACACCAAAAAGTTCGGAACGCCACCTAATCTTCTACTCCATAACGATGCCAGGAATGCCAGGAATGCCCCTCATGGGCCGGCCAATTAGAAGAGAAGATACGGACAGTTCTTATGAAAACTCACAAGTTGGGTGATCACTCCAGAAAAGTTGGTTTTGCACCTGGGATACAGACGAGATCGATCACCGTTGTTTCCACTAGGCCATGTGTCCGAAGACCGAAAATTGATGCTGAAGAATAAATTATAAACCCTAATTTCATTTTCATCTTTGCCCTGTGTTTGTGTTTGTTTGGTTTCACTCTACTGAAAAGCTACCCTCATATCCACGCATGTAGGCCGGCCAGCATGTAAATGGAGTCCTTACTTTTATGCTAGAACATTCTCTAGAAAATGCGCTTCCCCATACACACTATCATCTTTCTCAATCTCTCAGTTCCACCAAAATTCTTCTATATCGATCATATTCATCAGCATATGTACCACCCACCCCCCACCATATCCTCCCACGGTCTTATACCCAAAGCTTAAATTCATCTCACCCACCACTGAAAGTCAAGATGCTTATGCAGCATGCAATTAGAACGCCCTGACGGTCCGTCATCCTATATAACCACGATTCCTTAGGTCCGCTGGAAGCAAATCAATTATTTTCATACAATCTCGAGCGTTTTGTTCACGGCTACAGCAACTTCAGAATCCTAGCTCTTCCTTATGGAGGCTACCCAGTTGAGCTATGATTGTGACCAAATTCTGTCGCGAGATTGACAGAGTAATCAATTCCCTGATTGACGGTGTGTTGGCGATGATCAATTGAGAGCATTCCTTGGAGACGGCACTCCAACCAGATAGTTGAGGGTAGCCTGATACGATTTGTTTGGGTTAGGCATCGCGGCTACAGAGCTTCAAATAGGGAGCACTAATGCATAGGGTCCATTATCAGTGATACTTAGGAGGTTTTGCGCGGCAGGCACGGCACTCTAGCCAACAATTGATTCCGTCATCTACAGCAGATTGTCAGGTGTATGTTATGAGCGTCATACTTCGAATAGGATCCAAAATGTTGAGAGTTGATTCTCTGATCTTATACTACAGACATCTCTAAACGTCTTTGCTTTCATTTGCGTTGCACTCTGCGTTTCAGGCGATCCGCCATGCACCGGCAGAGCTGAATCGCTAAATCAGGATCGTCTCGAATGTACCGCTGTAGAGGACCAGCCTCAATCGTGGCCGCAACCCTGGTAGGAACAGGGCTCTCTGCTATTGTACGAACAAGCGTGGAATTACATCGACGCCGAAGATGGTGCGGCAGGCGGGATATCTCTCCAAGAGATGCTGAAAGATGCGCAGCTTTGCTGGGGTGTGCTAGCTGGACTGTCTGACAAGAAATGGCTTTGCAAACATCCGCCGTAAGACGATCCATCACAAGACGATCTGCAGCTAGCAAGACGCGGAAGGAGAGCTTTGGTTGCAACGACCTGAGTAGACCACTGCGATTGTGCGCCTTTGGTGGGCAGATCCAACTCAGGATGATTCCCAGGGTATGCGGATCAATGTCATTAACCTCAACGACCTTGGCGTTGGGGTCCTGGAACCATCAGCGAACGATAGGCGGTGTTCAAGGAAGATGCTTACACGAAAGGTGCCCCGAAGGCAATGTCTAAAAAAGACAGATTCTTCAGAGAGCCTTTGCTCGGGCAAATGCCACTGACGACGTCCACACTTAACACGTACAGCAGAACTGCCATGAGAAGGCGCCATCTTACCTACACCGTGGGCTACTTAATAATGTCGAAAAGTGGGTGAGTTAGAGTAAATTACTGAGGCAGAAGTTCTTTCAAGAGATTGCGTCTTTTGAGTATTTGAATATCATGGAAATTTCTAGATGTATAACAATGGCATTGACATAAATTGATACCATCTTGTAACCTTCCAATGCATGACCCTACCACCCGACCACCCTATGAGCTTGAGGTTTGTTTTGGATTATGTCGGTGTTGTTATTATGAGGTTAGGACGGAAATGGGGGCGTTAGAAATTGTGGTTTCGAGCAAAACTCAAGGCAATATGGTCTTGGCATGACATGGTAGTAATGTAACATTGAGGCTGGATCCCCTGTCATAATCTAGAGATCCTTGAAAGGGAAGCGAAAGTGTGTACAAATGGGGAACCTGGCCACGCAAAATTACACATTAGGACGCGACAAACTAGTCAAAGAGGGTAGTCAACTGTTTTTGCAGCACGTCCTCAGTATGCCAGATCAGCTAAAGCAGTCTTTGTATGGAATCTTGCATCAAAAGTCATTGAAGTAGGCTAAAATTAGAGCACCGCTAGCACTCTCCCTCTGAGCTTTGGCGCCGGGTAGTATAGGGATGAAGCCCGGGAGCTGCTGCTAGGACGCCCTTATCCTAGAGACTTCTAGGGCCCTCTTTAGGCTGAGTTATGCTTCCGCCATCCATATCGACGCCCCTACCCTCTACTAAGAGCACGCTAGTACAAGAAGAGCTAACTTTTCCTCATCCTAGTTAGCATATCTTGAAAACTTATGATGCACGACTCTTATGTTCACTATCAAGTGACATGTTCACAAATCGGAAAACCAAGATTCAAGGAAAAAAAGAAGCTAGGCTCTTGAATCTGATCATACGATGATCATGCCCCACATATCATGTAAATCGCTGAGGCGTTTAATTTCAAAATCAGTCAGCAGAAGGCTAGAAGTGCAATACTAAGTTACTAGTAAGGCATAGTAAGCAGCTCGTCCACGGCTGGTATTGATATTGCCAGCTTCGCCCAGGTCAATATTACTAAAGCAGAAACCATTATTGCTGGGAGTCACTCAATCTGGCCAAAAGCATGACATTCACATCCGCAACAGATGCCCCTTACTTTGTGACGATCCAACTGGGCCAAAAGGAGAACTCCGACCCTAAGACCAGACTTGGATCTCATATCTTGAATCACAACTGGAATGGCACTTATCATCTTGCCCCGATAACGAGTTCCGGCCGTCCTTTCCCCTTAGCCATCCTCGAAACAAAGCTATGATATTCTTGCAAGCTATGGGTCCCGAAACCACATACCAAAGGCCTAAGGGGCCTCAATTTCATCTCTTAAACAAAATGTGCAACAAAATCTGTGCCACATGAACCACGAGTTGACATCTTGTCTGAAGTGCCAAAATTGATAATACCCGGATAGTCGGACATAAGGTTTCCCCCCCCCCAGTTCCAGTTACGGCCTCATCCTGAGCGGCGCTGCTTTAACCTGAGCCGAGATCGAGCCGAGACTGAACGCCCCTGAGCACAGGATGTGTTGGGAGCGGTATATTCGCGACGGGTATATTCGGCGAGCGGTATTTTCGGCGTTTGGGTCTTGGCAGGATTTTGGTCATACAAATTCTTGCTAAGCACTTGCAGATAATTTGTCATCTCAAATGCATGTACAGAAGGGAGATAAGGATTTTTTGGCTTAAGGCCTCGACACTGTTAGTAACCATTACCGCTTTGGTCAGGCGGCGTTGACTCAGTCGCGCACACGGGCTTTTGGCAACCCTGGCTTAGTCACTCACACAGAGTCCGAGGGACTTGGGGGCAAAGGCGGTGTACAAAGTTGGCTCACGACGTGGCGACGCTTACAAAGCTAGACAGTCTCGACCACTTCTATTAGGAATTAAGGCGTTACAAAGTGGCAATGACCTGCTAACTTATATAATCGCCCTAAGCCGCCATATTTCCGCTACGCATATCATTCCTGCTTCTCACGGAGAGCTTCTATATATTTCCCAGACACAAAAGACCTTGAAGTTCTCTCCAGCATAGCGACCAACCGGCATGGCAGTTATCAAGTTATGGTACTCACCTGGAGCATGCTCTCTCGCATCTCAAATTCTACTCAAAGAAACTGGTGTGGATTATGAGGCGGCCATGGTGGACATTGGTCATGGGACTCCAGAAGAATTTCGTACCATCAACCCCAAATTACGAATTCCAGTTTTGTCAATCGATGGCCAGGTCATCACAGAGAGTCCGGCCATCCTGACAGCAATATCCCAATTTTCCCCAGAGAAGCACCTTATGGGGAAAACGAATCTCGAGATCGTGCGCACATATGAGTGGTTGAACTGGCTGTCAGGGACCCTCCATGCGCAAGCGTTTGGTGGTTTCATACGACCTCACAGATTTTCGGACGACCCTAGCACGCATGAATTGATCAGAGCCAAGTCTTTAAAGACTATCCGAGAGTGTTATGATAAGATAGACCAGGATCTTTCGAGTGTCCATGCTGTTGGTGATAGCTTTACGGCTGTGGATGCTTACTTATACGTGTTTTATCGGTGGGGAGAGCATCACGGTATGGGTATGAAGAAATATCCCAAATACACGAACTTGGTTGTGGAATTGGTGAAGCGTCAGTCAGTACAGGAAGCTCTCGATATGGAAGGTGTACTATACTACGTCCCAAGGTAATGAGCCGTTGACAGGATCTTGACAAGCTGAGTGGCTGGGTAAAGGTGGTAGGCTTCTTAGTTCGAGCGCTATGATCTTATATAGGTTTTAGCCAGAGCCTGAGGTATTTACCAGGCAGCTTTAGTTTTTACAACTTGATGACTCAATCTAGCAATTGCGCTCATCTCGCATGAATGCCATGAGCGTGTTCCCAGTCTGTGAAGGTCGCTATGCTTACTCCCATTTTTGCAGAAGCTCTGTAGGTCGGTGGAGCCACGCTGTAAGGGGATGGTCCAGCGCTGTCGGTCGTGGACAGGTTGTTCATAGAGACGTTTTCATTCGTTTGTAGGAGCGGACGACCCGATGAGACAGGAGACAATGAGAGGATACATACCAAGATCGAACTCTCTAGGTACATCTTTACAGGTCAAAATCGTAGGATAAGTCAAGGGTTAACCTGTAAGGGAGGGCTAGTCAGATCATGGAGCCCAGGGCGAGATATTTATGTAAGCAACGTCTTCCAGAGGTTTGAAGACCTTTCACATCACTCACTACCGTCTTCCAGTTCGGGTCCTCAGAAGAGACATAGCTAGCAACGAGCAGTTCGTGAGACGCTCAAAACAGTTACAACGACGAAAGCAGCAAGCTTAGCGATGATCTAGGTTTCGTTTTTCAGAACAGCTTTGATACGGTCCTTTCTCATTCTGATATCGCAACCAGCTTGGAAATCGTGTGATGAGTCTTCAGCCAGCCTTTATTTCACTCCTGGAGTTGTCCGTTCTCCCGTTCAGGCGTTAGTTATTCCGCTCTTGGCAATCACATGTCCGATCACGTGGTCGCCCTACCTAACGTCAACCACAAACTCTTTTTGGTGCTGAACTCTTTCCCACGATCTACAGCCGTGAAGCTTACTATGCAACCGACAGAGCCTTCGGCCCTCAGAAAGTCTCCTATAGGAATGTGTTCAGTTCTGGAGATATCTACGTCCAAGATGGCAGAAGCTGGCACTCATTTTCTACCGTCAGCATCGATCCAAGTTACAGCTCCAATGATTTTGAGGTCAAGATGCTCATTGTGAATGTTCTTTTCTGCGGTTGTGTCACTAGGGCTGGTGGGGTCGGGGTGGAGCCTAATAATTTGTTTTCCCCTTCACGCCGCTGGTTCATATAGCAAGGGCGGGAACAGCTCTCTGGAGAACCCCCCCGGTTCCATATTGCCAAGAGCCAAGGACCGAATTATCCCCTGCCACTGGCAGTGGCCGAATCATGCCCGGCTTGAGACTGGTTGTCAAAGGACTTTATCTGGCTGATTTGGTACAGCCCGATTTGGTATGTTGCCTCTTACAATGACCTCCTAACATTACATAGATGGCAAGAACGATTTACCTGGAAATTTTATCGTGGGCGCTTTGATAGGCGGATCTGGGTACCGAAAGTTGTCTCATTACGGAATGGCCGGGTGGTGGTCCACATGGGAACCTTATGACAAGCTGCAATCTGGCACGTGGAGGCTTCCCGGGATTCCTTCCTCAAATGGCAAGACCAGCTTCGTGGACCTGCGTTTGAATCTGAGGACCAAATGCCAGATACGGAATGATGTCGGGCCCCAAATGAGCTAATGGATTCCTCGTGTGGCTTTATGCGATGATTTGAATCTGTTGCTCGACTCTCTCCCAGGACTTCTGAACTCGAGAGGCGACAAAATGTATCTGGACCCTGCTTTCGGCCATGGAAACTCAGGGGCAACTTCAAATGTAATTGGTAATCGATATGGCTTCCTGAAATTTTCCTTGTTTCTGCTCGGATGCAAGCCGAATATGATTCACAGCAGTTGTGAGGGTCTTCTCTACAAACATTTTCTCAAAGTGAATTGCAGTCACGCAGCTATTTTTCATCTTCCAGCTTCTGTACTCGTGCACGTTGAGCGCTCAGGAGCAACACCTAAGCTTACGCGGTCTCATGGACGCATTCCCGACCGAACTGCTGGCTTGCATAATTCAGTGCCTGCGACCAATAGGTTTTCCCGTTGCTATACCTGCGGAGCATGAGGTTACAAGAGCCTTACTTGCTTTGACGCGTGTATCTTCGACTTTCAGGTCTTTGGCAATACCATATCTCTACACCTACTGCTTGTACATCGATTCTCCTCGTCGTCTACAGTCTCTGTTACGTTCATTCCCCGGCCAGAAAGAAATCCTACGAAATCAAGAACATATCTCTAGGCAAATCGATAGGAGAACAACGCCTGGATGCCTACTCAATCACCCTCCACGGGCTCTACAGTCGCTTTATCTTGCGCCCTTTACTGAAGACACGATCGATGAGTTATCTGTTGTCACCATGTTGAGTTCTTTATTTGAGTTATTCTCGCATTTTCTTGTACGTCTGGTGATCGACATGCCACTCCGCAGTTTCTTCCCAGTTGAGGATCGTCAGCAAATTCGCCCGACTCTCCGCGAAGCGTTCCTAAAGCTGACCACACTCGAAGAATTCACCAGTACACGAGACGAGCTGTTCCTGGACATTTGCTTTGACGAAGGCGATGAATTTGTGGTTCAGCCTCTAGTATGGTCATTCTGGCCTCAGTTAAAGCATTTGGCCCTCTACAACGTGGACATGGAAGACCAGACTTTCATTGACAGCCTAAAGAAACTGGGGAAGCTTGAGGTCCTGGTCCTCACTCGTGCAGATGGAGAAGAAGACACATGCACAAAGAGTCTTCTAACCATCAAGGGACTGAGGCGGCTGTCGATCGTCAATATTGCAACTTTTCATCCTCAGCAACCTCCCATCTCCGGCCCAGCAAGGAAGCCGACGGTGAGCGATGAAGGCGAAAGTCAAGGTGCCGAGCTAGTCAGAATCAGTGTGCCAACTCTTCAAGATAGCGCCGAACAAGAGGTTGAAATCTGTCAGGCTTGGACCCGAGATCATGCGATTGATGGAACACTTTGGCATTACACAGACGGACATGATTGACGACAAAACAGCCTTTCCGTTGCCCAAGAGCGGTTGTAGAGACAAAGAATACAGGCACGATAGTGATCTGTGTCCAGCTGAAGCATATTTGACCGATCAAGACATCTGCTGCAATAGAACAACCACGCCATGGTCGAAACAGATGTGGAGCCAATTATTGCGGCAGCTTTAGTAAATTCTGCGTGTTTGTTGGATCGAGTCAATAGGACAAAGCCCTGAACAATGTCAGAAATACGTTCACAGCTTACAGTACAACCGCTGGATACTTCCAAGTTGACCTCTTCCTTTACGTTTTTCACTTCGAGTTCATCTCTACTTATGAAAATTTTGAAAGCATTCTCGAGTATGGTGTACGGATCTGCAATCGTAGTGCCATATCTCTGACAGCAATCCAGGGGTCTCCTCGCGAGCCGCAGATTGAGCCTGCCGGATATTCACCCGGCTTCTGAGACAGCACTTCTCCCAGGCCTGTATGCCTGAAGGTCGATTGTTTAGTTTGCGTTTCCGATCCTAGTCTTTCGTACCTGCGCCCTATCCTCAACTATACGATGCACGGTCAGCTGTAACTCCGAAGTCGAAAACCAACAGAAAAGCCAATTGACCATAACAGGGTACTATCCCAACCAGGACTTCCTGTATTATTCTGACTTTGATGGCTAGGGGTCATCAATATGGACAAAAAAGCTATGATGAATCCACCAATTTTTTTTTTCTCTAACTTAGTAGGTAAAGCCATGAAACATCAACGAACCTCTGCACCGAGACGCTTCTCCGCCTCGAGAACACAAGAAATCAAGCAAGAATAAACCACACAAACAAGTTCACAAACATCCTCGGATTCTTTTCGCGCCACAAATAGTTGATAAACTCGAATCCCCTCACAACCAGCACCTGCAACCNNNCCGCCACCGCCACCGCCACCTTCGCCTCCAGATCGCCCACAAGCCTTCCTTGATTCTGCTCTCTTCCGCCAAAACGCCTTTCACGATCCTCTCTCTCTGTCTCACTCTCTCCCTCCCTCCCTTCCTCCCTTCCAACCTGAACTCCGTGATCTGGCTAGATCTATCCATATGTCCCCTTTCCGCTCCAACTGGGCACCTCCTATCCCGTCCCCCCAAATCCCTAAACATATGATAGCCACCCAAAGCCGGCACAGTCACCCTAAGTAGTAAGCTGAATACATACACAACGCCTAATAAACTGGGTGTCCATCTATCTATCATTCATCCATTGCTCGGCTATGGTACGATAAGAGTAGCATATACGCTCCCTCTCTCCACGCGGCGACGAGAACAACGTCCTTTCTTCTGCGTACACCTGCCTATACTTACCGGAACGAAGCTCACTAATTGAACCAAATACAGATCTTCACAATTCCACACGGATAGCAAATAGCAGAAACCACAGCGCGGGGGAGTGTGGAGGCAACCAGACCAACAAAAGTCATTTCACATAGTTCTTGCTCGAGAGAGAAAGGAAGAGAGAGCGTGAAGGCGTTGATCTCGGGGAGAACAATTGGTTTATGTTCATTCATCAGCTAGCTGGCAGATACACCTCCTGGGTCTCCCTCCTCATCACTACTGAAAGCTTCGAAAGGACTCTCTGCAGAGTCTTCCACAACAACTTCTCCTCCGAGTTCCACACCGTCTTCCTTGGCGCCATCTTCGTCATCGTCATTGTTGTTCTCGTCGCTGATTCCTGTTCCGTCCCTGGGAGAGTCGTTACCGTTTTCCATGAGGTGCTCCTGGGCATCATCTGTGTTGTCATCATCCCCTGGATCGACATCATCATCAGTATCGTTTCGAATATCAGATCCAACATCCACATCATCCCGTTTCCTCTTTTGCCCCTTGCTCGGCATCTCACCTAGCCTCCCTTCCCTACCCTGTACAAGCGCCTTCTCGGCATCCACCTCTGCAACAGCAGCACCATCATTCTTCGGCGGGGCCGAAAACCAAGGGATTTTCCCCCTCAAAAAATCATTCAACACCATCTTCGCAACACCATCAACGTCAGGTTCTCCGCCACGTAAAAGCCGCCCACCCTTCCGCGCGAGTATGCTAAGGAACTCTGTCGCGTCACCCTCGTAGTCTGAATGCTTGATGTCATACGTTCGCTCAATGTGTCTTGTTTGAGCTCTCCGTAGAACAGCTTGGACGTACTGGGCTGGATTTTCGACATTTTCCACACGGACGACACCTCGGAGCAGGATGTCTTCTTCGCTGTCTCCGTTGCTGGGCGGGACTACGCCGGGACAGTCGATTAGGTAGATGCGCTTCATCAAGGTGATGTATTGCCAGACTTTGGTTTCTCCCGGGATCGGGGCGACGGTGCAGACTCGCTTCTTGCGGAGTGTGTTGATGATAGAAGACTTTCCGGTGTTAGGGTAGCCGATGAAGCCGACTGAGATTTGCTTTCGAGATGAGTGCAGGGTAGAGAATTGGCGTAGGAGTGTGATGAGGGAACCTTTGCCGAAGGAATTGGTGAGCGAGGCATGGAATGCTAGTGTTGGATGTTCTTTCGAAAGATGACGGACCCATTGAGCCTGTAAATTTTTGTTAGAATTGTGTGGAACGTTACTAAGAGAGGTGCTATGCAGGAACGCAAACAAGCGAAAGCAATCTCAACTCAAACGAGACACCCATGGCTTTGAGGACAGACTTTCCAAGACGGCAGGTAGATCCAGAACCACATTTACACCAGGCAAAAGCGGCAAGCACAGGTCAATGTACCAAAGCTGTAACAGGCGCTCTTTCATTGGAAATTGCAGGATGTTGCAAAAAGGAGCCTTGACTGAGCGATGGAATCGGATAACCAAGGTTATAGTATGAGAATTTGAGAAAGTAAAGGCACTTACTGCGACACTTGTAGGCACCAGATCGCACTTGTTCAGGATGAAGACCAAATGCTTGTGAGGTGCCTCTTCCTTGATGTACTTTTCGACACTTCTGCACCGAGTACCTTCAGGATCTCGAGCATCGAGTACATGTATGACAACGTCTGACGAGTCAATGACTTTATACAGTTCATTCCATATTCTTTTGCTCTGTCCTTTGGAGAAAATTGGCTCTCTTGCTGTGGTCAGCTCTGCTTCTGGCTCGGAATCCTCTCCCGCTGCCGCGGCCTGCCCACTCAGAAGCTGCTTTTCTTCTAGCCTGTCGACATAAACATCGTGCATCCTGATCGTTTCGCCTGCTAAGTCTTCTAGGGACCCAGTCGCCAGCTTCACTCTCTTCCTCTGACTCTTAGGACCAAACGTATCTCCAAAAGGTGCTGATTCGACCGCGATCTTTGCCTGGTGCTGCTTGATACCGTTTTTCATGTTCTCGTTGTCTCTGATCAGGCTCATTGGTAATTTATTCGTCTTCAACAAGACTTGATAAGGATCCGATGCCCGTTCCGCCACCGCTTCTCGAAAGGATGTCAAAGCGTCCTGGGATATGACTCGGGTATTGTTGAACCATTTCCGGTTCGGCTCAACACGGGCCTTGGGTAAATCTCGAGATTGGTAAGACGCAGACTTGGTGATTTTGCCAGAAGCATTTCGTTGGGCTTTGCCTTCCTTGTACATATTCAGGGTCTTGATCTTCTTCACATTGCTGAAAGGAAGCCATGGTCAGTCCACCGTGCGAATTCTACTCTTCAGGAGCCTTTCAGACCATACCGATAGAAGTTCTCGCCCTTGGTCTTGACATTATTGAGTCCATCGCCCCCTTTGCCTTGCCTCTCCCGGCGGGCAGCCTCTTTCTTCCCGGAGCCCATCCCGAGATCTGTAGAGTGCTACAGATCTTGTAAATAGCTAGGTAGCGAAGTCGAAAGGCAGCAATCAAGATTGCCTGTCGCTGCGGAATTATTTTTGACTTCCGGTGTGGAGAAAGTTTTGGACGTACAAATTTCGCCAAGATTTTGGGGAGCTACCGACTACTACATACTACTACTCCAGCTTTGAAAGACGACTGGTCAGAAGTGATTACAGAGGAGGAGGAAAAGAAGAGAAGAAGCAGACATCTCAATCAGGTCATGGTCTTGAGTTCACTTCAAACCAAACTTGACGCTAAATTGTCCTTGTCTGCATTGTTGGCTGCTGTCGCCTTCGCATCGCATCGCGAGATTAAAGCCTCTACGACAAGAGTGATTACAACGATGTCCGCCGGCATCAATCCTGTCTGCAGGTCTTGCTGCCTCCTTCGACCAACCTCCGCAGCAGTGAGGACGTTTACCAGTTCATCAACAAGAGGTGCAATTCCGCCAGAATCACCCAACTTCGTCGACATTCCCGGCACCTTCCAGACCGATTTCTTCCCCCTTCAAAGACAGAAAGGCATCCTACCTGTCCCTCGAGAGATCTTCCCAGCTCGGCAACCGGACAAACCATCCCAACAATATCTATCCCGCGCCATACCCCCCCGTAAAAAAACATCAAGCAAACCGCTCAGCAACATGACCGAAGAGGAAAAATACAAAGCGCGCATGACCGACCTCCGCCGGCAACACCTCCGCTCCGGCCTCCTAGAGCTCTACAACCGCAAACAAGCCATGACGGCGCAGATGTCCTCGCGATCCACCGCGCGCCAAAAGGAGCGAGCGCGGCTGATGACCCAACCGAGCCAAGACCGAATCCCGCCGCGACGCCCTCCACACCCTCTACATGCACGCGCGCACCTTCATCACCACGGAGAAACAGCTGGCCGCCGAACTCGACCTCATCTTCGACAATCCGGCGACAGAGTGGGGTACAGCCGCCGCGGACGGGTCGAATATCTGGAACCGGGAACCGCCTGCCACGATCGCGGCGTTGTTGCAGGACGATTTGGCAAGTGGGGGCAGGCAGGAGACGGGAAGGGCGGTGCAGAGGGGCGAAAAGATGAGATATCGTCTGGATCAGCAGAGGATGAGGAGGATTGCCGAGGCGTTGAGTGGTGGGAAGATGTGAAGGGGATATCTGAGCTTTGAGCTGGGGGGGGGTTTAGGGAAGCGGGTTGGTTGGTTGAAAGTCTAGTTCGAGGTGGAATCGAAGAGAGATGTGTATATCACCAGCGAATAGATGGATATTTATAAGCTCATTGAGGCATAGATGTGGTAAGTATGCCCGTCTCCACCACCAGTGACATGCTCCAACACCACTGATCTCAGTAGCAAATAATCATACTAAGAAGCACTCCCATTCCCAAACCTATATCCCCAGACCAACACCATCCCAACGTCAGAAACAATGAATTGGCAGTCCGCTTAATCCAAACCTGAGACACACCAATCCTTTGAAAGGATAAACATCCCAATAAATAGTATCGTTATGTCATTCCAACCATCGAAAAAGAAAATCCCCTTCCAAGAACCGCGCGGGCCTACATGATCCTGCTGGAACCAGCCCAACTCCAGCCCCGACCAAGAGCACTCAACAAAACCCCCCCAGCCCAGATCGAACCGAACCAATCCATATCCAAGAACCCTCAGCCTAGCTCGATCCAAGCCGAGAGTTGAGATAGAAAATGAAACTCCAACCAGCCGTCACCCAACCCATGGGTAAGCCTGAAATGAATGAAGCGCCAGGATCCTGAAAGCTAACACGAGGACCGCAATAAAGACACTAGCTCACCAAGGCGAGGCAGAGAAGAGCAGAACCAGAAAATCCCGTTTCTGCTAGCCTGCCAATCAGCCAGCCAGCCAGGGTGGGTATCTGGTTCGATAGATAGAAACATGAAAAGATACAGAGGACAAGAAAACTGAAAGGAAGGATGTGAAACAAATGCGTCGTCGGGCACCAACTAATCTTGCGCTTGGTAGCACAGCGCAGGGTATCATGGTACCATTAGTTCCTTGAAGTTGGAATGGATGGATGGATGGATGGACAATTGGAGTTGAAACCGCGATCCCTTGCATCCCCAAGGTTCTTCGTAATGGTTGATGAGGTTTTAGACGGGTGATTGCCTCGGTGGTGGGATGGAGGTTCAAGAGGTGTGATGCCAATGCCGATGCCGAATCTGATGCCGCTATGATGTTCTGCTGATCCATTGCTGACGCTTTTGGTATAGAGTGGAGACATGTCCAGGAAAACTCTGCGGCATGAAACATGTAGAGATTCAATCCTGGTATCACTGTATTATTATTGACATTTTTGCGTTCGTCTTGGGCTCTTTGATTGGCTTCTGCTTCATCACTTTCGTTTGTCTTTTTCCGTTCTTTTCTTGTCAGTGAGTCGATCAATAGTATTGTCACCAATCGCGCTTAGTGCTCATTCAGGATAGCCACTTGGGGCCAGTCTTTCGTAGGTGATACTGCTGACGTTACGGGATTTTCGATCTGGTCTCTCCTGCTCCCTGAAGTATCATCCGTGTCTTCTACTCGTTCTCGTCGGCGGAGATTTCTTTCGTAGCAACGGCATCTCGACCTTTCGACTATCTTTGTGCTGTGTTCTCGGCTTTGAGCTTCTCCTTCTCCTCTCGCATTCGTACCGGCCCATCCTCGCCCACAATACCACCGCTACCTCCACACCCCTCCCCACTTTTTTCATTTTCTTCGATGCCACCACCACGAGCAGCACCAGCCAATACAGTCTTGACCCCTACTGTTGCCGTCTTGACCCTCTCTTTCATCTTTCGCCCTTTGCCATGCTTCTCATCTTCGTCGTCCCTATTCCTTCTTTCGAGCTCATCCAGGTCCTCCTCATCGCTCGAACTGATGCTACTGCTGTCACTCGTCCGCTGCAGGTACTGCACACTGCCCTTCATCTTCCTCTTTCTCTCCACTTGTTCCTGCTTTAGTCTCTTCAACTTCTCAGCGTCTGCCTGACAATCCAGCGTTACGACTCTCAAACCTGGCAATGAGTGGCGCATATAGTCCCGAAAATTTGGCAGGCATTTCGCACTAGGCCGGTAGGTCCCACTGTCATTATCGATAAAAAGTTCGTAGCTCGCTGGATCCGTGGAAGAGTCCGTGCCATTAGGATCAGGTTTCGAGTCGTCATCTGCATCGCTTTCTGCTTCGGGTGGTAGCGCATTCGATTCTGGATCCTGACTATCAGCGCCGCCTTCGCTTCTACTACTGCTTCCTCCTGGACTAGCTCGCTTCACTATCGGTCGCCGCGACTTCTTGATACGGCGGATAAAGAATTCTCCGCTGAAGGCGATGTAGATACTCACATCGCTATGCATGGTATGCTTGGACAACATGTCGATCCCAAACTCCTTTCCCGTTTCTGTGAAGCGCCATTGTGCGTCAAGAGTTAGTACGTACGTAAATATCCTGCCACCGTGATCGTAATGCACGAAATTGAGGAACTGCTTTGTCATGTCTATGCATGGCTCCTGGAAGCATCCATACTGAGTTGAGCGGTCGAAGTTGTAGATGCGACTATGCTGGTGATGTAACGCATGGTTAAGAACTCGTCCTGTTATGGAGCGGGAATTGAACATGCCGGCAATGAAGGGCTTGAACTCGACATAGCGGTGATACAAGTCCGCAGGTACAGGGCCGGCAAGTTGCATCTGTATGGCCTGGAAGTTGTACCTCTCTGGCATTTTCTTGCCGTCTTCGGTCTCACTTCTATCCTTTGTACCTGTCAGCCGGCCTATCAGCGGTGAATAGTGCCGCGTCCATGGTAGGGGTCCCAGGGTATATACTCGTCCTCCATCACCCTCGGATCTACCCAGACATTCGACGCTGACTATCAAATCGCCATTCATCTTCACATTGCTGGAGATAAGGGCCGCGCATCCACGGAAGAGATACGCTCTCTTGCTGGCCATCCGTTTCTTGATGGTGTAGCTTTGCTCCGCTAGGCCACCCCATCCTTCGCTAATACCTTTGATATGTACGTGGACATTCCCCAATCGATCATCATGGTCGGCAGGGTCCTCATCAAACAAGCGAATCTTCATGGTAAAGCCAGAGGCCGGCACATGTGCAACTTTCCAGACAGAGTTCCACTTTGGATTGGTGTTCCGTCTTATTGTGGGTGTACGGAAGACGAGGTCGGGATCTTGTTTATGCCTTTTTGGCAGGTCTGTTTTCAGAACTGCGACAAGGTATGGATCTGAGGAGAGCGAAGTGAAGTCGGCAAATGGAAGGTTGTGGGCTCGATGAAAAGTAATTCTCACGGTGTAACCTGGTATTTGCGAAGGGATGGAAGTGGCGTCAAAGCCCCCAGCTGGCTGCTTATCTTTCTTCTCATGTTCTTGCTGGTGTGATTGAGGCGCATGTGCCTCTGCCTTTTGGTGGAGTTTGTAGGTTTGACGCAAGAACTTTCTCTCTGCTTTGTCGCTGTGGTTGTGTGGGTTGCGCAAAACTGGATTAGTTTGAGGGATGGCTTCAGCCATTGTGGGAAGCTGAGGTGTTCGTGGTTGCTTATCTCGAGATGTGGTGGGATGAGAAAGTGGATTGACTTTCAAGAGTCTGAGGGTCGCTTAGCACCGCTCCAACAAGCAGCCATTCTGGCTCAGAGAAAGGGTGGGAGGGGAATGAAATAGGGATGATGATTATTCAGAATTGATGACGGCAGTATTTGGCGTACAGCATCGCCAATTGCAAGTTTGTAATACGTAGTAGAGGAATTGAAGCGATAGCTGCTGAGATGGCTGGCCCCACTTCTACCCTGAAAAGCTTAGGAGAACTTAAGCTTCAGTCAAGCTTCTGATCATCCTGATCAGCCTGCTTGGAAGCAGCCAAGACCCACCACTCCGAGCCTGGTCTGATTGACTAATTAACAGACTCGGTTTATTCAAGCAACTGCATGTTAGGCACTGCAGGCCATGACGATCGCCAGCAGGACCCTTCAACTTGGCAAATTCCACTGCATACATTCACCTAGCACCGGCTGGATGGGTGAAGGCAATGCTGTTCAATGTCTCACATCATTCCGTAACACATACTAGACATCTTAGATTCTGATAGCCTAAATTGACTTCTCTGCAACAGTTCTTTCGCCTTTCGGCATGCATTCTTTCCGACGTCAGTAGAGAACTCGGCTGGGAGGGAGGCACGCTCCAAGATGAACTTCATAGCGACAGAGTACGAGTGTTGCCATCCATTATTTGCAATGTCTCTGGGAGATCACATTGTGGTCTACTATTTGGTTATCATCCATGATTATAGCTTGTCATAATTTAGAAAGCTATATATTCACTTTCATTTGAGATTTTTTCTCCTGTGGGTTGGTCATATGGGTGTGTAGTATATTCCTTGGTTTTCCAAAGGAATGAAATGATAAGGGGTTCAATTCCCCGCCTAACTAGGCTTTTTTGCCCCGACAAATCTCACCGTTTTCCCACTTCAACAGGCATCCACCACACTCCCGGCCAAACCCAACCACCTATTGTCATTGCACGGCTTGTTCTTTTAATATAACGCTTCATCTCCAATTTCAAGGCGAATTTCCTACTGGGCAATTGTATGCGCCCTTGGCTCAATACACTGAGGACACTTACGGCGGACTGTTACGGGCTTTAAGGCCAATTCAAATTTTTGAATTTTCAAAATCCATTTTGAAAATTTAAGATCACTTCACGACACCCTCTCAGAGACACCCTCTCTAGGGTACTGAGTACCTCCCGGTCAATCAATTGAATCTTCGTACATACTCCTGTAGCGTGAAGTTAGGATAGAATAATTAGTGAGGGCCGCGGGGAATCTAAAATAGATTCTGCCCCGCGGCGCCGGCAATTCGAGGGTAGGGCCAACGATTCGCAACACTTTCGCAATGCACGATAATTTCTCGGAATGCGTTCGGAGCGGTCCATTCGCGGCCCGCGAATGGACCGCTCCGAACGCATTCCGGTAATTTCTATCTCAAAAGGAACAATGCAACGGTCTTCGATTTGAGATGCAGAAGTCATCACAACACCAAATATAGAAGATCATCGGCGCTAACAGAACACATGCCCCCCCCCCCCTTCCCCGCGGCCTCTTGCTGCACTCGGAGGCGACGTATTATGTCAAAATCGTAAAATTCTACAGACTTCTAAATAAGAACGGAAATCTTGACCCCTGGTCAGCGGACTGGTGCAATGCAATACGAATAAGCGAGGAGGCGCACCCACCTGAGGAAGAGGGGTTTCGTGATGGCAGCGGCACAATTTGAAGAGCTGAGGGGAGCCCGGACCCCAGGTCGCAGGACCAACGGCGCAGAGCAGCTGACCTGGAGGGCAGAAACAGGGTAAAAGAGAGACGATGAAGAGAGGGGACCAAAGAATAGGAGGCCAAGGCAGCTCATAATAACTTATAAAAGCAGCCATTTTCGAAGGCGGAACGGGTGACTTCTTCAAATCTTCTTACCATCTTTATTTTCTTTTCATGAGCAGTAGCTGACTGCTTCTATTCACATTGATTTTCAGTTACGTAACTCGATCCCACCACTCTTCCACGATGCCTATGCCACGCCTCTCTAAGCTCTTTCTCCTCGCTTTCTTATTCGTCCTGTCCGTCTCCACCGTTTCCGCCGCCGGCAGTATCCACAACCAGTCCCCTTGGACCCTCAGATACACCACCAACCCCTCCCCCAACACGCAGTGCACCTCATGCTGCTACTTCTGGAACTGGCGCAACTCCTCCCCGCGCGGGCAGATGTGCAGCTGCACGCAGCGCGATCTGGCCTCCAAGGTCTCTTCTCCTAGCGGCACCGACGTCGACGGCTTCACCTTCGCAACGCGCGATTATTATACATCGGGCGTGTGGGTGAGGAGAGGCCAGTGGACCAAGTTTTCTGACATTGAGACGATAAGATGTGTGAGCAAGGGCGGCGTGCCGAGGTGCTGCAAGACAGGAGATCCCGATTCGTACGGTTGCTGTTGGGGAGTGGCGCCGGGCCCGAATGGGATTGTTTGCTGAGTAGAGGAGACCTTAGGAGTCTCTGTGCCATGCATCCTCCGTTCAACCCGTGTGGGGATACATAAGCGGGAGTGGTGGGTGTGAAGCATTCGTGGCGATGCATTTAGATGCTTCTACGGTTTCCATGGTACATTTTCCTAGTACACGCGTTAGGCCGTGACTTCGGTGCTGGGGCTGGGTATCTCTCCAAATTGTTCAACTTGATCTTAGTGAAACTCACATATGTTGGTAACATTGATGGGTAGTGTCTACAGGAAAAGGCAGTTGGCACTTCTCCCTTTGTCCTGACGAACTACCCTATATTTAGTCTCTAGCGCAGGCACCTCCCATACTCTGCAAGCTAGAAGCAAAGGTCGGATATGAAGTCTGTCAGAGTGGTCAGTCGAGGTAGTCTGAAGAGTTTTCTCTTTTATAGTCTAACTCAAGACGCGCTGTATGATGCTGCCCCTCCTATAGGAAATCAAGAAATCACCACAAGCACTGCTGATGCCGTTAAACAAGATCCGCACTATGCTGCATAGGATTGTATGGTTGATTGTGCTTCAATGGGGCGAACATGAGCATCGTCTCCAGACATCACCTGAAGAATATTAGTGGTCTATAGAAATTGACGTGGCCGTCTGCCATTAGTATTGGTACATCCTATGCTTGGTAGACTCTTCCTCCGATCCAAAGGCGGTAGCGCTTCAGATGAGTCCTGCTCATACATAGAAGCTAACACGGTATAAACTCTACCCAACTGAACCAGAGACATCATCGTTGACCATGTTCGCGTGGATAGAATTGTCCGCCAGCATTGTCATCGGTCGCCAAATGAAGTGAATCGCGATCCCGCATTCCCTCGCTTTAATGATCTAGAATTCTCCCTCTCCGTAATGCCTGCAAGAGTATTGGTGCTGCCACCTCGAATTGTAGGCAGCGCTGCCAACGTATCGCCGCTTGTGGGCGATGTGATGGCGAATGGATGGCTTGTTCTTTGCTCAATGTACAGCTGAGCGGCTGCTGATAATGGTATGGCTGGCATTTGAGAGGGGATCTCGCCGCCATTCTGCACTAGAAGCTCAGCAATTGGAAATGCCTTCGGTTTACCTGGACTCGGACTTGCTTTGCTGTTCGGCGATACCGAGGGTGAAGGTGCAGCAGAACCCGGAGCAGCAGGGTCCGCAGCTGCGAGAGCCAGAAAGATTGCATGCGTATTGCGCGATCGATCACAGGCGTTCACGTTGCCCTTTAACGCGATGCCATACAGAACACCTTGAATATCGTTTTTCTTGATTGAAGCAAGGAGAGTTTCATCAGGAGTGGCAAATCTAGACTGAGACCCTGATATAGGCATGACGTAAGCTCGATCACTGTACTTAGCATTGATGAATTTGAGCCTCTGCTCCCGGTTCGATTGTGGAGAGGGCTTCAAGCTTCTGTCAAGACTTGCTTCCCAGATCATGTTGCTAACACGGTTGCCGACGAGTAGTAAAAGCTCTACAATATCATTTGTGAATGAAAGGGTGTCCAATGTTAGCGAGCGAACCTTGGAGATGTGGGTGCCGAGAGAGCGATGAATCCCACTGCATTCGATGCACAACACTATTCCAAGATTTATGGATACCCATTCGACTTTGGAGCTTGAGCCGCAATCTGCACACCAGGTGTTACCTTGATCTGCATTTCGAATCTGTTGAAGAAGTTTCGAAGGGTTCTCGTCAAAACTGTTGCTGCTAGTGCGCATATAAGATGGACGAGCACCAACCGTGATGCTTCTGTTCACGCTCGAGGAGTCTCGCGTATGGTAACCATGCTGGCCAGAATATGAAGAGCTTTTGCCGGTGAGAGCTGAACTGATATCCCGGCCAGAAGAGTCACGCTGACTTGTCTGGGGAGTAGAGGAAAGCCCCCGACTTTCAAAAGCGCTTTGAAGGGCATTGTTGATGGCTGTAATCCAATTACTCATATCTTCCTCCGAAGTTGCCTGATAAATCCTCTTGAACTGGGGTGTGATGACCTCAAAGCAGAAGCGACGGTCTGCATCTCGTGCCATTCTAACAGATGCCATGCGAAGGTCGATGGGTTCCATGTGTAGGTCCAGTTTCTGCTTCCAATTGCTATACTCGGACAATCGTCCCTGATCTAGCACGATCCAAAATCTGAGTCACATCAGCAAGCGTTTCATGGTAGATGACGGGAGGAACCTACTTATGCCAGGCCTGCTTGTTGATGCCTTTAGGATCGATGTGCGACCCTGGTCGGCTGAGTGCCCATAGCAAGCCCTCTTTACGATATTGGCCGCTAGCGGGCCTATCCGAAGTTGAGGTGTTGCTTTCCCGCTCCTCAAGATCCCGGATGCCCTTGAACCGGTTTTGACCTGGTGAAAAGAATGTACTGCTAGGTGAGGTAGAATAAGCACTTCCAGGTGGAGGGCCAAGCGTAGAATTACTTGGAGAGAGAGTGATGCCAGATTTGTTACTGAGGCTGTGCGTTAGTTGAGAGCTAGTACTGTCGGCTCGACCGAGATCTGAGTCCGAGGTATAGTTGTAGCCATTCTGCAACGGAGTGGCTGCTGCTTCTGACACAGACTGAAGATTGTTTGCTGGTTCGTTATATGATGCTGTGCTTTTTTCCAGCGTTCGCCGCTTCTCTTCACGTTCTGTTCGTTGAAACTTGTATTCCTTGTCCGCATCGCTGACTTCGCGGACCAAAGCATCCAATTGCGGGCTCATTTCTTCTATCTTCTTCGCCGTGGCAAGAAATGATTTGGCTTGACCATCTGCATACCGTGTCAGATGAGAGAGCAGCTCTTGTTCCTTCCGTCCTCCATGAAGATCTGTCATGAATGACGAGTAGTCAAACCTCTTCAGCTCGAAATTGCGTCTCTTTGTTTGATATTTATTATCACTCTCGGTTCGCTTCTTGTCCTTCATGGAGTCTTGCCTTTGACCAAGATAGCGACTGACGTATGCATAATAGTCACGACTCTCATCTTCAAAGTCTTTCTTTTTGGCCTCTGCCTGCTTGATGTCTAGGTTATAAAGCTTTGACAACGGTTCTATGATTTGTTTTTGGAGATGTGCAGAGTTTTGCGTCTCATAGTGGAGAATCTGCTGTGCGATCTGGTTGAAGTAATGATCCAGCGCTGGCTTGATCGCGCTAGCATTCGACCCAGAAGCCTCCTTCAAAGCAGCCAAAAAGCCTTTCATGGCCTGGTTGCATTCTACCTGTGCCTGCTGAGCAGCTTCGGCCTTCTTTAGGACCTTCTTCATTTGAGTTCGCATGTTACCTGTCTTCTGCTCCAGGGACTTCATCGTTGCGCGAAAAAGTGGACCGTCTTCCACGACGCTCATGTCTTCACCCGGACGCTGACAGGAAACGTCAACCACTGGCGCACTATTTATTACCGAAAGAGCTCCATTGGCACCAGGGTCTGGTACTGGATCAACCGGTGACGGCGGGTCCTGCTGGAAGCCGAAGGGCTCCCCTTCACTGATCTTGGACTGGTATGATTGTGAAGAGGCGACCCGTAGTCTAGGTGGAACGGACATTTCGAGAGCTGGCGAAACGAGAGATGTCTGCTGGGTATCTCTCTGGGCATTCTGTACCCAGAAAGAGAAGGATGCGAGGGTATGTAAACGATGCGCCCGTTGGTCGTATTCCAGGAAGCTGCAGCTATTACGCCAACCGCCCCCTCTGTCCTCAGTCGGCTTCGGTGGCCTCCACTTCCAAGCCCAATCAAACTGCACCGCTGGGCTGCCATCTGTAGAATAGTCGCCGACCAGTTGAACATTCGAGTTCTTGTGTAAGTTCGGGTCTGCATGGAACTCTCTGGTCACAAGATTATCAAGATCTCTGTAGTTGGAAGCATATGCAAAAGTCAAGCCTGCTATCGACGTATCGACGTTTGTGGTAGTCGCCACTCCGGAGGGTGAGCTGCTCAATGGTGCAGCAACTGTTTGCCTCGATACAAACGTGAACCGGAAACTCAACTCATCCTCATAGTGGAGTTGCAGGATAAAGGCCGGAACGGAAGCTTCGGGATCCTGTCATACTGTAACTCAGCCTATATCTCATTACTTCAGCGGCTGCGCCCATCTTCGGCCTACCTGCACGTAGTTCACCGGGGTATCATCTCCTAGGTCTCGTTTTGCTGTGAGTCGCACCGCTGGAAATGCATTGGGGGTGATGTTGAGTATGACGCTTTGAGTAGAATTGCTGACGGTCAGCTGCGCGATCGTAACTAAACCAAGTATCAGTATCAATGAACCTAGGCGCACGGCAATGCCTCGACCCACATCGTGTTTGATCCCTCAGGTACAAAGCAGCCCCCTCGTCTGGTTTGCTGCTGATATTTCCCATGCTCCTTCAGCTTTCTGCCTCGAGTCTTCGCGCTGTGCAGTCATGCAATCTTTCGAAGCATAGGAGGTGAGATTAATGAGCCGAGATGTTTGGGAGGTACAGGCTGTTGATGGGTTGAATGTCGCTTGGCGATTAATCTCGATGAAATGAAACGATAATTTCAAATGAACAGCGTGTGCATTATGACTAGGTTGCCTCGATGCAGTAACCTGTGTGTTGTAGTATGCATGTGAACATTGTTTGAATATCTCATGCTCCATGGTCATGATCATATTCTGCGACCACAAATCACCTGGGTGGGGGGCGGTTCACAGCGCAGCCCGCCAAACGCGGGTGGGCGCGAATGGCTAAAAGCGTACTCGTGCTTGGTATCAGCTAGTAATTGGAATGCCAGTGCCAGGGGCTACTAACAGGGCAGACGATTCACCGTGTATCGGATTGGGGCCCACAGCACAATTGTGAAATGTGACTTGGTCGTAGGAACTACAACTGAAGGAACTACATGAATGTTTCTGTGATGGTATCATTATTGCGAATATTGAGATCACTGCAAAGCCAACCTCTCCCCTGTTAAGTTACGTGTACTTTCCGCCCCCGGAGAATTTGTCGCGATGATCTTTTGGATAAATGTGACAAGTAGTCCTATGAAAATATATGTGAAACCTTTCTAAGCCCCAAATGCTAGATCAATGTGCTGGGAACCAAGAGCGATTCAGACTCGTCAAATTGGTAAAGCGTTTTCTTCTTCTTGTTCAGGTACGTTCTCGATGATCCAGTGCCATGTTGCTCAAAAACTCCAGCCACATTCGGAATGGGATTACAAGCCAGCTCCACACAGCCTAAAAGACAAGCACAAAAGAGTCATTTTGGATTTCCACGGCGGAGCATACGTAACACCGAGTCCCAGGCTGCCGAATCCGCAATCGGGGCCGAGGATATTGGGAGAAGAAATGTCCGCCATTATCGCATGTCGACTATTACTTGTGATGTGTTTTGATTTCCCAGGACGCAACTTCGTCCTTTCAATACTCCTCGAATGAGGTACCCTACTTTGGAGATCTTCCTCTCTAGTATATCAGCTGATGTGCACCTTGCGGTGTCTCTGCTCAGAGACATGTTCGATCATGCTACTAGTAGAGCGCCCCTTAGTCCATCTGCTGCGTGACTCTGGAGTGCTTGGCTCTACCTTACGACCCCCACAGGCCATCGATCAGAGCTCCTACCGCAAGAATCAAGATATGGCATCCTTTCCCCAAATCTGAGACTGCACAAGCATCTGTATACTTCTTACGGACGTTTGAGCTGCAAATTCCTCCAGTGGGTCATCCGTTTCGTACAGAAACACTACTATATGTTCAAGAAGGGACGACAGACGTCCTGCACGATGAAGGAGTATTGTTTATAGAGAAAATGAGACGAACATGCGGTAATCAAATTTGCTTACCCCAGGTCCGTTACGAGCCTTACAACACCTTTGTCGCCACAGCTGTTCTAGGCTACACCACTGAACCGGCAGTCTCGATTGCTGCAGTAGGGTATTCGTCTATTGTATCAGAGATCGAAAACCTTGCTCGTGGAGGCTGGAGTGAGAGACCGGGCAGCAGTGCAGCAGTAGGTGTACGGGAAGGACGAGGTTGGCGCTGTGCCTTTTATCCAGGAGTCAGTTGGGCTAAATCCTCTTACCTTTTCAGCAAACAGATCTTGCATCAGAAACTGACATTGCCTGGATATTTCCACGTTACCTTAATGCATCATTTGACGACGCCGTCAAAGCTCGAATGGTAACTGTTATGTGCTAGTAAGTGGTGGTAGTGAGCAACTGAGCAGTAACTGTCTTTATTTATATCAGATATCCTGCATAGGATGGAGAGGAACCGCGGGTCGAACGTGCACAGTCAGTCAAACACCACCACTCAAATTGTGATTGTTTATGACTCTACTAGAATCCCAGACTACCCACCCCAAATGCCACAAAGGCTAAATGACTTGAATCGTACGTTCCACTGAAATCGCGTTTAGTGGATACGCGTCAACCTCTTTCCAATCATCCTGACCACAGCCAACAGTCGTGGTAAATTGGCTGTGGATTCCTCCTTTGCCGCCAATACAGCTGTATTGAGCGGCTTTCCGGCTGCGATGGCACTCGAGCGTGCTGCCGCGGTTGGACGCTTTGGACATCGGTCCCTCTGATGAAGCAAACCATCGTTGCAACCAGGAAGGAAAGAATATGCCGTTTCTGAAAATGGACTTGTAAGTCGGAAGACATGCACACACTATACCAATGGCCATCTGAACAGCACCCCAGTTGACAGCATGCGGCAAAGCATCTATAATTCCACTCAACAACCGATATGCTAAGGAATACAGTGGCCAGCTTACCTAGGTTGCGGATAGATGTATTATAAAGATAAATGACTCTGATCATACACGCAATACAAATACTGCCCGTAAATGTTAGCAAAAGCTCTAGGACCACAACCGTTCCCATGACTGTTCTCAGAGACAAGGAAGGTAAAATGTGAGCACTTACAATCCACCCACCGCGAACACACCACTCACAGCAAGCTTCTGCCGTAACGGCAGCTGAAGCTGTATGGTTCCATAGATAGGCAGACACAAAATCGCAATATCCAGAAGCATGTTTGACAACTCGTAGCCAAGAATAAATCTTCCATACAGGATACACTTGGCTTGCCCCTGGTGTACCAGCTCTAATTTCCACGCAGCTTCCACGGGTATGCATTGGAATGTGTTGACGAGAAAGCAAACGAGAAACCACACCATGCAGAGTATCAGGAGAGAGGTATTGACGTGACGGTACCATTGAGTGGTGAATATCTTGCGCAAAAACAACAATATCGATATCTTGATGGTAGTAATTGTGGTAGTGAAGAGAGCTGTGATAATGTAACTATACTGTACAGACGATCTAAGATCAGCTTTTTGGATCGATCCGGAAAGTCTGTGGTACACGGACCTTAAGCAGATTGTTGAGCTGCGGAATAGCCATTACCGCCGTGTCGAGGGTTCCGCCAGAGGTTACGACGCCTTGGACACATTAACAACTTGGCGCATGAGGCCTCAAGCAAGCAGTGCACCTGCCTTGAAGGAGACACGCAGTAAATGCAACCAGCACTAACAGTGCGCCAACAATGAACCAGTCCTCACTTGCAAACCCCAATCTTGTATTCTTCTTCGCAAACATCCGTAACATAACTGCTAGGGCGCCGAGCACCATCAATGTAATGTTTACGCCGAAGGCCGTACGTCCAGTAGCCTGGAGGGCCATCTTGCAGAGGATGAAGCGCAACGGGAACAGTAGACCTCAGGCCAAAGGTGGAAAGCGCGAAACACAGTGCTGAAATTGAAATAAACTCTTCAAACGCAAGGTCCGTCGACGAGGACATCCATTAGATCCTGCACATTCCCCCGGAAAAGAACCCCGCGCACTCATGATGGTCAGACTATTTATACGCAGGAATCACAACCTTTGGACCCAGGATGCACACGTACACATACATGTGTTGGCACTTGGCCTGATCACGCACTGTTTCTCAGCCAGGATCTCAAACCATGCACAGAATACGCGGGCATGCATCACGTATACGCTAAGTCTAGCGCAGCATAACCATTCTAATACAAAAAGAGCTAGTGGTATCCAATTCCAGTTAGCGTATATTCAAGGCTTTGGATCAACGACTTCATATCTAGGCTAGAACTTCTGATACCGGAGTTCTGGACATTGGGGGCCATATAGATGCATATTAGTCATGTAAGCACTAAGGTGATGAGTACTAGGTGTCACTGAGAGTGGGATTCGAAGGCTGGCTTCTCTGGTAAGTGATGGTTTTCTTGCACACTGGCACCATGGCATGTTCCGAGCTTCAAGGTGTGCCTTACTACGTATTGCCAAGACTTGACTCAGCTACTAGGGCTTGGGAACGAGTTTCAAGGATGGTCGGATTTTATTGGCCGCCCCTACAGCCTGATCAAAGACAAAGATTGACGACAAAATGTGGTAAATATAACTTTGCTCAACAACGGTCCGGGGTGAGATATCTGATTGTCTCTAGCGTCTCGCTCGAGGCTCACCATTCCACAGTGTTGTCATAGTCTCGATGCCTAATATTATTGCTACTTGAGATCATAGACCTCATTGCCGCAACAACATGAGGCGCAACCAGCTGATGTTTGCCTTTGCAAATGAGAATTGTAGACCCCACACTGATACCAGATTGTTTGACTGAGCATGGCTCAAGATACTGAAATATAGTGTGACAGAAAGTGCTCCGCCATCCCCTGGAAAAAACCATAGATTTTTTTAGCAGTAAGGTCAAGGATTGACTTATTTCTGCTAGGATTCCTGATTGACCTGGATTGATTGTTAAGCATTGGCCATTAATGGATCGAATCTCTTACTAGGAGAAGGGACGCCTGAGCTATCCTAGCTGCCTTTAGGACTACACTACCTTGGCTCAATAATGCTGAATCTTATTGGAGTAACCTGGATACCGTTTTCTGTTAGTGGTGATTTGCTTGAGCATTTACTCTGAACGAACTCTTCATTTATGCGGCACACAAGCTGAGCAAAGTGGAACCACTGTGGTCATCGTGGAATTCGTGCTATCCCTGTCAATGCCTTTCTGAAATGATCATCATGGATCCAAAGGGATGTTGCGTAGTTTGAAAGGGTAAATAAAGGAAGACGTTTGAGCTGGATTAGAAATTTAATCTGAGTGATAGACATTCAGAAGGACCCTATGGAAGCATGCTGCCTACCTCTCGTACGATCGCCCTCCTGGTCCTGCAGGTCCTGCAGCTGTAATGAGCCTCGCCACCACATCATCGAGGATGCCCGTCTATACGTATGCTGTGGTGGTAAGGATCCTGTCCCCGTCCAAAGCCTACCTCGCCAGTCTTTGCACCCACCGGCTGCTCCTGTCGGCGCGATACGTAGCGTATCTGGTTCGAAGAAGCCGTACCGAGCGCATTGCTGACATTGCATAGTACATAATGCTCATTATCCACGCCGCCAAGGTCATTTTAGACCCGTGTCCATACGACGAGCACAGAGAACTCAAATTGGCAGCCGAGCAGAATGGATCCCAGCAGGAAATGCAGCGCAGAGGAACAGAAGTTTCGCCTGAGCGTGGGAGACACGAGGCTGGTAATGCTGCGCCAGGGCCTTTTCATGGCGTCCGCAAGGACGGAAGAGATAGGCGCTGGTTATCAACGGGGGAGACAAGCAGAGTGAGCTAGGTCCGGGGAGAATGAGTGGAGAGCGGCACATGACTGGGGGTTAGAGGGAAGGAAGTCTTTGCCGCGTTGGCAATGGTTGTGAAGGGTGGCTCAGACGGCGGAGAGGACGCTGAAAAGGGTTTGTGGAATGACGATCGTGTTGATGTCAGTACGAGTGAAGTTGTGGAGTATGGCGAATTGGTGGAGGACGGTTTAAGGTACCGAGGAGGTCTGGTGGGAGTATCAATGGTGGTCAGCCTTTTCCGTACCGTAGAGGCTCTGACTCAAGGAGAGATTACTTTGGCTTCCTCGTTTGTGGCTGCAGTATGCTTTGGGATAATGCGTTGATCCGCGACTTTTTCGGCTTATTTTGAAGTTTTTATATAGTGCTTCTCGTCTTGCTCTGGGAAGTGGACATGGCCAGGTCATGAAGTGATGCTTGAACCTAAACCTTGAACTTAGTATCAAACGGCTGAGGCGAAGATAAGCGAAGCTCTGCCAATGTATTACTACGATGATGAGTCTCCTGCATTCAGGGACTCGTCCTCTTGATATTGCAAGAATACCGCCGGCTCTTCCTCTGGATATTCTTGGTTACTCATATGATTCTTAATTCCCGGGCTAGGACGCTAATCATTGTGATGTGGTCTAGACATATCAGCAGTTGCTCATGCTGACTCATTTGCCACTGTTCAGATAACTCAAGAAGCAATTCCAGCCTGGATGTTTTCAGTCAGCACAACAACAGTTTTCCCTTCTTGAGAAGGGGAATGTACCTAAACTGACAATATTCACGACTAAAACTCGGTGCTGGAGAGGTACAATGCTGAAATTGATGGCTTGAACTGCTGGCCACACAAGCCAATTTGCCTTGAGACCAGCAAAATACGATTTTTCGAGCTTCTCCCTGGGACTACTTCCTTCAAGAATGGCCATGCTTGATAGGAAACAGAAAAGGTTCGTCGTGGCGAATACGGTTTGGTCAGCCAGTACTCGAGCTGCAATTGTTGCATTGTAGTTTGGGAGATTGATCTTTCTCTGCAAGAGTTGATACCACCTGGTGGCAGCCGGTCCAAAAATGGCTGGAGAAATCTTAGCTTGAGCACTTACACCAAGTTCAGAGCACACTTCACCTCCTCCGTAAAGGGCCATGCGTCCTGATCGTGCTAGATCATGATTTGCGAAGCCTTTCTTCTCCACAGCTTGCTGCGCTAAGGTATCGCCAGCGGCAAACAGCACCTGAACCGAAGGATTAGCAGGCCATGCGTTTAGGAGGCACTTAGCCAGGAGGAGGTTCTTACAGCGGTCGTAATACTCTGAGTGATGAGTGGTCGCTGCGCGAGCTTCGCCTGATACCTGTAAAAGATTGGCTTCTATGCTTCCAGTTGGAGCTTCATGCTCACCAGCGTAGCATCTCAACGACCAATGATCAATTCGAAGTTGCATCTAGGAAAGATCTGAGTTTACCACCGTAGTTACATTAGAACCATGATGTACTCCATCGCTAGCAATACAACGAAGTAGCAATCGAACAAATTGGTTTGACTTTCCTTTACAAACAAGAACCATAACGCCATACTATGACAAGGTAAGTTGGATAGGATCCGCATGCCAAGAATTAAACAACGCTTATCCTCTTGGGGCCAACTCGAAGCCCTAATTATCATTTTACCCCAGTCCCACCGAAGAATCACCTCAACTAGCACGTTAATCACAATCGTCCCACAACGCTCTGTAGTTGAGACACCTACCTGCTCCTACCGTTCAGTCTCACAACATGGCCGACGCACCTCGAGGAGGCGCTGCAGGAGGCGCAGGGCGGGGAGGCTTCGGCTCCCGCGGCGATCGAGGTGGTGATCGTGGGCGAGGACGTGGACGACGAGGACCCCGTCGAGGAGGCGCAAAATCCGAGGAGAAGGAGTGGCAGCCAGTCACAAAGCTGGGTAGACTCGTGAAAGCCGGCAAGATCACAAGCATGGAGCAGATCTACCTTCACTCCCTGCCGATCAAGGAATATCAGATCGTGGATTGGTTCCTACCAAAGTTGAAGGATGAAGTCATGAAGGTGAGATGGTGGCGGATCATGCTACGAGAAACCAAGAAATACATCATCTGCGAAATTGGTGCTGACGACCATTATTCAGATTAAACCTGTGCAAAAGCAAACACGTGCCGGTCAACGTACTCGTTTCAAGGCCATCGTGGTTATTGGAGACTCGGAAGGCCACGTGGGTCTGGGTATCAAGACTTCCAAAGAAGTCGCAACCGCAATCCGTGCTGCAATTATCATCGCCAAACTCTCAGTCCTGCCTATCCGAAGAGGCTATTGGGGTACGAACCTTGGTGCGCCGCACAGCTTGCCTACCAAGCAGAGTGGAAAATGCGGCAGTGTCACTGTCAGGGTAAGATATCATCTTCCATCATAGCCTATACATCTCAGCTAACGCTGATTCCTAGCTTATTCCTGCTCCCCGTGGTACCGGTCTCGTCGCATCCCCAGCCGTCAAACGCCTTCTCCAGCTTGCGGGAGTGGAAGACGCGTACACATCGTCCGCTGGTAGTACCAAGACTCTTGAGAACACGCTGAAAGCTACCTTCGTGGCAGTCGGCAACAGCTATGGCTTCCTGACACCGAATCTGTGGAAGGAGACGAAGCTGGGAAGGAATCCGCTGGAGGAGTTTGCTGACGTGCTGAGAGAGGGCAAGAGGTACTAGACGGCGATAACGCACAGCGTTTCAGATGCAGTACGGAGGAGAAGTCGACGTGGAGAGACCTTACCAGCCTGTTGCGTCCAGGTCACGAGTGACAGCTTAGCATGCAATCTTTGAAGGACGCGATATGCTGCCCTAAGGCTAGGAATCATGATTCCCCAACCTTAGAGAAACCATTAGAAGTCAATCATGCTGTGACTGAATTATTAGACTAATACACATACGTGTAACGGCTTTGCGGCGTAAGCAACATCTAAGTATGTCACCTAAACCATATCTGCATTGATCGTTGTGCCTGCTTGCAAGACCCACGCAGTGGCTCATATCAGCAGCGATAGCAAGAATGCCGCCTGAAGGCCGTCGGATCGCGAGATCGGTTGCCACACTCGTATACCTCAAATCCACCCCCTTTCGTCTAGACAACGAACTTCGCCTTTGCCCTTGTACTGCCCGCATGCGCACTATCCGTATGTCCACTAAACTCGACCTGTTCGTTCGGCCCCAGCTTCATCGTCTCCTTGAACCTCTGCCCAATCTTCATCAACGCCTCTTTCCCAGCACCATCTCCGGCCTTGGCTTTGCCGACCGTCCTCGTCCACAGCCCAATCCGAAAGAATGCCTTCCTAACATTGATGACCACGCCCATGACTTCGTTGTCGTTGTCTTCTTCGAGGGTCTCGCCGATGGCGGCTAGTTGTGCATGGAGCCACAGCTCGTCGATGTCGATTCCTTTCTTGTCTTTAAACTGGTAAGACCACTTGCCGCCGTGCTTGTTCTGCGAGTCCTCCCATTCGGGACGCACACCGCGTTTGAAGAGGTGGTAGTCGGATTTGTGGGCGAGTTGGGAGGCAGCGGCGATGTTGTTCTGGTGGGAGGATTAGTGGTGCACAGGAGGACAGTGGCATTAGATCATACGTAAACTCCCCAGAACTCCTCCACCGAGTCAAAGGTCACTACTTCCTTCAGCAGGTCATTCCAGTTGTCACCTCGGCCGGTTGGTGGCTTGGTGAACCAGAGTGTCCACTGATTCTGCAGAGGATGCTTGACATTGAAGTTCTCGGGATCGTGGAAGACGGTGACATTCTGGCCGTTGCTAGTGGGTGCAGTAGAGGTAGATGGTGCCGTATTTTCATCGTTGGCTGAATCGTTGGTCTGGTGATCACTAAGTGGGAGTGAGGGTCTAGTTGTCGGATTGATAACTTCAGCCATCCTTGCTGTTTCTAGCGAGCTCTGAGACAGGTTGAATAGGGTCCCAAAAGTGAAGTGGTAGAAGGGTAGGTGGTTGTTGAAGATTGTTTTGCGGCGTGAAAGGTGTACAGATTTGTTGATTCAGAAGGCACAAACGCAACCTAGCGCTAAGTGATATTCACGCCACAGATAGAAGGAGCGATTAAAGACAGCTTCACTGCACCAGGCAGATAGATGGCTTATGAATAAGTTTATTGATATAAGAAGTTTCAGAAAATAGTCCTGCAAAGCGGCCCACTGCCACCATGATGCCGAGATGATTTAGTACGCTAATCTCGAGACGGTAACGCGTTTGTTCTTCCAATAGTAACGAATGTCTTATGTACCGTATGTTACCTACCGTCGTCTCTAGTTGTTTCGCTCGTTGTGCAAGTGATGTGATAGCCAAGCTGGCAACTCTGGCGCGAGCTCAGCTCATACAGGCTACGAAGGCAGGTAAGACCGTTTTGACCTATGTCTGTAACCAGGCACTATGAGGGCCTCCTTACTCCCAGCTTCCACTGGAGAACAAGTGCAACAGCATTCTTACCACAGCAGCTGCTTCGTGCTGGGAAGCATCCAGGGCTCAAGTCGACATAAAGCTTGTCACTCTCAGCGGTCCTGCTGCAATGAGTTGCTCAATAAGGAAAGCTGCCGTGACCGCCTTTCCAAGGATTTTAGGAGATTTGATCTCTATATCTGTTCTCTATAGCAGCTATTTTCTTTCTTCCTGCTTGATCGGAACATCTTGTTGATCAGAGCCAGATTGCACGCATTGCACTCTGTCGTCAGTATATAGGGGCAGAATGTTGCTACAGGCCCGACTGTCAGAAGCGAACTTCGTTTAATAATTTCGTTTAATAATTTCGTTTAATAATCTCGTTTAATAATCTCGTTTAATAATTTCGTTCAACATATCCAAACCCGAAATGGAGTCAAGAAGGGCTTCGGGTGCGACTGTGTGGGTTTACAGATAGCAAATCTGACCCAGTCCACTCTCATACCTTTGAAGAGCACGAAAGACAAGGAATAATACTTCCAGCGGCCAAAGCGCTATTACAATATCATGAACGACGATACCAAGAAAAAAACCCCAAATAGCGTAACACATCCAAGAAAGATTGGTGGTTGCGGGGGACCAAGAGTAAACAGTTCGCAGAAACCTGCTGTAACAACTAGGTGATGTCATCTCACCTTATACGAAAGCTGTCCTCATTCGACATCTTCGTCAGAAGTATCCTATCCATTGCCGACCTGGAAATTACTCGAATCAGGAGCCGATATGCTGTGCTTTGCTATTAACAAGCCGGGAGACTTCAACTGCGAGTATGATGAGGAAGACAACACCGATGACGAAGGGTGTGGGAGAGCAGAAGAATCAAGCGGTAGTGAACCACATTCACAGCCATTTTTCGGACGAAGACATGGCAGAAATCCCTATTTTCTCGCCGTCCTTCAAGTCTACATGCAATGATGGTTCAGAAAAATTGCGGAGAACATTCAAGAGCAGTATTGAAGAAGAATCGATCAAATATATTGAGAAGACCTTGGGAATATACCAAACAAAAGTAGTGTGTTCATTTGAATTAAATCGAGTCAAATAAATCAAATCTGTGCTTTCACTAAATCAAATTAAGACTTTTGAATTTGACAATTTCCTAATTAGTTATATAAAAGTCTTGAGAACTCTGGCCCCTAGCTTCAGGCCGTATTTCTGTTGTACTTTTTACAGGAGGGCTAAGTACTTTTAGGGCACAACTCTATAATTTGCTGTGGCATAACACGCTTCTGTAGTGCGGCTCTGAAATAAACAGCCCCAGCCTTATTCTTTATCATGAGAGTCTGTAGGATACGAATATTGATAGAATATTTCTGACTCAAAACATATCATTTCACGAAAGTAGCAGAAATCACGTTTCGCGACTTTAAGTTACACAAACATAGAAATAAATATGTCACTAAACTCCCAGTTTTCTTTGGCGCTTGAACTCTCAAACATCTTTCCTATCCGCGCTGTTGTTGACTCTGCAGCAACCCAGTTTCTCAAACTTGCTCGGGATCTTCGGCGGTCAGGTTCAGATATTGTGGTTGAAGCGGACCTTGCTGCTGTCTTTGGAAGAGGAGTTATTAGCTCTATGTTGGAAGACAAGTTCAGAAATGCGGTAAAGCTGCAGACATTTGTTCCGCTGACTCGTGAAGGTGAGATCCGCTTGGATTCTGGTCCCGGCCCAACGATGCATCGCGCATTCAGGGAACGGTCATACTTTGCCACTGTCGTCCAGTTGTCTCTGCTCGCATGGATGCAGCCTCGCGAGCAGCTGGCAATGATGCTTTCTTCTTGTATGACGAAGCGGGTTCGTCTGGGAATTGAGGGTGCTTCAGATCCAGGGTATGAGAGTATTTTTAATACATTAGCAGCATGCAGCTCCCAATCCAGCAACTTCGCCTGGAGCTTTTACGTGCAACAGGTCGAGGCTATGCTACGCAGTTCCTTCCCAGAGTACAAGTTTCACCACGATTATATACGCATGTCAGACACGCTTCTGTCAGGTGCCATGGATTACCTGTACCTTGTTCAAAGCCTCCCTGAGCAAAGAAAGATTCTTGTCTCTAATCAGTTGGGCTGTGTAACTCTTGTGGTCTGGGCACACTACGCGCTGGGGTTGACAGTTGCAATTACCCATAGAACCCTTCCGGACAACAACATCATCTTTGGAGATCGTGGGGAACCGCAGGTGATCATTACCTGGCAGGACTGCAGAGATCACACTGATGACCCAAACCACAACTACAGGATAATGTGCAAAGGTCCACAACCTGAGATTCTACTTCTGGACCAGGATATGTCAGTGGTTCTACGCTCATTTCCCGACGAGCCACGGTCTCACACTGGCATGAGAGGGATGGTACACGATCGTCATGCACTCTTAGGCTACGGGACCACTTTTCTACATCGATTGTTCAACACCAAGTACATAACCATTGACAACGATCCGATCTATGAAGATTCGGTGAAGCTCATAACGGCTCTTGCCATCCACGCATCCAGTCGACTGGATCGAAAGTTTGATTCTGGGTGTCGAGGAGATGATCAGTTCAAAAACCTACCACGTTATGAGATTCAACTCGAGGTTTGGAGGGTACTGTCATCATCCAAGATTATATTTGGGGGAACCAAACATGATCCAGCTGGGATAGCCTCCTATGTTGAGTTCTTCAGTAACTCAGTTCTGAGCAATGAGAACTTGCCGGCTAGTTTCTCGAGTACTTTCAAGAAAGCAAGGCCACCAACCGCGTCACTTCTGGAAGGATTACATCTAATAGATCAGATTCAGTTTCTGGCTAGGGTTGTTCTGCTATTTGCATTCGTCGTTGATGTTGAGGGCTGCGCGGAAATGCCAATCTTTCTCGACGATTCTCTCCTGTCGATGCGGCTCGAGATGAAAAGGGTATGCAGCAGGCTTAACACACGAGTTGCAGTTGCGCCTGAGACAGTATTCTATGGAATCCTACAGCTTTTATCTGATGATACAAAGCTAACGCGCGCCAGTTGTCACGACTTGCATGAGGAGTCCGAGTTCCTCTTTCTTTGCAGCGACTTTGGTTGGAGCGTCTTTCTAGACACAATTGGGGACAAAGATCCAGCAAATGTTAAGCCTCACCTGGTCCATGTTCAGAAAGGTGTCCCAACCAATTCTAGGACAAATGAGCGCAAGTTACGGATCTCTGATGGTGGCGTCTTTGTAACAACGCTCCCTCGCATATTCCACAAACCACCCGTGCAGAAAATTGCGTATACCCCAAGAGCAGTAGCGCAAGTTACCCGTCGGGACGAATATTGGACAAGCAAAATCCGACAATTCGAGTTGACAATTCGATTCATGGTGGAAATAAGTTCAGAGCGCGCACTTCAAAAATTTGACTTGCAGACATCTCCCACTGAGCATTGGGTGACTTGTCGAAGCATGCATCGTCAGATCTGGGAAACCTTTCTAACTCCTCCGTGCGAGCATGAAGCCGAAATCAGCCCGCAAACTCCGTTGAATCTTGGTCCAGATGCGTTGGCTATTGTAGGTTGGAGCAATCAGGCTGAGAGCACAGGCGATGGCCCATACCCCCAAAGGATTGTGATATTTCTGACACGAGGCGATGCCCGACTTCGGTGGTTAGCGGTCCAGAACGCTACAGAGGGCGGCGGCGCACCAGAGCTGGAAGACAAACGTGAAACGGCCCTTCGCACCGCGGATTGTTGTGAGAAATGTGCCCTTGAGCATATTTCATCTTTCCCAGGACGATGGACTCTCATTCTTTGAGCATCATTGGCATGTATCAGGCCTCAGCTCGCCTTCAAGTTGGCCAAATCCACCGCACTAACGTACAGAACCACTTGGCGGGCCACCCCACTTAGCAGGCCAGTTTGCACACACTTTACGCAGTACTTTACCACTCCATAGGCCACATTACCATTACTCAATTGGGCCAAAAGATGAAGCTAGAGATACTTCCTATTCGAGCCTAGCTGAGAGAATCCTGATGCGCAGCGAATCCTCCGAACGGTGTGTAATTTGCACTCTAGAGGGCGCCCTGCCCTCTTTGGCAGCCCTGACCTCCTCAAGGTTCTACGACCGCTACACCCTCTCTTTTACTATGCGTTTTAAGCGCTTTTTAATCTCTTGATGATATATTTGCTTTTGTATATTATTAAGCTTATCAAACTCATGAATTTTATAGAATATATATTCAATTAGATGTAGTTAACTTTTTTTGGATAAAAAAAGGATAGAAGGATAGAAGATCATTCCGTGCGCTTTTTCTACGCATTCTGTGTGCAAATTCTGTGCGCCATTTCTGCGCATGCTGCGTGCCAATTCTGTGCCCTCTTTCAGCGTATTTCTGTGCCCTCATTCTGCGCATTCTACGTGCCAATTCTGTGCATTCTGATTTTTGATGGGGTACAGCTTGGCAAGATTCTGCAGCCTTGGCAAGCTACCACCAGCTACGTTAAACCCAAGAAGGCAGGAAGGGGAACTTTGACTAATGAAAAGGCTGATCATCCGGGCCGCAGATTTAAGCTTACTGCACTTTGCAGCCAATTGATCAAGCTTGGTGGTCCTTTCACATTAGAGAGATGATGATTATAAAATATGACAAATGTTCATCCTCAAAATTGGGTTGCATAGCTAGTGGAGATTCAGTGAAGACGTCCATTGAGTTCTATACTCCCTAGGATGCATTATGAACCTTTGTACCATCACCTCCTACAGAGGATCTTTTCTCTTGGTTTTCTCCCATTAGAATGTGCGTCCACTGACCAGCGCTCTCTGGAGTAGATGCTGAAACATGAATGCATGAAGTTGATGCACTTTCAGTGGTAGCTCATTGTGAATACCATGTGTGCCTCCTCCTGCTCCGGTCCAACGGCTCAGCCAAATTTATACAAAACTTGTTTTCCTTTCTTCCCTTTCTTTCCCGCACCTCCTGCAACCAACCCACCGGTGGCAGTGCCTGCTGAGTCGTCATCAGGCCCAGCAATATCACTCCTTCCGGATGGAGCACTCTCATTCCCACCACCACCACCAGCACCCCAAGGATTAGCAACGGGCCCCTTCCCGCTCTTGCCATCATCCCATCTCACAGTCCCCCTCGTCAACCCAGCTATAAGCGTATTCGGCTTCTGGCCCATCGGTAGCGCAGGGAACATATCCTCCGTCGCGTTCGCACCCATTGTGGCCGGAGGAGGCCTCGACGAAGGACGACTATTTACCGGAATCGCTCTCGGTGACGAGGAGGCCTGGAGTGCAGTCCAGGGAGCTCTCTTCTGGCCATTGGATAGGGTAGATGCGCTGCCAAGAGCTGGGAAGGGGTTTGATTTGTCGCTGCTGTTAGCGGCTTTTACGGCGTTGCCCCAGCTGCCCTGGCGCGAGACGGCAGACCGGGAGGATTGCGCGGTCGAGGATTTGAGACGTAGAACTCTGCGTCCGCCTGGATGACCCTCGCTAGGACTGCTGCTTTCCGTACCCGGGAGGATGCCGGCCGGGCCGGGCAGGCTTGGGTAATCGGCGTTGATGCTTAGCCAGTCGTTCCATGCCTTGAGAAGGTCCGTCCTCTTTGTCTCATCCTCGAATATGTCGGCTAATTCCCGTACAAGCTTTCCAAGCTCTGCTGATGGGACGTCGAAGAGGGAGAAGAAGGCATCAATAAGTTCGGTTGCGCTGATGGTTGAAGAACGGTAGGAGGAGACATGAGTGCGGAAGGTTGAGAGTTTGGTGGTATCAGCTCCAAGAAGTGTAGAAGCTCGTTCTATAACCGCGGTGTGACGAATTTGACGAGCTTGTTCTTGGGAGGTTTGGTTCTCGCTGGGTTGAGGGTTTGAATTATCCAGAGAAAGGGTGTTAAGGTTTGGCAGGGGAGCTGACGATGGTGCGGGACGATGAACCTGTGTGGGCGCTGGTGAGGCCGCGTGGTTGCGTGGTACGAGTTGAGGTTGTGCGTTCAAGATCGCCATCTGCCGTTGGTAGGCAAGCTCGTCTCTTCGTAAAGGTTGTGCGCTTGACACTGGAAGAGCTTCTGTATTGGGATCCCTTCCCCTACCATTGCCTCGGTGCTCTCGCTCTCCTCGTCGCTGTGGTTGGTAGGGTGCACGGTAGTCGAAGGTTGAGATGTTGACCAATCTTGCGTCTCTACGGGCGTCTTTCGACAGACCATTAGGATGCGAGGACAATTGATGAGCTTTCAAATCCATTTCTGACTCGAATACATTTGTTTTGTTGGCTTGACACTCTGCATCAAGGCATACAAAATGAGATTCTTCGAAATGCTTCTCCAGCATCTCATAGTTGAGATAGTATTGCACTTGGCTACCAGGATTCCGCCGGTCGCAGATATGACATCTTTCGTGCTTCTCTCTACAGTGCTGGTAGAGCTCATCGTCCCCATAGAATCTCTCACGACAGAATCCACATTCTGGATGACCCCTAAATCCACTCTGATCAATGGCTCCTGGGTGGTCGTCCCCGAATTTCTCATGCCGTCGAAGCTCTCCAAATGTGAAAAGCTCATGCTCGTGAGTGAAGACCTTTTTGTTGCGAGTACATAGGTCACACATCAGCTTGCCGTGCTTCTGTTTGACATGGCGATGCAGGTGTGGCCATCCCAAGCATGCAACATCGCAATCCCGATCTGGACAGTTGTATCGCAGGAGGAGGACGGTGTCTTCGAGGATCTCATCTCTTTCGTACTTTATCCCAAGGTTTTCGTCAGATCTTACAAAATCTGTTTCGCCAAACTCTTCATATCTCTTTGCAGCATCGTTGGTGAAGATTACATAGGGTGCTTCAGTCTGTACTTGTGAGCAAATTTACGTAAGGATGAAGCATAACAATGCTTACCTTACAATATGCGCAGTCGCGTTTCTTATATAGTGCTCTCAACCTCAACGCACATATATGACATGTCTGATGGTTGCAAGGCGCAATCGAAAGATGTTCAATGGTTGAAGCACAAATAAAGCAGACTTCTCCTTCCTCAACAGGTTGGTTCTGATCTCCAACCTCTTGTCCACCAGGTTGATCTGAATCGAGTTGTCCAGCAATCGGAGGGTTATCAATCCTAACCCCATCAAAGGCATGATTCGGCCGTTGCCCGCTGCTGGCTCCGAACCGAGTGTCGTGTGTGAAAGTGGTCTGGCTCGAGACTCCCTTCCCTCTATTCCGTCCTCCGCGATCAACTCTGCCTCCTCTTAGAGCGTGCCCTCTCTGATTTCTATCTCGAGAGTATGAGTTGTTCAGTCCTGGCGCTCCTTGTTGTCGCCCTCCTCTCGAGTTCATTCTGCTTCCTGGGGAAACTGGCGCCACAGAACCTGCTTCAGCCATGGTTAAAGAGATATCCCAATGTGGAGATGTTGTGACATGAGAATTCAAGGCAGGCCCGCATCGAGAGACAGTATGTGGTTGTGTATTTAACTAGTTAGTGGGGTTGGCGGGTAAATTAAAGTTCCCTTGTGCAGGCGGTAATGGGGAGCTATCCCCTCCCTACGTTACCCTGTACAGATGCGTCATCCAGCTTGCTAGCCTAAGGAGAAAAGAATAGTATAGAACGTCCTAGGCGCGTCTTTACAGGGAAACCGGCATTTAATTACAGTTGCCGATTCACAGTCACGCTCTAGCCTAAGCATATCTTGCGAGTACTAGAGTCCGGACTGACCAACGATCCCTAGGTTTTGTTTGAGCCTAGCCAGATATATTTAATCCTTGCTGATGAGGTCTTGCTGACTTGTAACATGAACGACATGCTAAATCATCTTGTGGGACGAATTCGCGCCTGCAGCTCAAGATGTCGACCCCGCCTGCCTATGCAATGCCGAATACACGTCGCTAAGATGATAGATCCCCTTCAACCCCATGCAATTTTCAACGAATGAAGCAAAGGACGACCAGTTGTTGTCAGTCGTCAATTGGGTAAAGGTTCTGGTTCAAGACTTTGTTCATGGTGAACATGTGGATTTTGTCCTGTTTGAACACTTTGCGCATTGCTTCGTCGCAAATGATATTGCGTTTGTCAGATGGATCTTGTAGGTCGTGTTCTCGAATGTGTTGCCAGATACGTTTGACGCATTGCGGCCGAGACAGCTATGCATATTAGCATGTACACACCACATTGTCAGCACCACTTACCGCAGTTTCTCCTTGAAGAAGTTCTGAAAGGGCCGCTGAAAGATTCATTGGTTTCTTCAACGAGATTAGGATATGGCGAATAATTACGGACGAGCAACTTACATTGAACCCCGTGTTCTTAGGTTTCTTCTCAGTCAGCGAATCGTCGAGATCACTTTCATCTGATCCGCGAACTCGAACAGCCGTCTTTTTCTTTGGAGTCTTTTTCTTGACAGGTGCAGCCTTTTTGCTGCTGCCACCTCTCGTCGGCCGTGCTCTTTTGTCCTCTTCGGCCTGAAGCCTTGCTGCAAGTGCCGCGTCCGCATCCACGCTAAGTTCTTTTCGCTTCTTCTTGGGAAGGGATTCGTCTATCACGTCGGATACTGTTTCACTGGTAGCTTCGCGTTTTGCGGGACTCTTGACTGGGGTAGGTCTTTCGGGCGACGGAGCATGGTATCCATTGGTGGCTGGCGCCGGCGTCGCAGCTTGCTCGGTCTTCGACTCCAACTCTTGTTGCCGAGCATTGAAAATGTCGAATCTTTCTAGTATTAAGCCCTTAATGGCAGCCTGCAAATGGCATTAATTATCCTTGTATAAGCCGAATCTCTTAGTTTTTGGATCTCACCTTCTGAGGTGTGATATCATATTCAACTTTTGCTTGAATTCCCTGCCTGACCTTCTTCTCAGAAATACGTGAAAGATCGCTCTGAGCTAGAATTGAGTCGATGATGCCAATATAATTGGCGCGCACTTCGGGAGGTACTGTAACAACTTTGTGAGCCGCGTTGGCAAGAAGGACAGGATTGACACAGACATGACATGCCGGACATCAATCAAAACGAGGAATATGGGTAGCTTTTCCAAGTTGGAATCAAAGTGTGGGCAAAAGAGCGCGAGACTCTTAATAGAAGAGATCAATCAGAATATAAGATCAAAGGCAAGGTAGGACCAGATAAGTATCTGCCGCGGTCACACCAAACCAGTCCTTTCTGGTCAGAAACGCGAGATGAAGTCAAGCAAGAAAGTACAGTCTCCAGCAGAGACATGAATTGGGTCTAAAAATCTTGTGGGTGATCTTACGCGCCGTTATTTAGAAATACGTTGCGAGCTTGAGTGGTTTAAACGTGCTGGAGGGTTGACAGCGGAGAGATCGAGCTATGACCTACATTTACCCGTAAGTTAGATGGGCTCAGCCACCCTTGTCGGCACGTTTGGGGTTCAGTTCACCGGGAAGCTTAAACCTTACCAGGGAAGGGGGGAACAGGCAAGCCACACGGTTTGGGGTATGTATTTTGGGATTGAAGGCTGACCTCCGGACGCAGTGGTCCAGTGAAATACTCTATTTGCCGCTAGAACTCTGACTGGACAACTGCCAATGCCAGGCGACTCATAGCTTGGCAACGCAAGCCGCACATTTGAAAATATTATCCCATAACCTCGCAAATTCCAGCACCTCAAAAGAGTCAGCTTTTAATATCACACAGCACCTAGAGGTACTCGCAGCTATGGCGCCAACATTCGATACTCTTTCAGATCACGACTTTGATGATGTGGATGAAGAAGAGATCGACTTTAGCGGTGAGATTTTAGTGGCTCTTGTTCGGTATTTTGTCGTCCATTCTGACGTTGAGGTGATAGATCTTCGAGCGCAATATGATGTTCGCAGGGATCAGGGCCTTGATACTTTCGTAGTCATCGATGGGCTACCTATCGTGCCGGCCGAGAATAAAGCAAAACTTGTCAAATTCCTGCTCAAGAAATTAAATACAGTTGGTAACACCAGCGAAGATGCCATTTTGATGCCCATGAACGACCAGAACATGTCAGATGGGTAGGTCAGAACCACCATTTCATGCTGATTTGTCTAATATCGGAAGGTTCGCCTTTGTCGAGTATGAAACACCAGAACAAGCGGCAGCCGCCACCAAACACCTCCACGGGACTGCTCTTGACAGAAGACACACCCTCGCTGTCAACAAATTGACAGATATTGACCGCTATGGGAGAGAGGGCAGAATAGATGACGAGTATGAACCTCCCGAGATCGAGCCATTTCATGAGAAGGAACATCTCAGGTCATGGCTAGGCGATCCGGCAGCCCGAGACCAGTTTGTCATGTTTCGGGGAGACAATGTTGGAGTGTTCTGGAATATGAAAAAGGATCCACCAGAGCCAGTCGTCGATCGCAAACATTGGACCCAGCTCTTCGTACAATGGTCACCTCAGGGCACGTTCCTTGCATCAATACACCAGCAGGGCGTGCAATTGTGGGGAGGACCAATGTTCAGCAAGCAGAAGCAGTTCCCTCATCCATTCGTCAGCTTAATCGAGTTTTCGCCTGGTGAGAGGTACCTGACGACTTGGTCAAACCAGCCAATCTCTGTCGAAGAAGGGAAGACGTCTCTCACGATCGAAGAGGAGGGGAAGCATATTGTAATCTGGGATATTGTCACTGGAAAACCACTACGCTCTTTTGTCGCGCATGACCTGACTCCACCCCCGGGTCCTGAAGGCGAAGCCCCACCAAAGAAGAAAGTGCAGTGGCCCGCGTTCAAGTGGTCTTCGGACGAAAAGTATGTTGCCAGGATGAAGCAACATGAATCACTTTCTATCTACGAACTACCTCGAATGAATCTCCTCGATAAAACGTCTATCAAGATTGAAGGTATCATGGATTTTGAATGGGCTCCATCAAGCCCACGACGAGAAGGGATCAAGACCTACGAACAGTTGCTGTGTTTCTGGACACCCGAAATCAAATCAAATCCTGCCAAAGTCGGTCTCATGTCTGTGCCCAGCAAAGAAATCGTTCGAACACGGAATCTCTTCAACGTTTCCGATGTCAAGCTGCATTGGCAGTCTGAAGCTTCGTTTGTTTGTGTGAAAGTTGACCGCCATTCGAAGTCGAAGAAATCGCTTGCAACGAATCTGGAAATTTTCCGAGTGAGAGAAAAGGGAGTTCCAGTCGAGGTTGTGGACAGCATCAAGGATACTGTGATTAACTTTGCTTGGGAACCTAAGGGTGATCGCTTTGTTCTGATTACGGCTGGCGAGGTCGTTCCTGGCTCCAATGTTGCAGCCAAGACAGCCGTTGCTTTTTTTTGTCCCGAAAAAGCAAAAGGTGGAGGAATTGGCAATTTCAAACTCATAAGAACGGTCGACAAAAAGAACAGCAATGGGATTTACTGGTCACCCAAAGGACGTTTCGTAGTGGTTGCAACAGTCGCTGTCCAGCAGCATTTCGACCTCGAGTTCTGGGATCTTGACTATGAGGGCGAGAAGGCAGAGGCCGAGAAAGAGTTGTCCGCCAACTTGATGTCCATGAACATACAAGAACATTATGGGGTCACAGATGTGGACTGGGATCCTACTGGTCGATATGTGGTCAGCAGCGCATCCGTCTGGACGCACCAGGTAAGCGCCCTGGATGCTGACACATACAAGGCAACTAACCAGAAAATACTAGATGGAAAACGGCTACCACATGTACACCTTCTCAGGCGTGCTTCTGTCGGAGAACCCTATTGAAAAGTTCAAGCAGCTGCTATGGCGGCCTCGACCGCCCACACTTTTATCCAAAGAGGAGCAGCGGAACATCCGTCGTAACCTTCGAGAATACTCGCGTGACTTTGACGAAGAAGATAGATATGCTGTTGATATTGCAAACACAGCAATCGTGGAGGAAAGAAGAAGGCTTCTGGAGGAGTGGGATGCTTGGGTTCGGATGGTGAAAGAAGATGTCAAAGCGGAGAGAGAAGAGCTAGGCATACCCGATCCAAAAGAGGAGCTCGAGCTGCAGAGAATACGTAGCGCGGCAAGCGAAGAGGAACAAGTTGTTGAGGAATTGGTTGAAGATGTTATCGAAGAAAGTGAGGAATTTGCATGAGGGAGATGGGGTGCTACGAAAGGTCCATAGAGGATTTCCGAAGAGGTGTGGGCAGCCAGGGTGTTATTTACACTGCATACTATAGCATTCGTGCAGAATACCCAGTTCTTCTGCTCCCAAAAAGCTTCTCTACATCTCGATATCAAAGGCTATAATGTCGGTTCTCGAACTCGTTTGGTGCCAATGTTTCTTTGGAGCGTGACATTATCATAGGATGAAAGACGACCTAAAACGTAGTCCTCCGGTCCGCTCTTGAACCACTACTCCCGTGCAGACCTCGCAGTTTGGGGTCTGCACTCCCTCTTTAATACCTGCACGAATTTTAAGTCCCGTGTCTCTACAGTTCATATATTGAGATTTCCGCTGCCCAGAAGTCCGCTGGGGTAAAAGAGAGTAATTCTTCTTGGCCCACATGTCAACATCATCGCCGGCCATGCAGAAGCTGGTGGATAAACATCCCCTTCAGCGGCTTCGGTCACCGTCTCGAGGACTCTCTGCCCTTGTACATGTATGGAGATACTCCTCTTTGTGGAATGCTGTGGTACAGGCTGAAAATTTACAGTTTCTGGGTCTCTCAAGCTTTATGTCCTCGTTTCAATAGTGAGCTTCCGGTTTCTTGCATCTCATTAACAGAGGGCACGTAAGAAGCTGACACTTCCCAGCCTCGTCGTACATCCAAATTACATGTAAGCCTCAAATACTTACCACCTCTGCCACTCTCTCTCCGCCGTTTGAGAACATCCTTTTCCCGTCCCTAGCGCTTTAACCTCATGTCCCCTAACCTGCTCTGCCCAGCAACGACTCCTACGGCTGGCACTTCCAGTACCTAACCATCATCGGCCTGACCCTCGCCACCGTCACCTTCCTCACCGCCTCCCTCGCCGACATCACCATGTCCCCGACCCTCTTCCTGACCAAAAACCTTCTCAGCATGACCTCCGCCCCGCTCGAGGTCCTAATCTCCACCCTCTACTGGTCGCTCCGGCTCATCGACCCTGCCCTCGTCGTCCCGCCCGAACTCGAACTCCCCCTCTTACCCGATCTGGGCTTTCACGCTGTCCCCTCAGCGCTTCTCGCTATTGATCTGTTGTTTTTGAGCCCGCCATGGACGATCACGGCGTTACCCGCCATCGGCGTAAGTGGCGCCATTGCATTTGCGTATTGGTTCTGGCTGGAGGTTTGTTATGCCCGGAACGGGTTTTATCCGTATCCACTTTTTGCAATTTTAAGTACGAGTCAGAGGGTGGGGTTGTTTTGTGGGAGTGCGTTGTTGATGGCTGGAATGACGGTTTGTTTGAAGCGGCTATACGGCAGACTTAATGGCTTTGGGGTTAGGGGTTCTGTGAGCGAGAGGCCGGGGATGGTCAAGGGATAAGGTTTCTTTGTGATCTTCTTAGGAGATATAGTGGTTGGTATGCAAAGACAGATTGCGGGTTGCGCGTAAGAAGCCGCGTTGGGGAAAAGGACTTTTGCATCTTGGTTCTGCGCAGAGTGGCATTGTTCGCCTGTTGTATAGTTTTACAGCTTGGAGGTGATTGCCGTGTGTACATACATGCATGCTCATCTGCAACCAATATCCTGCATGAACTGCCGCAAATGCGGAACAATGAAACAGACTGGCTCCATGAGCGTGACAGGCATTGCTGAGCCCGAGACCCTCCGATATCAACGGTGCTTTCATCAACATTTCAAGCTTGGATCTCGAAGGAAGAAAGCATCGTCAGCTTCAGACGCACTGAAATTCTGCTGCTGAGCCCGGCTTCTTTCCTTTACACAGTTACAGATCTTCTAGTGGACGATCAACAGCTTGCCGTTGATTCGATGTGGATCCCAGCTCCTAAGTTGTCAATCCTCCCCTCTTTCGGTTGAAAGCCCTTTGATCCTTCAACCACCTCCGATAGCCCTGCACACTCCCAACCTTCTCCCCGTAGTAATCCGGCACCGGGTTGTTTGCGCTTGCACCTCTAGGATCAACCCTGTGCTTCTTGATCCTCTCATAAAAACCCTTCTCCTTGGCCACGAATTCATTCAGACTACTTCGATGTAGCGCCCGCCATACAAAGTTGCCAAAAAATGGCCCAATGAGCCAGCCGGCACCCATGCCGGCAAAGGTGGTGAGGCCAAGCGATACCATGGGATCGAGTGTTATGACCTTCATGATGGCGTCTTGAAAGGAGGGATATGCGGTCAAGGTTGTGATTGTGGAGCCGGTTGTAGCAATGGAGCCGAGAATGGAGGAAACAAGAGAGTAGCGTCGACGCGAGGTTCGCAGTTTGAAGAAGGTGTTCCAGTCGAGGGATTTGGCGGCTGGGGAGCTCGAGGATATGTCGGCGGCAGAGACTGATGTTGAGACATGGCGACAGAGTGAGGGAGTGAAGAAGGAAGATGGTGTTGTTGTTGTAGTTGTTGTTGTGGTTGAGGGAGCGTGGCTGTCGGATAGAGAGGGTCTTGATGGAGATGCTTGGAGAGCTCTTGATGATACGTGACGTTTTGATGCGAAAGCCTGGGAGGTGCGGAGTCCAGGTGCAAATGTCGAAGAAGGAGCTCTAGAACAGCATCCAAATATCTGGAGTGGAGCCCGCATGATTTCGATGACGGTTCATCAATTCGTGAATAGGCTGGTGGAGATGGTCCCAGAAAGTCTTGAAGCTGGGGATATTGCCTGACATGAAATCTTGGCGGCCGTCTTGGCGGTACGTTGCTGTACGACTTGGATAGAGGTCCAGACCCTCGCTTTCAGCTGGCAGCTGACAATCACTCTGCACTCAGCACTTCCATTCAGCTATGATACTCGTGCGATATCAGTCCAGGCATCATAGGCTCCTCCGATCGTGGAGCTTGCGCTCGATGCCACACCAGCCTTATGAGGGCCTTTAAGCTGTTAAGCTGATGCCTCGGCCAAAGAAAGACGGCACGGCTCCGCCTAAGACCCGCAGCAGGAACGGCTGTTGGTAAGGCCTGGTCCTCCTTGACATGGTTGATTCCGCCGCCTAATGTGCCACTAGGCCATGCAAAGCTCGGAAGGTCAAATGGCAAGCCTTTCAGTTCTACCGACTGAATTGTACCGTTGACCACTGCTAGTGGCGAAGAGAAGCCATCATGCATAAACTGCTCGAAGCAGGCTGAGACCTGTGACTACAGTATACGTCTGAATTGGAATGGTCGTAATAAGAGAAGAAATGATGGCGAGCCTGGCTCACAGCCCATCACATTTGATGATGTCCGTTTTGTTAGCAGACAACCTGGACAAGCAAGCTCTCTGAGAACTGTGAACGGACATGGCTCAGATTCAAATCCTGGCGTAAATGTATTCCCATTCGCAGCGTCTAAGGTCGCTCACCAGCAATTGGAATCTCGATTCCAACCTCTCCTTGGACAACAGAGTGATATACAAGAGCTCTTCCCACCTTTTTTGGTAGATTCTGAATGGATCAGCCCTAACCAACCACGTTCATTTGACTCTGCCGACAGTTCATACCCTACGTTAAGCGATTCTTCGTTCAAAGATATGGAAGCAGCACAGAGCATGGCGACGTTACCTCAGCTTCGCCAGTTTGAGCACATAGCGGCCTGCCCTTCCACGAAGGCATCAACTCTTGAGACATCCACGAGACCACGGGCTGGCCAGTCATCTAAGACGACATCAACAGTGATTTCACCTCTAAATTCGAAGTTCAGCCCTACGAACGGTACAGATTTTGGAGCGTCACCTGAGCGGCCCACGAAACGAATTCGACTCGTTCCTTCTAATAGCTTGGACCAGCTTCACGATAGTGGTGGGCTGCACCGAGCACCGTCTTATGGTCCAAAGGAGATTGATGAGCTCCCAATATGTCCTTTTCAACCGCTCACCCCACACATGATTAGTTCACGTATGAGTAATCCTATGACACCAGCTTCATCGCCCACGAACTCAGATGTAGCTCGTCAAACCTGGCGGCTGGGTGCCAAGTTCTACACTCCGCAAGATCACCATGTTCGAAGGGTGTCTGTGCATTCGTTGCTGTTAAGCTCACCAGAGGTGCAGCACTCGCGAACAATGGGAGGGAACCCTGCTCAAGCATATGCTGACTGCACAACACCATCGCCACCCCCTGGGGAAAATTCTCCGACCCAACAGCGAGCCAAACCAAATCTCCAGCCAGAAAGCTATGGCCTGGATCGCGGCTCTCCAGATATCGATGTGCCCAACAATAACGACTCTGCTTCCATTAATGGCGTTCCCCCCTCTCAAGACGGCGATCTTGACGCTTGGCTTGAAAATGCTGAGCTTGGAACACCACAACTCGGCTTCCGCTTGCAGAAACGGGAGTTCGTCTTTGCCAAAGGTGGCTATTACGCCTCGCCCGTGCCTATCAAGATACCAAGAACGCTTCAACCACTGCCATCGGCTCTCTTGGAGAGTCCCATGAATCTGCTCTATTTTCATCACTTCCTGAACCATACGGCGAAGGTTCTAGTGGTTCACGATTGCTCACAAAATCCGTTTCGGACAATCCTTCCTCAGAGTAAGCTCTTTGATATTCTCAACATATTCGCGGCAGGCTGACGACCAATAGTGGCCATGCAAAACGATCACCTTTGTAATTTGCTCCTTGCATATTCGGCGTCGCATCGCGCCCGTCTCTTGAATCACCCCGAGCCCGCTAATCGTATAGCTCGGTGGGTTAGGCACGTCTTTCCTTCGCTACGACATGCCCTTGACGATGCCGAGAACTCTGATGCTGAGCTCTCGAATGCCAATCTTGCCACAGCGATAATGCTTACATCTTTGGAAATCATCTCGCCTTCGGCCTTCGGCGTCCATATCTCCTGGCGGGCCCATTTGAACATAGCGCGTAGGATAATCAGATGTGACAGTATCCGTTTCCAGTCCATATCCAGGAAGAATGCTATTCCTTATTTCCTACATCTTTGGCTCGCTTACATTGACGTTTTTGGTTCTCTCTCAAGCGGCGCTACGGAAGAGCCCCTCTACTACGCAACGTTGGAAGAATTTTCTTGCGAAACTGTTTCCACTCTTTCAGAAGACGATGATTACACAATCGAGTGTATGCTGGGGTTTACCTCACGTTGCGTTCCAATACTTGCACGCATCGCAAATCTGGCGAGGTTGTGCTCAAACGAGCGACAGGACACCATGGTAGGAACAATCAATCATGAATGGCGGCCTGCCCAGGCAATTCAATTAGAGTGTGGTAGGCTCCAAGCTGAGCTTGAACGGTCTAGGCGCCATTCGGTTAAGCTGTGCCCTCACTACTATCACGTTGACAGCCGTCCGAGCACAGAGGATGTTTTCGACAAGCCGGACGACGACGCCATTGCCATGATCGAGTCCGAGGCAACAAATGACGCCTTTCACCGCGCCGCCCTCATCCATCTACTGCGTCGGGTCCGAAATCTGCCTCGCTATACCGCCGAAATTCAGAATGCAGTCCAGGACACCGTGGACGCGATCTCAAAAGTCCGGGCTGGTGGCAGCGCAGAAGCTTGTCTTCTGTTCCCCATGTTCACTGCTGGCGTGGAAGCTGAGGGTGGGAATACCCGTTCTCTCATCCTAGAACGCATCAAGAGTCTGGAGGGCGTCGGTATGATGCACGTAGCCAGGGCGAGAACACTGATGGAGAAGGTGTGGGAAACGGGGCAAGATTGGGAAACGCTTGCTCAGGGGGAGTTTTTTGGATAAGTAGTTTATAGGTATCATAACTGGGCTGCTACGACTGTCCGTAGAGATACGCAAACGTCTCCAGACATCCAACCAGAAGCTGGCCCAACCGCTGTCCGACCGTATGAATTGCACTCATGGTACGTTGAGCAATCTGTGTTTGTATTGATACGGAGCCACTGGATCGAAGGTGGATGCACAGCCATCTCTAAGTTAATGTGGGCCAACGGACAGATGCAACAAAACCCCCTTCCTACTTCAATCCGCAACAGAAATTAACTTGTACGTTTTGGGGAGGTTTCTCAGAAGCCAATATTCTACCAAAAAAACCCCCCCGTTGCTTGCGCCACTATTTTGGGTCAGATGAGGAATTGGATTGGGAAAACAGCTTCTCAAATAGGCATCATAGTGAACCCACCCGCCCCCCAAAATATATTGGGAGCTTTGATTTTCTAGCCCCATTCAGACCCCCAATCTTCGTATTGGATCGTCGATTCGACGCAGATGTATAAATGGTACCATATTAGATATGGGGGCGGTGGCCGAGCTGAAAATACTACGTAGTACGTACTACTAGTACGTAGGGTATTTACCGGCCCTTAAAAAAACCGTTGCCAAGGGGGATCAGTGGATCAGTGTTGCATGCACATGTCCATTGGTCACGTTAAAAATGCGAGTTCTTACAGCCCACCCCAAAACCCCCTCTCTCCCCCCCCTTACCCGGGGCGCGCGCGGCCGTTTTGACCTGCAGTTCAGTCCATCACTCAATCCGTTTGTTCGTTCATTTCATTAATTTCAATTAGATCACTCCCATCAATCAATCCATCAAGGGTTTTTTCCGCCCCCACGCAATTTACCCTTTGAGGCTGTTTTCGACACGGCAGAAAGGGTAGGTTACTCCGTCATGGGGTTGGCAATGTCAGAGTCTGCTCTGTTCCCTTTCTTCAGAGCCTTTCTCCATCTGCTCTGCTGGGCAAGTGAGATGGTGGTGTGGTGAGTGCCGAATAGCGGGAAAGGGAGAGGTCGTGACGAAAGGGCTTTCCCTTGCCAGCGAAGGCGCTACGGAGTGGGAGTCGCAGTTGCAGTTCACTATGATGTGGGTGGTGGTTGGTGAGCGCATCGGTTTGGGTTCGGGGGTTTCATCATCATGATGAAGCTCGAGGATCTGGGTCTGGAGGCCGGTAGGGGATGTAATGAGTATGGAGCTTGGTGTCAGGTGCATTGATCATCGAGGTGATACGGAGGACTCCGTACACAGTGCGAGTATACTGTCACGACGTGTATAGCTAGCTAAGCTCCCTCCCAGCCACCTCCCCCCCAAATCTGATATGTTTGTACGTTAGCATGACGGGGCTGTCAAGCCGCCCAGCTCTGCTCAGCTGCTCAGTGGCAGAAAGGTGATATAAGCTGTACATTAACCATTCTGCCGGCCAACGAGAGGTTGGTGACTACGTATGTGTCCAGTGTACGTAGTAGCTGGCCACCAGGCTTTACTAGGTTAGAGTACGGGAAAATCCGTCGACTCGAGATAGTTAGTGGGTGCGCACGGACCTGTCCATCATACAACACCCCTGCAGGTCAACTTTTACGTCAAATCTGTTTAGTGTGGTGCGTGGTGACACATGAAACTAGCTTTGTCATGCTATCCCCTTCTTGGCCTCCGGCTGCCGGTTGGCGTGCATCGAAGCCCACTGCCACTGCAGCAGAGAGATGCAGGGACTGTTCTACACGGGAATCTCCCCCGGCGAGACGGGACTTCCATCCTTGGTGGAATATGGGATATATGCAAAATGCATTTCTGTGGCTAGCAACCTACCACGCTTTTCTCTTCTGGATTCCTCAACCATATCAGCCACGGGTTTTGGTCAACTGCTCATATTTTCTCTCTTCCATGGTTGCTGGGTAGAGTCCTGGCAAATTACTGGTCCAGTTTGTGTTCCATCTTGTGCAGTAGTTAAGGGCGGAAACAGGCCCCTTTGACAGCAGATGATGGGGGAAAAGAAAGGCTACAGAAAGGGGGCGGGAAGGACCGTGCATGTTCTATCCATGAATACCTTCTTTCCATAGATTCCGGCCAATGAGGATTTCCTTCCTCTCAAAACCCCAACCAAAACCAATTCCAGCCTCGAACTCGGATTCAAGTTCCGGTGGGCATTTCATTATTTCGGATCTATCATCCAGATCCCAGCAGCCAGCACAACTTGCAACTCACCTCTTTTCATCTCCTGAGCCAGCAATCTCCACTCCCTCAACACCGAACTCAGACGTCGTCGGTCGATCGATGTTGCCGGCAAGTTCTGATGTAATATCCATGTCAGATCTCGCCCCTTCCCGCCCTTTGTAGGTGAATGCTGTTGGTTCCGGATGTCACATCCAAGCCGCTTTGTTGGACGAAGCCTCTTTCTGGTAGTTGATATACCTACTTCGAGGTTTGCGAGATGCATCATGGCCGGACCTTGGTGGGTCAGACATGGGTAATCAAGAAATGAAGTGGATATGTGTAAGTCGGGAGGTTCGTATGGAACGGTTGCAAGTAGCAAGCACGTGACAAGGGTGGGATGTGGTGATGTTCATCCATCGTCTCCGGCTTGCAGCCTCAAAGTATCCCATAAGTTTTTCCGGTCGTCTTCCATACTTGGGTAATGGTGACCAAACAAGCGGATTTGAGCAGAACGAGGTAGGATGGGCTGGGGCCGGTGACTAGTTCGCCCTGTTTTGAGAAAACAAACATACATGTCAGTGATTCGTCCCGGACGCAAAAAATGGTATGGACGTTGCCTAGCTCCTTTAAATTAGATGAAGCCAGGCTCGGGTCCTTCTACCTGCGAGCTTTCCTTTCGAATGTTCTTCGCACAGTATCTTGCGGCCGTTTGCCTTCTTTGTTACTCAAGGGCATAATGACACACTATCACCGTCGCTTAAGATCGGTCAGTCCATGCATTTTATTCGCCTTTCTCCATTTCTCCGCCCTTTGTCTTCAGTCCCAATTCTGGGATCAGGCGAATGCCGTCCTCTATTCTGCCCCGCAGTCCGGCTGGCGCGGGTTCTATCGTGGCACTTATGGATTGAGACTATCGTTGGAGGAAAAGGTGAAGCAGCTAGAAGAGGGTTTACAAGGCCATCCGAGCCATTGAGATATCAAGGCTGCAGGAGATAGTACGTTCCTGGCTGTGAGGAACGTTGTGGCATCGATACTGCCTAGGTCTACTCCGTACCCTTCTCATTTTTGCAGATTGTGAATTATTCCAAGAAAAACCTGCCTCTCTTCGCTTGGACCCTTCCCGCCTTGAGAACCTCACCGTGCATCATTCCGTACACGTATGCTTCGCCAACAAGCTGTAGTTGCCATTCTCTAGTTGAGGGAGGATGAAGGACACTTCAGCTCCTGAGATGATCCAGATCGTGTCATCACACTGCAAAGACTTTGGACCGGCACCCATCAGGTTGTTTGCTGTAGTGAAGAGACGGCGGGTTTTGCGAATTTATGGTATTGCTCTCCATAACCTGTAATGCTGTTGATGATATCGGAAGCATATCATCCTCGAGATTTCATGTCATCCAGCTTGCGCAACCGCATATGAAGTGGTGCGGTTGTTGACAGGCGATCAGCTCCGTCCTGGACGCGGGGTGTCTGAAATGAACTGCTTTAGCAAAGAGATCATGGCCTTCTCTGAGAAAGTCTGACTATTGTCTCAGTGGTACGCCATAACTCCCTCTTACCTGGCTACTAACGTTTTAGCAATACAATGTTGGAGAGCGCCCCAACCTAGCTCTTTGGGAGAATGGTACTCATGGCCGGGAGCGTCTCCAAATAATGTCCTCCGCAAAACTTCTGTTCAGCACTGGTCAGTACAGTATGGTTTCGATAAGCACGCAGAAAGAAGACGCCAGCTATATAGCTCGCGACCGCTATGGTCTGTCTTGTCCAAAACAATGGATAGGTCCATAACAGTGACCATGTAGGGCCAACAGACGCCCGGCCTCGGGTCTTGGTGTAGTAGATTGTACCGAGCTAGAAACGCACCAAACAGCCAAGTCCTTGTTCGAGATGGTGGGTAAAGGAGCACGGGCCGAAATCCGATCAGGCGTCCATGAAAAAAGCTCGTGAAATCTTCGCATACTTTTTCATCTTCCACTGCCAACAATAGACGCAGAATTCATCAGCTAAAATGGGCTGGAAAGCCCAGAAACGAAATATCTTTGAAATATCGCTTTTGGAGTCGGGAGAACCTGAGGCTGATTAGTATTCTTGGACAAGAGCGTATTGGAAAGCAGAGGACGTCGGATATCTTGTCCTGAGGTTTCAATCCTTCAAGTTCACGACTGCCGCTGAGCAACGGGGACGTATCTGGCCTTGGGTGGGCGAAGTCGTCTCCGAGAAAGTTTCTCTTGATTTTCTTAACACAACAGTGGCATGTGCAGGTGATAAACAAGGTTGCTGTGCGTTCTGCACGGACTTGAATAGTTTTTCTATGAGTCGGGCGGACCAGTGAGTAGAGAAAAGTAACTTTGAAGCACACACAGAATGTCCCAATGTAGCTGTTCTGTACCGCAGTAGAATATCACTCCTTTGGCGAAGACAAATTCTTGTTTCAGCCAAACTCGATCGAATCCATTCTGTCTGGGGAAAGAGCAGATACATATAATTTCCTCCCTCTTGCTGACTTTTTGTAGTCCCAGTGACACCACGGAGTTCCTTGACCGTTGGTCCTATTTTGACAAAATCCGGTACCTTTCTTCGGGGATTGCGGCTAGATAATTGGCCCAGTCGATGCGACCTCGGTTCTTCTTAGCCGCCAGACTTACCATACAGGAACGGCAGCAGCGTTGGAGTGTACCTCACCCATGATAGCGACTTGTGTCTTATGATCTTCTAGATCAGCCTGACCGAGGCATATGGCGTCGACCTAGAGGGGTCAGGCTGTCGTTATGTCTCTGGTGGAGTCGCTTCAAGGCTCGTCTGTCGTTGGGTTTGGAGATGCATTGCTCATCTCTTGAAGAGCTTCATACAAAGGTAGAGTGACAAATCGTTCGGCAGTTGCAAGTGACTGGTATTCTGTTAGCTACCGCATAGGACTCATGCAACTGTTCTGCATCTGAGATATCCTTAGAGAACACGAAATTGGAGTCTGCGAGTTAGTATCCCGAGGTGTATGACAATGCATTATAAGTAAGGTCATCCTCAAGATCAAAGATCTGCATGTGCAGTGGAGTCCTTGATGAACCTACGAACTCACATTCAGCAGCTGGATAGGATGTCGCGGTCGGCCGAGTTTGATAAATGCAGTCCCGTTCTACGGTGCACAAGCCCTTGGGCGGGTATTCGGGTACAGGCCCTTCCAGCAAGTCTTCCATTGTGCTGAGCGTTGCTAGAAAAGGTTCCAATGGATTGAAGCTGATCATGTGCTCTGTACCAGCCTGGTGCGGATTCGTACTGTAAGGTTGACTGAAGCTTGTGCGTGGTAGAGGCACAATAGGGTCAATTGAGAGTAGCGAGGAGAGTTTAGCTGAGAAGTATCCACTAAGCCAAGCCAGTATTGCGTGACTAGCCGTTGGCAGACCATGGCTAATTCAAGTTGCTGATCAGGAGAAGGGGCAGCCAAAAATATGGAGTAAGTGCCGTTAGGGAAGATGACTGCTATTCTGTGAAATGAGGACCATATTAGTACGATACGGGAGGCATATTTTGAGACTGCATTGGATCATGGATAAGTACGTAGCAAGCTAGTGATGTATCCCTGTCTTACTCTATGCAAGCTTACGGTTAGGCTTAATCTCAGCGTACTTTAGCTAACGTTCTAGACCCGTGTACCACACCCCCGTTCACACCAGAAATTGCTTGGCCTTTCGGGTCTCAGAAAATATTTCTATTGAATGTTGCTGGTGCTATCTGGAGAAAGAGCTGGTTGGAATAGTTCAAATAGGCATCATGCAAATAAAAATTACTTGGTTCTGGCTGTTTCAGCCATCTCTGTACTGGTTTCGATAAGAATTTGTAGAATGGCGGCGAACTGAAATAAGGACTTGAAGCGTCTCCCATTGCGAAGTGGTCGGGCCACTCAACTTTGGTTGTCAGTTATGACCGAATTGCAACTTATCTGCTTTATGACTGACCGTCAAACTCACCACCACACGTTGGCACCAGTTCTTCTTTCCGGGGAACTCATCACGTCGGAGCTCGGACGAAGTGGACGATTCGCCCCCGCAGCCCTGCCAAGATCTGCCCCCTGAGGGTGACCAGCTTAGCTCATCGTTGATGTGCATAACCGCACGAACTCGGACCTGGGCGTGATCGATAACAGCTGTAAGGGGCGGTGGATGGTATGGTGGAGTATAAGAAAGTCGACAGAGCTGTTTCGAGTCTTCAATTGTTCGATGTCAGAGTATAGATACCTAGGAAAAGAAACGAAATTCGCTCACCTTTCTTTCCAACCACGTCCCTCCTTGCTCCCCCAGCCAAAAAGACTTTCCACACCTCCATACATAAACTTGCACTAACTAGAGCACGAAGTGAAGCATAGCTCAATCGTCCCGAAATCTTCATATCAAGGCCAAAATCACATCCAGTACACCACTCCAAGCCAAACTGATCCACCTCAATTCTGGCACCCCTTTCCAAAATGGTCAAAACCATCGTCGGCCTGATGGGCACCTCCGTCGCCTCAGGGAGCACCAAGATGTCCACCTCCGCCCACCTGATTAGCATTCTCAACCTCTTCAAGTCGCACAACATCCACGAACTGGACACCGCACGCGTCTATGCTGCGGGGAAATCCGAGGCTCTCCTTGGCGAATGTGCACCTCTGTCCCACAGCTTCGCCATCTCCACCAAGGCTCCTGGATTTTCTCCTGGAAGCTTGGCTGCGGACAAGATCGAGAGCAATTGCAACGCCTCGCTCGCAGCGCTGAAGTTGCAGAAGATGGATATCTTCTACTTCCATGGGCCAGATCGGCAGACGCCGTTGGAGGAGCAGTGTCGGGCGGCGGATAAGCTGTATCGGGAGGGTAAGTTCAAGAGATTCGGGGTATGTAATCTGAGGGCAGATGAGGTGGTGAAGATTCACCAGATCTGCTCAGATAAAGGGTACGTCTTGCCGAGTGTTTATCAAGGCGGTTTCAACCCACTCCAGCGGCGAGCGGAGTTTGAGCTGCTGCCCTTGCTACGCAAGTTGGAGATGAATTATTATGCTTTCTCTCCACTGGGTGGGGGCTACTTCTCGAAACCTGTGGACGAGTTGAGAGATCCACCCAAGGGGACAAGGATGGATGAGATGACGGTTTTCAAGAATATTTATATCAATGAAACGTCTTTGGAACTACTAGGTAAGTTGACGAAGGTGTGCGAGAGGCACGGGATTAAGGTTAAAGAAGCAACGTTGAGGTGGTATATGCATCACGGTCCACTGGGGGATGAGGACGGGGTCATATTAGGTGCCAGCAATGTTGAACAGATGGAGGAGAATCTGAATGCTTGCGAGAATGGACCATTACCAGAGGAGGTCGTGGAGAGCTTCGAGGATATGTGGAAGGGATATAAGGAGAAGGCCGGCCCATACTGTGTTTGAGTAGAATTGTGTATACAGTAGGGACAGCCAAAACAGGTGCCGAGATTGCAATGGGTACGAGCTCGATAATTCATAGACTCCGTAACACATTGACGAGAATCACTGACTTTGGAAGATATGTGAGTTTCCAGGATTTGGTGCTATGTAGCTCAGCGACTTGCTGCTGTTTGAGTGAAAATGAGTGGATCCAGGATACTCCCAAGCCAACCATCCCAGTCTTTAGCTCATCAAGCTCAGTTCATAGCTCAGCTTCTTGTCTCCCTGCCGTACCATGGCACCTCGTCACAGTACTTCGATCCAGAGGTTGTCTTCATTGGCAAGCTAACATCCGGTGTACTGTTTCATTTTCACAAGTCTGTTCAGTCAAGCAGCTCGTGCGCAATAATCCGTTTCGATCATGAATGCTGCCGCAGACTTGAAGCCTCCATCCTCCATTGCTTCAAACGCTCTAAGAGCATGTAGGATTGATCGAAATTCCATCACCACCTTGGTTGTGAACATATGAGTACCCTGGACCGAAGTGTCGTGGGAGCGCAGGTCGCAATATACCAAGTCTAGTCCATGTTGCTTGAGAAATGTCGGTAGCTGAGCTCTTGCCTCTTCTGTCAGTCCAAAGACGCTCAGAATCCTAGTCATGCCTTTGTCGAAGATTGCTGCACCGACCTCTGCTGTCCTCGGATATGTTGGCTCCATCTGCACGTACACCCTTACTGGTTGTCCACCAATCGTCAATGATTTGTTGTGGGCGTATCTTGCGAATTGGGCGGCACAATCTGCCATGATGAAAACCACACGAGCGAACTTGAATGGAGCCGGTGTTAATCCTTCAGTGCCTCTGACGTTGCCTATGTCAACCAGCTGAATGGATTCGATCACTCCCCAGCACAATTCGCGCAAGACCTCTTGGACTTCAACATTTCGTGGGATGTGGTCGATCTGCACCGTGCGAAGTGCGTTTGGTTCATCGACTGGCGGTTCGTATCTGACGGAATGGACCCAGAATTCTGAGTGTCTTTGGCCTTGCTGATCTCCCCTCCGTTGAAAGTTTTCTTTCTCGAGCTCCGACTGGAACAGTGGTTTCTGATCGCGGCCTATCTTCCAATCGATCGGCTGGAGATAGTTCATCATGGAGACTGGAATGACATTGTAGTTGTCGCCAGCGCCACTGGATGGACGGATCTGTGGAGTTGAAGCAGAATCAGCATGATTAGACTTTGGAGTGTCGCTTCTACCATTCTCATCGGTTTTGTCGGATGCAATGGACTCAGGCACTATGTGAGCTATATGCGCAGCCACATCGTCTGGTAGGTAGACGCGTTTTTTCGACGTCGCAGGTGGCATAACAACTGGCATTCCAAGTGCTTGCGCATTCTTCTGAGCTTGAGCTCGTCTGTAAGCAGGGACATGTGGCATTTTTGTCTTGAACCGGATCAGTATCAAGGTCCGCTGGAGCCAGGCTTCTCACTTACTGGCTCAAGCTCGGAGCTCTGTAACTTATCTGAATCAGTAGAGCTTGTCGAGTCTGACGGGTCTGAAAAGCTTTTGTAGTTGACCGCTTGCGAAAGAAAGCTTGAAGGCTTATTTCTGGTCAGCGCGAGATGCTACAGTGATAGACCAGGAGAAATAAGCTAACCAGGCGAAGCGTGGGAAGAGATGCTAGCTGCCAAATTAAAGTAAGCATAAGATGTTGTGCAAACCGAGTCTACACCAAGAACACACCGTACGAGCCTCTTTACAGGGTGTGTTGTCGTTCTGCACAGTTCGCGTCGAGATTATACGCTATGAATCCACATCAGTATCATACTCTCATATCAGAACAACAAAAATCTCTGTTCACCTGCTCAACACCCAGAACTGGCTCCACAGAGGTCACGCCTGCCTTCTCGTTCACACCAGTCTTTGATGGCGGAAATTGGATATCTTTTCCGCGAGTTTGGGTTTGGCCAGGGTTGAAACGGTCAGTTCCGGCAAATCCTTCATTCACACCCTTTGACTTCGGCGACCTACCAGTGCCAGGCAAGAAGTCGATCAGCGTGTCTTCTGATATCTCCTTCTCCGACATATGGCGACTGGGCTCTGGATCTGTCATTGGCTTATGCAAGTTTCCATTTCGAAAGACTTCTTCTAGAGAGCTATACTCACCTAATGCTGGGCCTGGCTTGTCAAACTGATCCAACCCAAACCAGGTATCCTCCTCTTTGTGGATTTGGTGGGCGCATTGTCCTACCGATTGGTGTGTAAGCCGCTGGTCGTTGTCCACTATTCCATTAGCATGGTCATGAATGCATTCACTTTCAGACACTCTTTCTGCGTGCTTCTGATCGACACTGTGCATGTTAGAGGTTATATCGATGTGGTTGGCATTTTGATACTCAAGGATATCATACAGGATAGAGGGCCGTGGATCAGTCAAGCTCAACGCGGAATGTTCGTGCATTGCTTTATGCGAATCTGACGTCTCGACCTCTTGAGCAATACCACCAAGAAGATCTACTGGATCATTCTTCTGCTTCATATCGCAAGCACCGACACAGTTGGCATCACACGGAGCAGTCAGCAAATCGGCTGTCTCCACCAGCTTGTCCAGTTTCGGCTCAATTCTATGCACGGCCTTATGCACCACCTCTGCATGTAACCGATTGACAGCAACGAGTGAGCTATTCTCACGTCTTACTTCGTCCAGTTTGGCCTCAACTTGTTGGACCTTTCCCTGCTCAGATTGCAGGAGCCGCTTCGTGAGCGCATGTTGTTCTTGTTCGAAACGTAGCTGAAATGCAAGGTCTTCCTGGGACGCGCTTCCAGATTTAATACCCGAGGTATACGTATCGAATGGTGGCAGCGTGGATGAACCCTGAGGGGTGAAAGAACCGGCTGGAACAAAAGGTGTGGCCTGTGGTTCCGAGTGTCAGAAAAGAAACATTCCAAGCTCTTACTGGCAGACACAGAAGCACTACAGCTGGACAAGCGATCCCTTGTGTCGTGAATTGAGATTGCCAGCGAAGGGAATGATGAAATCTAGGGGATTGTGAGCAAGGACTCACCTGCATCCACACGTTCTGAGTTGTGCCGTTGAGATCCATGGCGAGACGCAAACACGTAAAGGACAGAGTTGTGACGGGAAAGTAAGAACAAGGATATGGCTTAACCGGTTATAAAGAGTGATTGCGGTCAAACAAGTCTATCCGCTTAGTCTTTGAGCGCACGTTGCTGAAAGGATGGTTGTGCTAGAAAGAGATCTTTGCTTCAGAGGCAACTGTGGAAGAAAGGTTGTTTCGAATCGGTGGTGTGTGTGTGTGTGGAAAGGTTTAGGGGAGATCGGTCACATGAATAGATGAGCAGGTTAGCCGGCAAATTCCGAAAGCAGCTGCTATGGTGCAAAGAACACAGCAGACGACATTCATATCCCTGGACTGGTCACGTGGAAGGGCCAATCACTCTATCCTAATGGCAACAGAGCAGGAATGAGTGAAGCAGTTTGGGAATGCAGCTCTGGTCCACTGTGTGGTGTCTGCATCAAAGGAACAGATGCTCATAATCGAAGAGAAGAGGAGAGGAGAGAAGAGGAGAGGGACTATCGCCAGCAGAAGCATTGATCTGTGAAGCTTGATACTCGGAGACTCGGAGAAAGGAAGGAACGACTCCCACTGGCCTGCTAGGGCAAGAAGGGGGCAATCAGACTTCTTTCTTCCACCCAGGCAGAGGAATGCTCGGCCTTGTTCTCTTCAGTCCTTGTTCTGAAGAGAACGAACTTTTCCACGTTCATTCCCTGGCGCTACATGGATGGTCGAGACATTGCAAACTGTGGTGCACCTTCGCCCCTACAGCCTACGTATACCTCATTGGTTCTGCTCAGCAAATTTCAATAATCTGGAAGTGGAGACTTGGGCGGAGACAGAGCTGCTGCTTCAGCAGATCGATACTAGACCAGCAGCAAGGCGAGAAGTAGCGAGAAGTTGGTTGATGAGCAATCATCGGGGAAATTGGTATTGGAAAAGGATTAATTGGTTGCTGTACTGGCAGAGCAGGCCTGTCGACAGCAGAGAATGCAAAAGGGGACCTTGGGACACGATCTTGAGCAAGGTCAGATTGTCATTGTATGCTCTTTTATCTGGTGGACATTTCAGAATGCAAAAGCAATAAGGGAGATCATGAGACCCGGATTGAGGAGGTTGGGAGCAGATTTTGCACTCCACTTAGCAGTAAATGGTAGCGTTACCTGGAGAAGAGCTCTGAAAATGACGCATTTTTGGTCCTTAGAAAATTAGTCAGATGGTTTGTCATTACAAGACCGGCAAAGGGCCACCGGGTAATCATAATCTGACCATTATGGCCATAATTTGGAAAAAGACGTCTAAAATAACAAAATTCCGTTAGATTTTAGATGTTTTAGCAGCATATTTCTATACAATCTAGATCATGTTATGGTTGGGCCTGGACTAAGCACGTATTGATGGTAGTTTAAACATGACTTTCAGAGGGCCTCTTCCTGCTAAAGTGTCATCAGGTATCCGTAATATGCTTATACAGTCAAGAAAGCTTCTCACTGGTTGGATGGCCAGTCCTCAGTACTGTACGGAGTACCTCGAGTGAAAAGACAGGACTCTACAGACAATGACTTCTTCCTGAGTAGTGCGTCTAAAAAGTGCGATGAGTATTTTTCAACGATTGCTTTGCATGACATATGTCTGCCTGCTTCAAGACCGTGGCCGCTGCCAGCAGCGACAGTAGATATGCATGATTTCCTATTCGGCGCCATTATACATGTCCTGCACCAGTGTCTGGCCCTGTCTCGACATGAATCCCGAGCATTAAAACACCGAAGAAATCCCTTGGTTAGCAAAACTCTCCCTCCCGAGTGTGCAAACTGGTACAACCCCGAATCCTGTCGTACCAATTCATATTCATCGTCTGAGTTTCAAACCTGACTGCGAAGTCCATGTTGGTATGTTTGCAAACTAAAGATTTGCAAATTATTTCAGGCTTCATGCCGTTTCATCTGATGTCTTTCTCCTGTTCGGACATCTCCGGTGTTGACCCTCCATCTCTGCTAACGTTCTGCTTCTCCTTGCCTGCCCCCGTATGATGGTGCCTGATAGGCAAGCCTCTCAGGCCTCTCTCGATTTCCTGCTCTCTTTCTTGGCCCTCTTCTCGTACTCGCCTTCTCTCACTCCTGCTCCTCCTCACTGCTGTAGTTGCCATCCTTGTGTTCTCATCTTCCTCTCCCCTCACCCTGTCGGGGTCGATTCCAGCATTTCTTGCACTCCGCTGACTTCCATGTCTTGACTTCTTCCCAAGTCTCCTCTGACTGCCGCCTTTGGGATTCTTGGAGTCCCCCATCGCACTGCCCAGAACCCCGCCACCGCCTCCTGCTGCTGAAGCCTCCCTCATTTCTCTGTCTTGGTCTGTTGTGTAGTCCCAACCTCCAGTGTGCGCCATGTGTTGATGCGGACCCCACATATCTCGACCGTGTCCAGTTTCCGGCGAGCCCCCTCCACGAGCAGTGGAAAACCCTGACAAGGCAGCACGTCTTTTATCGACTTTGCGTGCATGACGACGCTTAAGGCACACTGCTAGCACAGCAACACCACTCAGTCCAAGAAAGAGAACAATGACCATCACTATCCATTTCCAGTGGGAAGCAAACCTGAAATATACCAAGTCAGTAGCACTTCGTATAATTGTATGGGGTATTCTTGGGAATCCTACCATCCTCCATCCTGCGATGTGGATGCTGGCTGTGTGCCAGCACCTGTCCTTGAGTTCCCAGTAGCGGTAGCGGCCGGTGTCCTTGTGCTGGTGACCAGAGTGGTGACTGTTGCAGCCTGACCTGCGCTGAAGCCCGCAGTGGCACAATAGTTCTGGAACCAGGACTGGAGGGTTGAGCGATCAGAGTCGCTTGTACAAAAGGCATCGCATACGCCTGTTGATGCTATATAGAAAGATGTGACTTCTGCCCGTTGACAGAAGCAGGAATCGACGGTTTGCTGAGATGCGCCTACATTGGTTTGGATGCAGTATGCTGAAGCACCATTGAGATTGTCGCAATTGAAAGCGCATGCTGGATATGTGGGAGACGGGGTACTAGGAAGGATCGAGACGGCTTGTGCGATGAGCTGGGGTATGTTCGAGAGGAGGAGCAGAAATGAAAATGATGTAGTGGTCGTCCTTAGACCAGCCATAATCAGCGAAAGTAGAAGTCTGCTGTACTGTGAGAAGAGCGAAAGTAATCTGCTGTAAGCGTGCGCCTGGAATGGTGGAGTGCTGGAAAACGAGCGGAAATCCGGGTATATTGCTACTTCAAGGAGGGTAGTGAGAGAACCATCGCGTATACGGGGTGAAGTTGCTAGAGTATGAGGAAAAGACAGAAGCAATCCACGGCTTTGCCGTGACGAAGGGGCCAGGTTCTCACAGTGTTATCTGCATTCCTAACGAGAGAACATGAGCGCAGTCGCAGGAGATAGAGTACAGAGCAGGTGGCTGTAACTGAGGTGGAGATAATTGGGGTGGAGGGGGCAGCCGGGGCAGATGGATGGGCGGGAAGCTGCAGGGTCCCGCTTGCTTGAGCGAACTAACTTTGGCGCTATATCCCACTAATTGCTTCCGTGTGCCCCCTAATGTACGACATGGGTCTGGTCTTGCCGACAGACTGAGGGAACTGCTCCCTCCCTGTTGTACAGTGTCAGTGGGCAAAAAGTATCCAGATCGAAGTGGTATGGACGAGGGATGTACTAAGATCATTACCCTCTATTTACAAGGCTGTACATCGTCTCCCTCAAGCAAAGAACACAGACGTACTCGAGCAGTATGTTACATGTTCATACTTCTTCTAGCGTTGTCTGACTTGAACTTTGCCCCCCGGGAAACCTGCCATTTGACCCGTCATTGGCAAAGAACTCCACGACCCGAGTTGTGGAGGAATTCCTGACGATAATCTCCCTACCATGACTTCCGTCCGTCTATTCATTATTTGACATGGCACGTTATAGCCATGTATCAATAACTTCTAACACTATGTGGTCAATCAAAGCCGCTCATCACACACGCTTCGCTCAACATGACCACTACTGAACCATCCACCACACCCTTCATATTTGACCACCAAATTGAGCGTAACGATGCCTTCAGCGCCGTTGCTCTGAACTCTCTCTTCCGGAACCTTACTGGTACCTAGACCCATGAGCTGTGCATAGATAATGCAACCACTGTTGATCTCCCCACTGTAGGACACAGGTTTTGCAGCTTCGTCCGTAGAGTGGCTACCAAGATCAATGGTGAAGATGACCCTGCTAGCCATGTCGAAGATATGCTGCTTCATGAAAATGGAGAGTACAGCTGGAAGGCAGTGACCACGCTGCTAAACACATCCCTCCAATAAATAGGACACGGAACTTAGTGTGGCAAATGGGCCTTAGGGGCTCGAAGCTTGCTGCCGCGAGGCCTCAAATCGAGAAGCGAAAGGAGAGCAGCACGGAACGCAAAGGGTTGGTTTTCAACCGAATGAGGATCAGCAGAAGCGATTGATTGTCTGGGGAGAGTGAAGGGGTTTGGCGACGATCGTCAGCTCAGAGTATGGTAGCCAAACCGGTGGAGGCTCCTGATAAGGTGTCAGTCTGGCGGCGAATCTCCGCTTCTGCCACTCGCAGAAAAAGTAGTATTATTGTTCCTGAGACGAGCTCACTACTATAAAAAGCAGACAACGAGGATGAACGTGACAAAGTTCAAGAAGAACAGCCGCCACTTGCAGCTCAAAACGTTGCTGTTCCACCACAGACTGGTATATATGCAACCAAGTCAGAAACCGGCAAGATATCCTTCCATCTCAATACACTAAAATTTGACCTTCGACCGAACGTTTGGCGTCAGAGCTTGTACGACTTGGAAGATATTACGATCAAAGCACACGGAGAACACTTTACCGGCGAAGAGAGGTATGGGATAAATTATGAGTTCCTCTTGGGAGGGAACCACCGAGAGGAAATGATTGTGCGGGCGGCCGGTAGAGTACTATGTTCTGCAGTGGAACACAGTAGAGGTCGTACCAGGCCTTGCAGGCAAGGACAAAACGACTATAACACATTATGGAAGATCTCGACGGCAGCATTTGGCAGCAACACCACAATAGACCAGATTTGACTGTGAAACTCCACTGTTCTTTCCGTCGTAGTACTCTCATTGGCCAATCAAAACACGTATAATTCAGTCGGCCATCATATCACGACATCATCCCAACAGCTGAAGACGTCTGGCCAACAGCTCCTGTCTGAACCAGATTACCTGAGATGATTCCTGGGCCGTGAGGAAGCGAAGCGAATCGATTTGGGAGCCTTCGGTGGATGGAATACATTGGGGAAACTCTCCTCGAACAACCCGCTTGAGAGAACACATTTAGCTACATACAACCATTCATGTTCAGCCTCTGTCTCATTACAGGACAGATCTACTCGACACAAGCTGAGATGTGGATGAATTACCGATCTGGGAAATAAACTCTCACTTTGCAAGGAGCATCGGAAGGAACCATAAGAGATAGGCTTTCAGGGCGGACTACGTTACAAAACCTGGTGTATTTCGTCACAAAACTTGGGTGTTTAATGAGTGGATTGAGTCTCGCTACTTTCGGCAGAACAAGCCTATGGCCTTGAAGCTTGGGGCCGGCAATCAAGCGTAAGAACGCGGCTATGTGCGCTGTCCTCCTTGTCATTATTTCTCTTTTGACAAAAGGAGAATCCCGTTGATGTGATAGTTTACAATCGTGTTTCAAGCAGCTGTTCTTGCTGGTGACACGCTATCATTCACCAGTAAAAGCCTGCCGCATGATGCTCGTTCTTGTAGTGTGGAGCAGCCTTCTGTTTCCGACTACGGACGTGAGAACCAAAGTGGTCAGAGAGCTTCTTCTCTTAATTCATCGATGCAATGCTTAGCATCACTGAACATAATCTCTTGGTCATTGAGAGGGTTTGACCTGTCGACAGTAATCAGCATCACTATCGAAATGCTTCATCATTTCGGCATATTTCACCCCACAAATTGCATGTTGATTAACTTAGCCTCCTTCTCACCATTGATCATGCTGATTAAGACGCGCTGTCGATCGCCACGTGCCATTCGCTATCGAAGAATTTCTCTTCTGCCAACTGTCCCACATTTCCGCAGTTGTCTATCCCTTCGACCGCGAGTATCAATGACAACAGCTACGACATCTCCGTTGTGTCGCACGATGCGCAATTATTTGTCTTGTGATATTTGCCATCAAATTTCGGGTCTGAATCGGAATATGCTAATTCTCGAAGCAAACGGCATTTCTGCTGTTTTTCTAAATGAGGCAGGTAGTTTGTTTTGGTGCACGGTACCGCTGGAAAGTCTCCGCTAGCGATCCAACCTTTAAGCGGGGTAATCATTGGACCCACCACAATCATCGAAGAGCAATGACCTCCGACCGCGGCTCAATGGTGGCCACCACCAATCGCCTAACCCCTGACGTGGTCCCTCCAAGCCTTGCTAAGCTCTGAAGTAGTAGTCAAGCCGTTGCGCGCCACGCCTGCGGGGTGGCTTGAATGTGGATGCTTGACACCTTGAAGTCCCTTGGTGTGAGCGCATATCCCCATGCTCCTGCTGGTTGCAGTCGGCGTACCACACATCTACCTCATGGCTTGCCGTCCACCGTTCGGTTCCGTGTTATCTACTTACCAATCAAGAACGTATCTCTACTAATTTTCAATTCTTTCTCCTCCCCTGCTCGCTCCCACCCTCACGTCCCGCCACGCTGCAGCAAGTCAACGGGAAAGTGGAATTGACAGTTGTTCGAGGATGAATCTCAAGTCACACCTCAAGAGCGGTACTGCCACGGATTCAGACAGCGGCCGTAGCCCATCGGACGATGAAAAAGCAATTGGCCATGGCCATATAACAAATGTCCACGGAGATGAGCTTCCTCCAGACCCAGATGAGCACCTCAGTCCAGAGGAGAAAGCGGAAATTGTGAGTCAGGTCGTCTTTTGAAGCTACGCCTACTCTCAACAGAAGTAATATTCCTCATATAAACCTCTACAGATTTAGTTTCCAATATCACCTTCTATATACCCGGAACCTAAGCCCTCTTTCTTCTTCTAATCCCATCTGCAGGATCGCAAACTCCTGTGGAAGCTCGACCTCCGCCTGATCCCTTGGCTCTGCCTTCTCTACCTGATCTCCTTCCTCGATCGCACGAACATCGGCAACGCCAAGATCCAAGGCCTTCAAAAGGACCTTAAGATGACCGATTCGGAATACAACTTTTCCCTTACCATCTTCTTCATCTCCTACTCCATCTTCGAACCATTGACCAATATCCTGCTCAAAAGGTTGCGTCCCTCGGTTTTTATTCCTGTAATCATGCTCCTTTGGGGGATATGTATGACTCTCATGGGTCTAGTAACGAATTTCGCCGGCTTAGTTGCTGCGCGCTGGTTCCTGGGTTTGACTGAGGCGGGATTGTTTCCTGGTGTAAACTACTATTTGAGCTGTTGGTACAAGCGCTCCGAGTTTGGCGTGCGGGCGGCAATTTTCTTCTCCGCCGCTGCTGTTGCGGGCTCGTTTGGTGGGCTCCTCGCCGCGGCAATTGCGCAGATGGACGGGGTAGGCGGGAGAGACGGTTGGGCCTGGATCTTCATCCTAGAAGGTATCATCACAGTCTTCGTTGGAATTATTTCTTTCTGGGTTGTCCAGGATTTCCCTGATGAGGCAAAGTTCTTATCGGTTGATGAACGGAGACGAGTGGTCAGGCGTTTGAAAGAGGACAAGCAGTCTAGCGCCGAGCACGAGGAATTCAAGATGTCATACTTCTGGGCGTCGGTAAAAGACTGGAAGACCTACACAGGTATGGTGATCTATATGGGGGCTGTTGGCTCGCTGTACGCGTTTTCGTTGTTCGTGCCGACCATCATTCGCGATCTTGGGTATACGTCCACGACAGCGCAATTGCTTTCCGTGCCTCCCTACGCGGTCGCCGCGGTCTTGACTATCGTCGTTGGAATTGTCGCCGATCGGACTAGACAGCGAGGGTTATGTAATATTGCGGTCAGCTTTTTGGGGATAATCGGCTTTGCTATGCTTCTTGGTAAGCTGTTCGCACTCCATTTTGACCACTCTCATCTCACGTCCCTCCCAACACCGATCTCATCTATCCATCGATGCATGACTCTGACCAACAAATTTCCCCTAGGCACGGCCAAACCTGGCGTTCAATATGCTGGCGTCTATCTCGCCGCTCTTGGAATCTATCCGTGCATCGCCAATACCATCTCCTGGACTGCCAATAATGTCGAAGGTGTCTACAAGCGCGGCGTCACTCTCGGATTCGTCATTGGCTGGGGAAATCTTAACGGCGTCGTCTCGTCCAACATCTACCGCGACGAAGACGCTCCTCGCTTCCTACCTGGCCATGGCTCCGTCTTGGCGTATTTGACTTTATTTTTGCTGGGAGGAAGTGTTGTACAGAGGTTTTTGTTAGTTAGAGAGAACAAGAAGAGGGCTAGTGGGCTCAGGGATGGGTGGGCGGAGGGAAAGACGGAAGATGAGATTGAGAGATTAGGTGATAAACGGCCCGATTTCATCTATACAATATAAGAGGAACATGAAGGGAGGTAGATGGTCGGAGGGTGCGAAGCATGGGACGCAAAGTGCTTGTGATACACGAAGTGTGGTTGCATGAAGACAATCTGGAAATCCGGAGATTTCGATCATATCTAGGCCATGTAGGGGAGATGCAAGGTCAAGAATTTATCGAAGCGATAGATAGAATCAAGACCAGAACACGTTGGGCTTCTCGGAGGTGTGGGATTTGGTTACTACTAGTAGAAACTTTAGTGCGTATCTCCCACCTAGAAAGGCTAGTTTTGTTCAGAAAGTACTAGTACAGAGTCGGGCCCCAAAAGTTAGTTAAAATACGCTAAGAGATAGTTTGCCAAGATAGAGAAATATATTTGTCTTGACGCTTAGCACTCTTGTAGTGTCATTTCAATTATTCCAGTGTTTGCCTATAGCCAGCCTAAAACGCCACAAGAAATGCCACTACTACATATATCCCCTAAGCAACTCTTATTCTAAGGCATATTAGCCCTCAAATCAGACAGCTGGGGCCCAAGGGTCATCCAAAACCCCCACCTTTTTAGGGCGTAAGCAGGCCCAAAGCTTATAGAGGAGGAGTCAAATGACAAAGCTGCCAAGAATGTACTTCTTGGCACATTTATCCTTAGCGCACTAATTCAATTACTTTTTGGGCACGACTCTGAACGGAGTGGAGCACTCGGGTAAACCTTAGCTACGCATCACACCACTCCGTGAAGACGGAACCACAGCTCGCCAACACCCGGACTCTTTCTCGTGTCCATCAACCATATAGATCAGACCTATGCGTACAAATAGGCGGACTGGTATCGTTTGAGGAAAGGGTCCTGATAACACCATGGCATGGGTCTAATACTTCAGATAGCTGCGCTGGATGGTTATCTTATGAGATTGGAGGGTATGCACAAGTTTTTTACGACAGTAGAGAATAAGGAATGTGGTCGTTGTTGAACTTAACTCAACAGCGGGGCTGCTGTCCGGAGCTTTTTGATCCACCTGGACCCGGCAATGGACACCGCTACGAACCGAATCAACGACGCACTAGTACTCAGGCGGTTCTAGAGCTAGAGATCGTCCAATCTGAGCCCAAAATGGGGTGCTGTTTACGCCTCGAACTTGGATCTAAGGATCGGCCAGTCTCCGGTGTGGTCGTCAGCCATGGGAAATCACAAGCATGAAGCCTTCGAGCTCTCAGCGTCAAAGAAGAAATGATCCTGTGCCTTCTTTCCGATCAGACTTGTTTGTACGAATAGAAAATCCTCAGCTACATCAATGGATGCAGGACGGATGTTTCCGCAACGCCCGCGTCAGGCTGGCATAATTGGCACATCCCTTTAAAAAATCCATTGGCAGGAAGACAACGAGTACTCTGCACCATCACCTTGATATGGATCAGAGTGGCCACGTGTCTAAAAAGCGAGAGCTCCACGAAAGCACTCCGGAGCTATCAGATGGGCTTTCAGACTTCAACGAGGCCGGGCTCGTTGACCTACTCGAAAACGATCCTAGACCCACATTTCTCATTGATTTTGGGGGTCATGGCTCGTTGAGTGGCACTGGAGCGCATTTCGTCTACTGCAATGATTCTCTGAGAAGTAACGCGAGTATATGGGAACAGGTTCAGTCGCTATACAGCCCAGCTACGGCGAGTCATGACCTTCCTTCCAGGTCATTCCGGCAATGGACACTTCAAACCACCCAGTCCCCTTCTTGCAAGTCAAGAAGCGCTTGCAAGTCGTTCACGGGCTTCATCTGGACTATTGTCACGGTTCGAGATCGCTGGAACCTTGTCAGTGGCTTGTCTATTAGCGCAATAGATTGCCTGCATGAGGGTGACAGTGAAGCCACTATACCTTTCTCCACAGAACTGAGCGCCGTCGGTCGAATCTCTCAGATGAGTTCCTTAGAGGGGAAGGTGCTGAGAACGCTGGATTGGACCTTACCAGATTCCTGCTTCCAGACTTCTTCACACATAGAATGGGTGCGTAACTTCGACTGGGGCTCAACACCTCTTGGTAAAATGAGAGATTGGTCTAGCCACCTTCGGCTGGCTATCAATATGGTCATGTCAGATCCTTCACCAGCCGTTTTATACTGGGGACAGGAGCTGACCACGATTTACAACGAGGCTTACATTCCAGTATGCAGAACGAAGCACCCCTGGGCTCTAGGCCGGTCTTTTGGAGATGTTTATTCGGACGTAGAAAACGAGTTCGGAGATTTTCCCGATTCCGTGTGGGCCCATGGACGCGAGCAAGGCCAGGCCACTGGCGCGGACGAACGAAGATTTGTCCTGGCCATGCACAGTGAATTTCTTGAGGAGATATTTTTCTCTTACTCAATTCTTCCAATGCTTGAAAGCAGCGGACAGGTGGGAGGTTTCTACACCGCCTTCAGAGATGTCACGCGCGCTGTTGTGGCTGCTCGGCGAGGGTCTACATTGCAGGCGGTTGTTGATGCTAGAGGGGACGGCACAGATCCAGAAGCTTTCTGGCGGAAACTTGTTGACGCTGTCTCTTCTAATGGAAACGACTCAGTAGCTGCATTCGCCTATTCCGCTCGAGGCACTCGGGTTGGGGCGTCAAGTATGAGCACAGAGACTACGAAGACCACTGTTCTAGAGGCCTTTTCCGGTGTCCCCACTGATACAAGGGGAGTACCATGTGCTCATGATATGTTGAGGAAGAATGTCGCTCTTATCGCTGCTTTTGATGAGGCTTTGAAAACCGGCTTACCACAGCGTTGTGAGATTGATGATTTAATACTAGCACAAAATTTGTTGCACCCGACCCAACCACTGAATGACAGGAACATTCCGAAGGAGATTGCTTTCTGCGCCACTGATCCTCAATTGCCCTCTCAAGGCCTCCTCGCAATAGCCCTCAATCCTTTACGGCCATATGACGTTGACTACGAGCATTTTCTGGCAACCATGACTCGAGAGATCTCCGCTTCGCTCGCCACATTTGACAGAGCCCGTTTTGCAGAGCAAGCGATCATCGAGAGTGAATTGCGCTTCAGCCAAATGACAGCAACGTCTCCGGCCGCTCATTTTGAGGTCAACCTGGAAGGTCAAATACTCTATGTGAACGATAAGTGGCATGACATCACGGGGATGCCTCGGGCTGGGCACGAAATCCCAGCTATGTCATGGCTGCACATGGTCTACGAGCCTGATTTACCTGTCATAGAGGCCGAGTGGAGTAACCTGCAGGCAGGGAAATCGGTGTCTTTCGAGATCCGAATGAAAAAGGAATGGCAAGCCACCAACCCGTTCGGCGGCGAGACGCTCGATCTAGAATATACATGGGTGCTCGCCATGGCCTCGCAGCACACAACCAAGAACGGCCCTACTATTATGGGCTGCCTTATTGATATCAATCGGCAAAAATGGGCTGAAGATTTCCATAAGCGGAAAACCGAAGAAGCAATCCAAATGAAGCAACAACAGGAACGTTTTATAGACATGACTTCGCATGAGATGAGAAATCCTTTGAGCGCGATCTTCCAGTGTTCAGACAGCATCGTGTCGTTACTTGAATATGCAATGCAAATACGCGGTAAAGGAGACTCCGATAGGAAATCTAGTGAGGCAAACGAAATGGCACTATTGGACTCCATCAAGAGCTGTATAGAAGCAGCGCAAACAATCTCACTTTGTGCTCAGCACCAAAAGCGGATCGTTGATGATGTCCTCGTGCTTTCCAAGATGGATGCAAATATGATCGAGATTACCCCTTTGGAGACCAATCCCCAAAAACTTCTCAAGAGTGGACTCGGCATTTTTGCCTCCGAGCTTCGCGCAAACGATACACAAATGGAGTTTCGTGTGGAGGAGTCATACGAGAAGTTAGGAGTGGAATGGGTGCGGCTAGACCCAAGCCGTCTGCTCCAGGTTCTGATCAACCTCACCACGAATGCGCTCAAATTCACAATTTCTGAATCCAAAGTACGAAGGATAATTGTGTCGCTTGGAGCATCAAGCACGCCGCCTTCCTATCTTTCATCCAATCGTTCGGGCTTCACGTACTTGCCCTGTTCTGGAGACACTGTCGACCCGACATCTCGTCCAGAATGGGGATCTGGAGACCCTGTGTATATACACCTCTCCGTCGAGGACACCGGTCGAGGCATAAGCGAAGCCGAGATGAAGCAGCTTTTCATGCGCTTCCAGCAAGCATCTCCTCGCACTCATGTGGAATACGGCGGATCTGGATTGGGTCTTCACATAGCTCGTCAATTGACCGAACTGCAAGGTGGTCAGATAGGAGTCACCTCAGAGAGAGGCAAGGGCAGCACCTTCTCCTTCTATGTCAAAGGGCGGCGATGCAATCCCGCCGATACCAGACTACTGGGATCGGGAGCTGCCACTGTAAACTTCTCTAGACAGCTAGGTTCCTCAATTACTACTCTCCCAGTAATCCAACCACCACAGCCATGTGAGATATCCACTGAATCACTCTCAGTCCAGGGATCGCAGAAGCTCAATATCCTTGTAGTCGAGGACAACCTCGTCAACCAAAAGGTGCTAAGCCAGCAACTCCATAGACTGGGCTGGCATGTATCTGTTGCAAATCATGGCCTTGAAGCCCTGGAGTACCTGAAACAAACGGTCTTTTACGACAACTTATGCGCCACAGAGCACAGAACCCCTCTCGATTTGGTATTGATGGACATCGAGATGCCTATCATGGATGGTTTGACGGCTACCAGGAAGATCAGGCAGCTACAAGCTGAGGGAACAATAACGGGCCACGTGCCGATCATTGCGGTTTCGGCAAATGCAAGAGCTGAACAGATTGTGAAAGCAACCGCCGCTGGAATGGTAAGAAGCACTCATTCTGATGCGGTGGACAAGTACTAATCCAATCAGGACGACGTTGTGTCCAAGCCTTTCCGAATACCTCAACTCGTCCGCCAAATCGAGCAGCTCCTTGCAAAAGGGTGAATTGAGTACTCTGCTTTCAATAAGAAGCTTCATTGCTACTTAAACCTTACGGCTCTAAGCATTCTCTTAGTTCAGTCAGCCTCAAGATTTGGTCCATTAAAGGAGAGCTGGTGGAGAACTCAGAATACCACACTCATCGAAGTTCCATCCTACAACGACCATCCTGTTGAAAACCCACTCGAACACCAAGCCTACTGACAAGTCGAGCATTGATGTCTTAACAGATGGCCGCCCAAGCTAGAGTAGCCTTCATACATTGCATATAGAGAAGATCCCTCTCAAACCTACCCACGTTTCCCCTGTCAGCATACCCATCCTTCCAAAATTAGAGAGCTACGCAGACCGACAAATCCACCCCAGAAACAAGATCGTCCATCTCAAAGACGAAACAGTCTTCAAGACTAAGCGACAACCGCGATACCTTGACTACTACGCGCATAGCGAAAGAGTGTCCCACACCGGCACTTACTCGTACTTTACAAGCCAGCACCCTTCCATTTCGCGCACGCACACAGAGGTATCCGCTGCCAGTCAAGGAAGAGCTCTCGCTCACACATCTCCAAACAAAAAGCTCAAGTCACTGCCAAGATATGAGGGCAGTCCTAGAATACTACCAAAGCACGTTACTACCGAAGCTAGACAACCATCCGGTCGATCATCATCCGGCTAGGATGTCACGAGCCTACAAGAGTCCGTTATCCAAATTTGGAAAAAGAATTAAACCCTGCTTACTCAAAGATACGATGATCCATCTAAGCTAAGCACCTGGGACAGTGATGCCGCCGCCACTCAGATTCAACGGGGCGAGTGATTACCTGTACATCCCACAACAAGACCCCTTAGCCCCTGGATTACCGATAGGGTGAAAATGGATTATCCAAACCTTGATAACCCAGATTGAGGTGGACGTGAAATGCACCAACCTCTTTCAGGAAGTCATGGGCTCGACTCTGTAGGGTATGGGCAATGAGGACACCCTATCAATTTTTAGTATCGATAGAGCCCTGAATTTTCTCGGATAGAAATAGATGAGAAGTTGCTGATGATGGAGATAGTGGGATGTTGCATCTTGTGCATATGGTGAGATAGCGGAAGTGTATATAAATAACGCAACCAATCTTTCTGGGACCATGCAAGATTGTGATAGAGGGCAGGAATCCGTACCTACCCGCCTATCAAATATCCATCCGTCATGTGTAGTAAGTAATTTTTACCCCAAAAAAAGATTGGGGTGGTAGATTGATAGTACTTCAGCATCTGATTTGTGGGACCATCCCTTCCCACTCCGTCTCGTGATGGCGCTCTATTTCTGCACACGAGGAACCGACGCTGTATTTGTTCCTGGGTCCTGGTAGGGCTGGTCTCGTAAGGTAAGTGGACCACAGTGGCGATTGCGGATCGTTGGGTCATGGGGGGTTCGATATGTTTTGCATGTGAATGCAGGAATTGATGGCGCAATGCTGCAGGGCCCGGCGATTCGAGACTGGGGTTCAGGGGGATCTTATTCGATCAATGAAAACCTTGTTGTTCGTTTCATTCAGCCCTCGTGCGCAAGTGCATGGGGAAGTGATGGGGAGATCAGGGGGGGATTTGAAATGCCTGCGCTGACGAGGTTTGCAGTTGGGTAGGGTTCTGCTAGTTCATGATCAATGTGATGTGGTGAGCTCCAGGAAGATCTAGGTTTGGGACTTGGTGTGTTTGGCATGGTTGTAATATGCTGGGCGTGGTTCGAGAGGGAGAATATACGAAATGGTCCTGGTCCAGTGCGCAGGAGGCGGGGTTGGAAGGACTAGAGCGAATGTCGGTTGCAAGCTGGAATTAGGAAACGCAAACGCTGGTACTGGTACGAGATGCGCTAGGGGGAGTATGTTAAGGGTGGCGGGACAGGGTGGAAAGATGATAAGAGCTATATGATTGCCGGGTACCTAAAGGCGGGGTAGGACTGATAAAGAAAAGTCGCTGTCAATGACGACAACGATAACGATGGTGCATCGCGTAGCATAGCATCGCATCAATGTACGCTGCTGTATTCCCCAAGACTAGTTTTTGAGCGATATAGCTCGGCAACTTGAAGGCCGTTATGCCATCCTTCAAGGTGCCTTGACCTCTGCCTTGACCTCAAAGACGCCGTCCATTTTGACCTCGGCTGTAGCACCGTTCCCCGCCTCAGCCGCAGTGCCACCCGTGGAGAGCACTTGCATCGCAGCGTCAACGCTTCCTTCCCACAGACCCTGCCATGTCCACTTGGCAACAACATCATATTTCTTGCCTGCTTCCAATTTGTGTGTTCTTAAGGGTATGTCGACCTCGATTTGGCTGTCCGGTGCGATCTCGACGAAAGCATCTTTTGGTGGTGGCCAGACTCTTTGGAACTGGACAACGTCGGAGGGGACTTCCTCTCCTGTAGAGGTATCGGTCACATGGATGATGCCCAACACTCCAGCTGCGTTGTCGAGCAAGGAGTTGTAAGTGAGGATGGTCAGAGGGTGCTGAGCCGTGTTCTGCACTGTAGCATGTAGCGTAGGGATGTCCGATGCACCTAGCAGTGGGTTGACGGGGGTGATGGTCACGATGAGAAAACTGGAAAGATACATCTCCGAAAGATCTGCAACGGCGGGGATATCCAGACTTGTGTTGAAAATTCACGACTGCTTCGAACCGAGCAGGTCTAAAATCTCTCCTGAGCTCTGCAGTCGAGATGCGGCGGCCCGAAACGGGGCTTTGTGAAACCCAGGCAGCGGGGAACAACTTCAAGGCTTACGGTTGAGTAGGAAGAGAGCCAAAGACCTTACGGAGACGAAAGTAGTGACAGTCTACAAGTCTTTCTGTCTTTCTGTCGCTCAGTCAGCTATTCCGAACGTCCTATCTGGATCTGGTTATCTGAGAACTCGCACCAGGAAATGTTTGCTGGCATTGTTTGCTACTCAGGTAGGCCCATGAGATTCAACAATGCATGACCGCGAATAACCAGCATAAATCGATGGAAAGCTCCGTCCTTCTGATCAGGCATAACCTGACATTTGTGTACACAACAAACCTATAGGCTAGCTTAGGGAGGTGCCTGGATATCTGTAACGCTAAATCGTGTCGTCGCAAGGTCTGGTTTCATGCAGAGTGGTTTAAGGAGGGCAATTGTTCCGGTGATGAGCTCCGCCATCCGGAAGCTTGGCATGCAACAGAAGGCACCTCGAACATCCTCCCTGCGACCAACAATTCGTCTTTGAGGGAGATTGGCCGCGTGGTCTGTGGATGAGCGTCGTTTGACGCGGCATTTCAGGGGGGATAAACAGGAGGGAAATAGTACTAAGTACCCCTAGTATTTAGTAGCTCTTAGTCTTGCAACACGCCTAACGCGCTGAAGTGCTTAGCGGGCTTGGCGTGAAACACATCCTTTTGACCCCTAATTGCGTTCTCTACCACTCACACCACGCCCTCGCCTCCCTATCCCATACTGCCAACGTTGCCTCCTGTCAAGAGGCTTTCCAAGGGCGCTTCAACGACGATGCAGCGGCTGCAAGTGGGGCGTTAGCTTACATATCTCCTGGCCCCACTGTTATGGGGGCTCAGTGAATGGCTAACGAAGCTGTCATGCTATTGTTTCATTCCTCAATGCGAAATAACCAAAGTCAATGCCGCAAGCTTCCTGCTTGCCTTCTGGCTTTCTGACAGCTCTCTATCGGTACAGGCAAAGGCTACGGCATTAAAAACAAGAGGCGCGGATCAGTGGTAGGAGCGTTCTTCACCAGTCAACCTGGCTCCAACGTGGGGCAGGGTATCCATATGTGCTTCACAACCCTCGCCAATTTTATATCTACCTAGCCACAGCACTAAATCAAACGCTGCCGATGCTCATACATCTGCCATGCCTTTCTATTGGACGATACTTAGATCGATATAGCTCCTTGCAATGCTTCCTTATGCCCTCGTGGTCGTCAAGTCTCCTTTAGTTGCATGCGCGGCTGCCGCAGTATCTTTCATTGGCTTTCGTCTATTTACTCTCCGATGCATTTTCTCCATCACGCGGATACTTTTCATTATACCGCCAGGGGTCGCGGTGGATCTTATGAGTTGCATGCCGATCGATGACCAGTCGACCTTTTAAGCGACTTTGTTTTCCTTCTAGGCCGTTGGCAAGATCCATTCAATTGGCTTGTCCTTCTAACCTCACTTCTGTCAAATCAGTTTGCTATTCTAGCAACATCTTCTAAGCTATCAGTCTATGCATATCATCTTGAGGCCTGTTTCTACTAATTGCGGACAACTGCCCTGCCTAGGCTTAGCTTGGGTCGTCCTTGGATTTTATATCGAAACATTTCCCTTGAAACCATCAGCATCCCTGCTTAACCATTCCTCACTCATTGAAGGAAGTGTGTATAAAGAGTCGGTGATTATTGCACAAAAGAACAGCTCGACAGCCTTCTATCCACCTCACTCCTGTACCTCCTGGCAGCTCTCATCCTCTCACCTCGGCTGGATACTTGGAGGTTATCTTCATTAAAACACCCTTTACCAGCAAGTATCTTTATACATTCAACTTCGCTCACACATCTCATCCGCATCCGCCATGCAGACTGTAGTTTACTTCGCGGTTGTTGCTGCTTTGGTTGCACCTTCGCTAGCCCATACGATTCCAAGAATCATCAGGAGGGATGCAGGACTCAAAGTCGAGCTGTCCCAGGTGCTTGCTACTGAGGTCAATGCTGTGATGACAAACACTGGCAGCGAATCATTGAAGCTGCTTGACTACGGAACGCTAATGGATAAGAACCCTGTTCAAAAGCTCAACGTGTTCAAAGATGGTAAGTGAAGGTGCCAGACGTCCTTGTTCCATGCTAATCATGGCCCATAGGAGTCGAGGTTGGTTTCACCGGGGTTGATATGCGGTACAGCATGCATGGCTTGACAGAGGATGCCTTCACCACCCTCGAACCAGGTGAAGCATTCACGTCCGTCATCAACATCGCTGCACTCCACGAGGTCGCTGGCGGTGAGTACACTGTGTCCACCGAAGGTGCCATTCCATATGCAGCACTCGACACTACAGAAATCGCCGGGTCCATTGCATACGAAAGCAACCTCCTTCCGCTGACCCTCTCAGACGACGACGTGGCGGTTGTTCCACGTGCTGTTCCAATTCTTGACAAACGTACCATTCTTGAAGGCTGCTCAGGCCAAGAGGACGTGGCACAGAGGGAGGGCCTGGGACGATTGATCAATGTGGCGCCACTTGCCGCTGAGGCCGCTAGAAGCGGAGATCCTGCCAGATTCCAAGAGTTCTTCAAAACTACTGATGATGCTGTGAGGCAAAATGTCGCCGCTAAATTCGACGCTATCACAAGCGAATCCAGCTCAACAACAAGCGGGTCTACAACTTATTTTTGCGAAGACCAGTTCGGTTACTGCTCCCCAAACACCCTGGCTTATACACTTCCGAGCCAGAACTTGATCGCCAATTGTCCACTATTTTATAATAGACTGTCTTCGCTCAGTACGAGATGCCGAGACCAAGACCAAACCACTACTATTCTCCACGAGTTTACCCATGCACCAGGGGTATTTGGCGTTGGTACACAAGACTTTGCCTATGGCTATGCTGCATCCGTGCAGCTAACCGCTCGGCAAGCACTTCGAAATGCTGATACCTATGCACTTTTTGCCAATGGTACGTCCCCACCCCTTTAGTTTGGCCCATGTCAATATACTGACGCTGTCATCCAGCCGTAATCAACAACTGCTCGGTCCTTAGCTCCTGAACGTTAGCAATTGAGGAGTTCAGAGAGCTTCAGAGCCGCTAACGATAACGATAATGAATCCTCGTGGAGGCTGGTTAATTCACGATGAGGAACCATTGAATGGCACGTTATGAAGGCGAGATACTTGTACATAGTAGATGTCAACAGGCTTGCCTGGTAGCAGTCCTGTTCTATTCGATTGTTTGGCTACGCCTACTTCTTAGAGAGAAGCAAGGACTAGGCCATCTGATGATTCTCCCATATATCCTGACTAGTATGACGAGGTATCCTTCAAATCCGTCTCTGAGCGCGTTCTCCTTCCTATGATCCGGTCTGACGTCCGACCAAGCACATATATCATCAAACTGTTGCCGGAGTATTGCCGGACACCAGCGCTGTACAGATCAGCCTCACATTGGGATTCCGAGTGTGATGCCAGCGTCTTCATGGCCAACAGCTTCACTTGGTGAGCTTGCTTCTGCGTTGAGTGGGTTACCCTCAGCATACGTCATACGTCATACATCTTTTCGTTTTCAATTTCGCCGGCATTGGACCAACCCAGCAGATGTAGAATCACCTACTTACATTGGGGTCAGGTCACCTACGGAGCTGCAGCCACATTTGCACGGTGCGCACGTAGAATGAACCAAGATCGATTTTATCTTGGACCTTCTTACATACTTTCCCGCCATCACACCAAGCTATGTTGTCAGCACGAGTTCAACAGCGCATAGCTTGCAGCGCTCCGCGTTCGAGGCTTACGGAACGTCCTTACCCACGGCTCATCCGACGGTCAGTACAGCACGGTCAGTACAGCGCGGTCAGTACAGCGCATTTCGCATCCAGCTAGACAACGTTAGCCATTTTTACAACCATCAAGGCTCCCTCAGCAAACCATGAGCAGAGGATTCGACTTCTTGCATTGGCGACCTGCGACGAGGCAGAGCAAGCAGGTACACTTTTTATCCAACCGACATTGGAGCTCGTAGACCGGAGGCTGGGAAGAGCATGATCCGCTGCCCTGTGAAGATCAATCAGCCATTTTAACACCAGCCAATAAGCAACCCGATGGGCGGCTTCGAGAGCACTCTTTAAGCGCATGAACTATGGTAAGAATTTCTTCACGGAAGAAGAACTCGTGACATTACAAGCATCACCAGCACATCTAAGAAATATGATACACATATTCTAGCGGACCTCAGCGTGGGCTCATCCAGATATCCGAGTTGGAGAAGAAAAGTGGGTGTTCTTACCAGCCCATCAAGTTGGGCGTCTTCCATATATCGGATGATCATCTTGCTGCATTGCGACGCATGAAAAGAGGCGGACCAATCTGCGATTACTAGGAGGTTGTACAACGGACGTCAGCGCTCTGATTTTCCACGGCCTCTGATGTTCTTCTTTTTCAATCATCGTCATCACCACTCTCAGCCTTGAGGTGGAGCGCCTCCTGGACATCAATTTTCACCGAAAGAGACACGTAAAACGTGGTTCAGACGATGACCAGCCGACACCTGGAGGTCTACAGACAACAACGAGCAGGTCGAACAGTGTTGAAGCGGATTTGGACCCAACCACCAGCCTAAGACAATGGCACGGAGAAGAGAATCGTGCAGGCCAATCACGTAGTCAGGAACCGAGTGCCACAAAATCATGTGGGAAGCTTGAGCCAGGATGGGAAGTCCAGGTATGCAACGGTCCGGTGATGGACAATTGAGCCGTTCCTTGATCCGTCAAAGCGTCGAGTCAGTCGACTGGCAGTGGACTCACCCAGCGCCCTCTCTCTACAATTCAATGAGGACGACTATGATTCCAGCGAACTCTATGGAGGGAAGACAGCCTCAACCGAGTTTATTTGGAGCTCACGTGCTTTTTCAGACCATCTGACACATCCTCATCCTTAATAGAAAGTCTGGCCAGCGAAGCCGTAAAAACTGTATACATAAGCCTAGCGGTAGCAGCCGATTCTGCTAAAATTGGCGAGGTCGGAATGCCGCCAGATACAGATGTTGACGGCTCATCATCGTCCGACCCGTTATCCTGGTCATCATTCTTTGAGCGGCTGCCCTCATCTCTGGCAGCAAGGGAAGTGGAGGTCTCTAAATCTCGGAGCCTATCCCGAAGGCCTAGGTCCTTACTTCCATAGTGACGTGAGAGTTTTTTTTCGAGTACGTTTGGGGTGAGATGAGAAATATCCTAGCCATCGGGAGGACCATTGCGCAATTCTTCCATAAAGTTTGAGGACTTTAGTCGGGTTCCTTTCGTGACGATGCCATTGTGCTAGACTTTGTAGGCTCGGCTTGGATCGTGAACAGCGGTACGAGTGAATGGAAGCGATTTTGAGCGGCTGGAGGGCTCACCGGATTCTCCCGGGATTTTGGCCCTTTCCCGTTTTGCAGTTCCTCAAATATGTTAATTACAGTACATCACAGTAAAAAGGGTTGGAAAGAGAAAGTAAGTAATTGAATGTTTAAGCTACTGTAAGTCCCGAGACAGAGAGGGCTTGCATAAATACAGTCTATACGTTCCAAGTTGAATGGAATCAGCTAGGAGCCGGGGAACGGGGAACGGGGAACGGGGGAAGGTTGGGTAGGCTCAGCACACACCCCAGCAGAATGGATTAAAAGATGGGCATGAGTAGGGTAGCCCTGTGGTTTTATTTAGATCTTCTTTGATGGTTGCTTGCATCCCTTGGTCCTCAGCCTAACTTAATCCCGAGATCGCGCTCGTAACCTCCAAATTCGCTTTGACATCTGCTAAACCTCAGCCTGATATCGTGGTTGCCCTCGAGGAGCACGCTGCATCACCGGTCCACCACCCGAAAATGCTGGGTATCCGATCGTGTATGATATCTCTGTTAATCTCTGTTCGAGTTGCTGGGCGATATCAGCAATCCATTTATGGCCACCTTTGGCGTCTTCGAAGACTTTGCAAATAAGGTTCTGCATCGTCTCTTTATTCGCGTCCAGTAACAATTTCAAAACGGATGCTCCACTCTCTGTATTCCGTGCTGCGGCGTATATCGCTGCTTTAGAGATGTTCTCGCAGACTAGGTCTTCTCTTGTTTTGAGAAGCTGTTCCGTGAGCTGCTTCCCATATCGAAGATTCCCTGCTGTGGCCTTAATTACTTTCTTAGAGATGCTCTTGCAGACTTCATCTTTCAGTTGGTCGAGGAGCATTGTCATAATCTGCTGTCCGTAAACTTCATTCGTCGCTGCGGCCGCCACCACCCCATCAGATATGCTCTTGCGGACCTCGTCTTTGAATTGGTCGAGAAATATACCCATAATGTCCTTTCTATAGCCTTTATTACTTGCTGCTGTCTCGACAACTTTCTCTGTAACAAATTTTCTAATTAGGTCGAACTTGTCAATGTTGAAATCAAGAAGATCGATTAGTTTGTGCGGCGTTCTCCTTCGGTAAGAGACTGCGTTGAGGATCCCTTCTTCCAGCTGATTGAGAACCTCAGCCGAGGGTTCTTAAGAGACAACCTCTGTCTCGAAAAACTTATCTACCTCCTTTTTCTCTAGATGGTTGACCTTCACTTCCCCAGACCGAAATGTCCGAAATGTCCCTTGTACCTCCTCGTAGGCCGATTTGAATTCGGCATCCGCAAGATCGTGGAGGAATGGTAGGAAGCGGGCAATGTCGAAACATCGCGCTTTCGACGTAACGCTGACAACGCCTTGTTCGTCACCTGAATCATGGAGGATCGAATGTGAAAGTCTGCATGATTGCGGGTACCAGTCACTCGCTCCAGGGTCAAGAGAATATATGTCGAACACCATCCAGAGCGCCAGTTTCTTGTCCAACAAAACTTCGTAGCCGGTCCATTTGGAGATGCGTCCAGCTTTTCCATTACTGACATTAACGAACAGACGCCCAATACCGATGACAAGGTCTGGATCTTGTAACAAGTTGTCATCAATAGAGAGCTGACAAAGTGTATCGTGAGGCCACTTGGCAGCCTTGCCAAGCCTTAAAAGGGTATGATGAGGATGTAGTTGGTAGTCCTCAGACATGTCCCCAGACTCGTCCCCATCCACGAACAAAGGAATAGCATCTTCACGAAGGTAGAAGGGGAGATCTCCCAGCCAGCTTCGTGTCTTATGTTCCGCCAGTGATTTGTGTTCGCGAATATCTTTGAAAAACTTCTCTACCTCAGGTCGCTCCTTCAGCTCTGCGTTACGAGCGTGTGTGATTGCTATGTCGTAATCACCCCAGGTATTTTCGCCGCTGGACGTATCATCTGGCTCAGTATCATACTGCCCGTGGGAATCTTCAGAGGTTGCTAATGGTTGAGAATATGAGAGATTACAATACCATAAGACAAAGGAGACGTGAATTGAGATAGACGACATTCTTACCGGTCTCATCCATTTATATCAGCTTGCGTTAGGTACCACTGGGTTTGGGATGTACTCATGCAAGAAGGTGAAACCGATGTGTCCAAGATGCACATTTGCTTCCTACCGCAAGATCAAAAATCAAATCGAGCCTCTTAAGGCTATTGGATTTATGCAATAGCAACGACCCTGAGCCGCAGTGAGATCAATTATCGTGGGTATCTTAGGCTTGTTGTTACACGGAAGGCCGTGGAACAGGGTATGGGGGTGCTATAGAAGCAGGAGAGTCACGAAATAGCTGCGTATGAACTACTGTATGACTGTGTGGTAAGGCGGTGGATGAACTATCTAAGTGCTATGGAGGCGTAGAGAGATATGAGCACTCGGAGTGCCAAGCCTGCCCTAGCCCTCAGCCCTAAGACCGGATGCGGTATAGCGCTCGTGGAGCACTTGGCTGTACGCGTATGGACGAATGCTTGGCCAGCGCCAAGCCCTGCCCTAATGCCCCTTTGGGCCATAGCGCAGGTTGTGCTGTAACACTTGTCGAGCCAAACATAGAGAAATTAAAGGTGCATTGGAATGACTCAGATGATTTGACAGACTGACCTGTGATGACGAAAGATATTCAAAAACAAATGGCAAACAAAACATATGACAAGTCATAGGCAATGGTCAGGTGTTGCTGGTTGAGGCTCAAAGAGTCACTAGTACAGTCTTGGCTTTGCCACATGCCGCTACCGCCCGCCGCTGTGCGCTACCGCCCACGTAGATTTGGGGAATGTCTTCGGGCAGGTACATTCGCACAGGTACATTCGGCACAGGTACATTCGGCGTTTGGGTCTTGGCGGGTATTGCGTCATACAAATTGCTAGTAAACTTGCCCGTCATAACCCATTGAATGATTTGAACTTCCTATGCAGAAAACCACATTGATATTGATGTTGCTTTTACTTCCCAATTAGGAAACAAGTATAGAGAACGTGGTGTTGCAGAAATAGCTCTATCCCTGGGCCGCTCCGCTTGCTCCGCCCCTGCCTCTGGCCTTGCCTCTGGCCTTGCCCTGCCCTGTAGCCCGTTTTGGCGCCTTTTCAGCCTCTAACGCCTTCATTGTAGGCGCTCTCTTACGCCTAGCTCTTGATTGCGTCATCGCTGCTGGCGCCGTTGAAGGAGGGGGTATAAAAGCCTCATCTATAGCTTCTTCTTCCTCTTTTTCTTCTTCATTCCCAGGAGTTGGGAAGGACCGATCAACTGTGGTGGTGGTGGTGGTGACAAGGATAGCGAGGGCGCCAGCAGCAGATCTATAAGGGGGGGTATCAAGGACGCTCTCCACGTCAACAGGAGCTGTAGAAGGAGGAGGAGGAGAAGGAGGAGGAGGCCCTACAAGGGATGTTGGCCCTGTTACAAACGAAGTTGTTAGGGCTAAATTAGCCTCCTGACGTGCCTCTTGAGCAGCAACCTGTTCTTTTTGTTATTGGCGTCACGTTCTGCTGCCTCTGGCCCTGTCATAAGCCGCTTATTGACCCTATCGTGAGTTTTAAACTGACGTCCCCATGAGGATCTCTTGACAGTATCTGGCATTCAAACGTAGAGGTCATCATTGCCAAGTTCTTGAGCGAATTCAACAAGACCTTGTTGAGCTTGAGTTGCTACCTTTTTGTAGCGTTGACGTGCGTATTCTGTATGATTATCTCGTGCCTTTATAACCTCTAGACCAAGCCCTGTCATTTAAGTCTTTGTAAGAGATAAAAAAGGGTTCTGAATAATTGTATTTCGAGGGAGGGATAGAGGTAAATCAGCAGTCTGATATAATAACGACTAGTTAGCTATCCTAATAGGCTTTTCTTGTAACCACTAACAAAGGTGTAAAAGAGAGCAAGGGATCAGTAAGCCATTAAGGCATACTTGACGAAGATAATGCTTGTAAGGAAGGCTAAATCAAAGTAATATCTTATAACTAGTACAGATATCTAATATAGCTTGAAGTAAGCCATCTTGACATCCTAATTTTATAGCTTGCCACTCAATAGATAGCCGCTAAATAGCTTAAAACGTTACTATATCTGTCAGCTATAAAAATGCGTACAAATTAAGCGTTCGAGGTAACTTACTGCCTGTATAGGCCTCCTCCTTATTCAGTTCTCAGAATTTTGCCTTGATAGTCTCTCTTAAATGTTGTGCTGCCTCCTTTATACTTATATTCTTATTAAGGATCTTTATAGTCATAAGATGAATGCTTTCAGAGCGCTAATTTAAATAACTGCCTAAGTTAGGATAGCTATAAGTATAAATACATAAAAAACATATCTCTTAAGGACCTTAGTACTTCTCTAAGTACTTGATTTCGTTCTGCTTAAGCTTTAAATATAGCTTTATCCGATATATAGCAAGCTCCTCTTGCGTATAACTTTTGACAAAACGCTATAGAATATCTCTAAGCTCTTTACAGGCCTCCTTTTTGTAACTCTTATCTATTAGCTGCTTTATAACGTTCTCTATAGTGTACTAGTTGCAGTATTATAGAATTACATCAGGAAGAGCTATAAGGAGTAACACTATTATACTAGCTGCTTGATCACTAAGTACTAAACGTGGCAAAGAAATAAGAGGATAAAAAATGCGTTATTTAAGGCTCTAAAAGATAAAATTAAAGGACATTTTAAATTCTGAACGAGCAAATAATAAGGTAGCAACGAAGGTCCTGTTATAGTTAATTATACCTACTATAATAAGTAAAACAAGATTATAAGCATTTATATTAAATATGCTATTAACAAAAAGGGTTCATCCTGCTATAAAGCGCTAAGCGTATTAGATTTAATTAGAATAAGCGAACCAAATTTGCTGTAACTAAGTCTTAACTACCTCGCTAGACTGTTAGTTAATTTCCTTCTTTATATAGCATTTAAAAATAAAACCAGCATCTTTAAGGGCAACAATAAGGCCAGCAAACTCATCTTTTTTAGCAGAGAGAGCGTGATGACAAAGATTATAGTAACTCTTACAATCAAGAAAGAAACCAGCTTGTTCAAGCACTTAACATGCTACAGAATACGAGATATAAGCTGACTGCAGAGACTTACCCAAATCTAGGGCTATTTGATACCTAGGGAAGGCCTTTTTGTGCTCTGTGTATACTAAAGGGTTCACTGCTATAGAATGGCTATAAGAGTTATTTTTGACGCCTAATACAAGGCTAAATTCTCGAGATCCACGCTTGCCTATTTGCTTGAAGGCGAGATATATAAGGTATAGATAATTCCTTGCATTAATAGTTATTACTTCTTGCTTACGTCGACTAGTAATATTGTCCTCCTCATCCCTCTCAACATGCTCCTCTAACTTCCTATAATTCCTCGTCGAATTGCTATGATGGATACAATGAAAATAGAAACGAGGACGAGCCTGCTTCATACTCCCGCTTTGCTACGTTATAGCAAAACCCTGAGCAAAAGCGAAGCCCTAGAGACGCTCTCTACAGAGCTCTACGTTATCAAAGACCTCTCCATTCAAGGGTTCATTCAGAAACGCAGGGGGGAAAGCCCTCACACGAGCTTCGACTTCGCCGCGGAGGTGCGCAGGGCAGTGAGGATGGGCAGTCCAAAGAGCAGTGGCCATGGCAACAAGCAGTAACAAAGCACAACACCAAGGATATCTATCTGGATACCTATTTAGGAAGCGACGAGAGGCTCAAATTATGAATAGCAGCAAATTGGCAACGTGTGGGCTTAGGGCAGGAACTCTACATACAAATTACTACTGTGGAGTCACGCCAAGACCCCAAGGAATTCCAAACGCCGAATGTACCTGTGCCGAATGTACCTGTGCGAATGTACCTGCCCGAAGACATTCCCGTAGATTTGGGTGGCTATCACAGTACAATCAACCAGCCAGATACAATACTTTGATCCTTTTGCTCTCATTCTTTGGCAACCTTTTACAATCTGATGTACTGTTACTCCGTACGGAGCGGGAGACGGTTCGGAAAGGAGCCGACCGAAGCTAAATAAGACTCCGAACAACCACGTGACAATGCTACTTATCTCCATGCAGCCAGCAACCAACTCCCTTGAGGGTAGGCGGCAGTGATCAAGCGCTACGCATGAAATTACATGTGTAGGCATGGCGTATGCGTCATGCATTCTGTACTATTTCTCGGTCCTCCTCTTCTTCGTCTGTGGCTCTCTTTTCGCACGCCATGTCGCTGCGCGGCTGCGCGTGCTTGTTGTTTGGGGCCATGAGACGACGCACTTTGCTGGGTACTCCGATGATGGGAAGGCGCTGTTGGACTCCAGTAGGGATGAGGATGGGATTGGAGATGGAGACTGGGAGCGAGATCGGAATGCATTGAAATTATGGACCGGTAACCGCATTGCGACGACAATTCCCTGGCTACGGACTAGATCGCGATGCGGGTTACGATCACTTCTGTGCTCGGAGAAAGCCGCTACGGTACTCTGCGTCGCGGTGTTGGGATATTGCTACCTCGTGCTACTAGCCTGGCCGGGCATCCCGTCTCTTTTTGGGAACGGGAACGGGATCTTTCGTGTACGGCCACATGCCTCATCAACCAACCTGACAGAAGTCTTTCAAGTGTACCGCCCGCCCGCTGACCCGCCTTCGTTGGCAAGAGACTGCGAAGTCCTTCTCATGAATCACACTTTCGCTTTCAGCTACGGTAAGCCTTTCGTTGGCTCTTACCGACCCCCTGATTCCACCAAATGTTCGTTCAACACCGTCCAAGTGAACTTGACGATAACATCTCGAGGCCGCCAGTTCGACCGTCTAGCCCTCATGTTCCTGGGCGACGTCGAAGTCTTTCGCACCTCGACCGCTGAGCCGACCACTAATGGGATTGAATGGACGTACAGGAAGGAGATGACGGCTTACCTATCGCTGTGGCGGGAACCGCAGAAAATAATCTTTGATCTGGGAAATCTGGTGAATGATGTCTATACCGGGACTTTCAACGCCACTTTGACGGCGAAGTTTTGGGAGGTGGAGGAGCCGGTCCAGGCGGCGGATCTGATTCTGCCGATTTCGGCTCAGCAGTCGGAGTTGGGCAGGCCGAGCGCTTTTAGTCTCCCTGCTGATGAGGCGATGGCGAGGCAGAGCTTGCCAGTGGGAGGGGTGAGGAGGGCGATTGTTTCGGTATCTGCCTGTGGGCAAGCGACGGAGGAGTTTTGGTTCTCGAACGTTTTATCTGAAGATACAGAGACGTTCCTGAATAGCACAGGCGAACTTTATGGGTTTTCGCCGTTTCGGGAGGTCCAGCTGTTGATCGATGGGTATTTGGCTGGTGTGGTTTGGCCATTTCCGATCATTTTTACTGGAGGGCTTGCACCCGGGTTTTGGAGACCAGTTGTTGGGATTGATGCTTTTGATCTCAGGGAACCGGAGATTGATATTACACCATGGCTGCCATGGTTAAGTGATGGAGAGGAGCATCGATTTGATATTAGGGTGGTAGGATTGGAGAGCGATGGTGAGAAAGTGAGCTTGTCGCGTGAGGTTGGTGATTATTGGGTCGTGACTGGAAAGATACTGATCTTTTTGGGCGATGAGCAAAGTAACACGACACAGGCGGCTGGCCACGATCTACCATCGATATTCACGCCAGAACCGGCGATCAGTGTGAAGTCGGACATAGAGCAGTCAGCCAATGGCACTAACGAGACACTTTCATACGCGGTAACGACCTCCCGAAGTGTAGTAGTAACTTCCGAGGCTGGGTCCTGGGTGCAAACTCTCGAGTTCCAGAACGGCAACATCTTAACATCTCAAGGTCTTACGCAATCCACCACGCAATCCACCAAAGGCCATTTTGCCGCCATCAATTTCGGAGACCCTCGTCTGAGCTTCAGTGTCTCAACTTCCTACCCTTTGTCTGTCAATACCACCATACGCGTACTTGAGAACGATTCCGGAATATCTATCGATGCATCGATATCTCGTGGACTGACGATCGAATCAACAGGCAGGCTCGATAACTCGCTATTCACACTCACGTCCGGCGAGAGCAAGCTAGACACCTCGCAATTTGGAACAGCATATTATTCCAGTCACCCAAACAAGAGCTACTCATTTGGAGACACGACACAGGATTTGTTTGAAAGCTCGCGGAAGGGATTTTCCGTTGTCCACGTAGAGGCTGTGAATGGATCTATAGCTCCCGTAAATGGCCATGGTGGGCCATTTTCGGTCGCACCAGGTGATTTCGGGGTAGTGCCAATCTTGTCAGAGGCCGGTCCACCATATCGGTCCCTCAGAGCCATGGTAGGCAGGGGTCCAGGGAGACCTGTAAGGTATCTACCATAATGCTGCCAAACCTCATGCTGCAGTTAATGAGTGTTGGCCTTCCAGGCGCACGTATGGTTGGTGTCCGCATTCTATCTTCTCAAGACGTCCTCCGAGCTTTTATCTGCCGTAGCGCCCTTGCAGTTCCCTCCACGATCAAGCCCCATTCCACCTCGTGTATCCTACTCTCCAATTCCTCCTCAGACTCTCCCTTTATCATGGGGACCTCCTTCGTAACGATGGGCTCTCCCATGTCAACCTCGCTGACGACGTGATGTATCATTACTCCAGTATGATCTATCTCGCCTTTCTGAAATGCCTCGTAAGCACGATGGATCGCACCAGCCCCATTGAACTGTCTCGGCAGCGCAGGATGTAGGTTGATGATGGCGATGTGCGCCTCCTCCAATGCATCCACAAAGGCAGAGGAGAGAATATGCATCCAGCCTGCACAGACCACCAGATCCGGTTTCTCCTCGATGATCATTTGTGCAAGATCTTGGTCGTACGCTACTCGAGCACGTAGAATGCCGGCTTCATTAGCAGCCTGTTGCTTCTTGTACTTGACCAGATTATGATACGTGGTTGGTATTGAAGCATTGTGGGCTCGAATAAGACCATAGGCATCTTTGCGATTGGAAATAACTCGGATGATCTTACTGGAGGGTAATCTGGGCGTATTGCAAGCGTCGATCAGAGCTTGCAGGTTGGAGCCATTGCCGGAGATGAGCACGAGTATACAAGCGAGAGTCTCGCTGTCCTCAGCCATATCCTATTTGAGGATCATTAATCTCCTTGAGGTCTTCCAGCTGAAGAAGTATTTGATATTTCTATAATTGCTTACCCAGACCTTGATAGTGAGGCGCACAAATATATTTAGGCACCTAGAGCTTAAGGTTTGAATCTAGTCTGGGCGTAGCATAGCGGTGGCTTGGACGCGTTATCGATAACAGTTGCCTGCGGGCGCGTTCCTCGCTTCGTCTTCGCCATCTATTACTTTCCAGACACTCCGATCTTCATCCACCTTCTTGTAAATACTCTTCGCTACAGTCCCCGGTGTTATCCTGTTGCCCTGCAAGACATGAAGCGTCGGCCCGCCTGTAAGTCTTGATGAATGCTCTGGCGGTGCAGAATATCTTGTCGCTATTTAGTCGGTCTCGCCAGCCTGCGCCATGAATGATACTACTGAGCCCCCGGCAAAGCGACGGAAACTCAAAGACGAGTCAAGGCATCAATATGTCACGATAGTCCAATTTAGCAAGAATATCGACGCCAACCACGCTCAGTCGCTTGAGATCAAGAAGGACTTGGGCCTGAAGGCCACCCCGGTCGTGCTGAAGGATGTCCAGCTCGGTGATGGAACCATTCGCGGCCATTTCACTCCTGTGGTCCGGAAGGCTCTGCCAAATATCCCATTCTCGGAAGCTACCTCTTGTGGGGATTCGGTAGGGGAGGTACTCAGATACTGCCATGGACTCGAGTCTATCCACAAGCGCAAGGAAGATCGAGTGCCGCTTGTGTGCTCTGATATCACCCTTACCCCTTACTTCGACTCAGATTCAAGACTCAAGGCTTTCCGCCTTAAAGTGAGAATATTATGGCAAGACGCAGCAATTACTCGCAGCAAGGTGTCGTCTCAACAGCTTGCTATACTCCACAGATACCTACGTTCTGACAGTGCAATCACACGGCCAACAGAAGTCCCAGAGAAATGGAACCCGAGAGACTTCTATGAGAATGTGCATGTTCCTGCAGATACCATCGAATCGTCCACAGACATTGTCAACGACCTGATGTCCTGTCGTCTGTATCCATTTCAACGGCGAGCAGTACGCTGGTTACTGAATCGCGAAGGCGTACAACTAAATCCTGACGGTCGCATACAGTCTTTGCAGCAGGAAATGATGCCTCTTCCACCGTCCTTTTTCAAGACATGCGATGCGACTGGACGAGAAGTTTATGTCAGTCAATTACTTGGCTGCGTTTCCACTAACTTGTCGGACTTGCAAGCGGCATATCCTGACATTTCGGGCGGTGTGCTGGCTGAAGAGATGGGACTCGGTAAAACCGTGGAGCTTATTGCGTTGATGTGCTCCCATAGGAGGAATCACTCTTACTATGGCGACAATGGTGAAGGTGTACCCAATGATCAAACCGGCCAGGGATTGAAGAAGTCAAGGGCGACTCTGATAATAACTCCGCCCTCTATTTTGGAACAATGGAAAGAAGAACTTGAAGAACATGCACCAGATCTTAAAGTGTTTAATTATAATGGTACAAGGACTTCAAAGCGAAGAGCCAATGATGAGACGCTTGAAGAACTGGCAAACAACGATGTTGTGCTCACCACGTACAACGTTTTAGGGCGGGAAATCCATTACGCCAAGGAGAAGCCAGATCGACAACTGCGCGATCGAAAGAGGGATGAGCCACCTAAGAGTCCTCTAACACAAATATCATGGTGGCGTGTTTGTTTAGACGAAGCTCAAATGATTGAGTCTGGAGTGAGCCAAGCGGCCCAAGTTGCTCGCTTGATTCCACGAGTGAATGCCTGGGCAGTTTCTGGTACTCCTCTGCGAACTGGTCACAAGGACTTGTACGGGCTATTCCTCTTTCTTCGCTTCGAACCGTTCTGTCAATCTTTGCCCATCTGGAATAGACTCCTCGATTACTATAGGTCGTTATTCAAGCACTTGCTAGGCAACCATGCTATCCGTCACAGTAAGAATCTCGTTCGGGGAGAACTTCGACTCCCGCCACAGACACGGCATACAATCACTGTTCCCTTCACCGCAATCGAAGAACAACACTACAATCAATTATTCCAGGAGATGTGTGAAGACGTTGGGCTAGACAGATTTGGTGGACCTCTGAATGCTGAGTGGGATCCGAGTGCTCCTCAAACCATTGAAAAAATGAGGTCTTGGTTGAACCGCCTCCGTCAGACATGTCTTCACCCGGAGGTTGGAGGTCGAAACAGGCGTGCTCTTGGCAGAACTGGTGGACCACTCAGATCGGTGATGCAAGTTTTGGACATCATGATAGATCAGAATGAAGCTGCTATACGTGCTGAACAGCGGCTTTGTTTTTTATCACAACTCCATCGGGGTCAGATGCTCGAGCATACAAAGGACACCGAAGGCGCAATCAAACTGTGGACGGCTGTTTATGAGGAGGTCAAAAACATTGTGACAGAGTGCCGAGATTTAGTGGCGAGGGAAAGCAAGTCGAGCCAAATAAGGGACAACTCTTCCAACCCGTCCGCTGATGAGGGTGAAGCCGAAGAAGATTCTGACTCACGTCTCGGAGCATATAAACAACGCCTTCGTGCTGCGCTAGAGGTGCAACATATGTCGATCTTCTTCCTCGGCAATGGGTATTTCCAGATGAAGACCAAAGATGATGTAAAGCCTGATGGGGATATCTCCAAGTACTGGGAACGACGAGAAGAAGCGGCATTTGGAGAAGCGAAACAGATTCGTGCTGAATTGCTTTCTGATATTCTTAAAAAGGTCGGCCGCCTGATGGATGTTGTCAGCCAGAAGACGAAAGCCTCCTCGTTGGCTAAAATACCCCACATGCACATTGAAGTCGAAGATGGCGGTATCGAGAGCAGAAAGATTTTCGAGAAGCTACATTATTTCTGTGAAGCCATGAACGATCAAGCTCAGCAGTATACGGAATGGCGTGATCAGATGGCAAAATTCCTACAGCAGCCTTTGATTGATACTGAAGATGGTATTATTGAGCTCTCTGGCGAAGAATACGAGGCTTCCACCAAGCACCAAGACGAGATGTATGTTTATATGGAAGCGCTTCGCGCAATGTTCGCAGACCGCAATGACGCCTTGACCGGACAGTCCAATTTCCTGATCATTCGTGATATGAAGGCGGCGCACCAGCTAGCCAAGAAAGGTGAGGGACCGGCGCCGCAGCTGTTCCTCGAAGTCCTTGCTTTACGAGAGAAATTCCGCATTCCCAGCGAGCTTGGATCGTTGCGTGGTATCATCTCTGAAATACGACAGTTGATGACAGCGTTGGAGTGCCAAGTGGCGAGTGGCAGAGATCGAGCCAGGGCGGAGCTTTCCATTGTTTCTGATGTCCTGAAAGCTGCCCAAGCCATGTCAAGCGCACAGCAAAAGGTTGTGACAGGGGGGCTTGAGAGAGAGATCGATCTATTTCGAGACACTATGAACAATCGACTTGAGTACTATCGCGGTCTGCAGAAGATTTCCGATACTGTCGCGGCATATGAACCCGTTGACCATGAGCCCGGAGATCCCGTCAATTTTGTAGAATTTGCGCGCTGCATTGAGAATGAGCAGCGCAAAGAGGCCAAGATATCTACGCTGTTGGCCAAGCATCGCTATCTGGCTCATCTCAAGGCTGAGCAGAGTGCTTCAGGTGTGCAGCGTCTCTGTGTTATATGTCAATCCACTTTCGAGCAGGGTACTTTGACTGTGTGTGGCCATGTTTATTGCCGTGAGTGCATCCTGCTCTGGTGGAACCATCATCGATCGTGTCCGACCTGCAAGAAGCAGCTCAAGTCGACCGATTTCCATGATATCACATACAAGCCGCAGGACCTGGTCGTCCAGAAAGAGGCAGAACCTGACACCGTGTCGCCCACAAGATCAATGAGCACCGAGTCGTCAACGTCAGAGCAGCGCCCTGCAGCAAACACGATTTATTCGGACATTAGTGCTTCAACACTGAATCAAATCAAGAATATTGATCTACGGCAAGGTGCCTACTTTGGGACCAAAGTCGACACAATGTGCAGGCATGTTCTCTGGCTGCGCGACCACGACCCGGGATGCAAAGCCATCTTCTTCTCTCAGTATCGGGAATTCCTTGATGTCCTAGGGGCGGCTATGACGAAAAATCAAATCACCTTTTCACGTGTTGATGGTAAGAACGGGATCGAGAACTTCAAGAAGAATGCAAACGTCGAGTGCTTCCTACTGCATGCCAAAGCTCATTCGGCTGGTCTCAACCTCGTGAATGCAAACCACGTCTTCTTATGCGAGCCTCTGATCAACACTGCTCTTGAGCTGCAAGCCATTGCACGTGTCCACCGTATTGGTCAGCAGCGAGAGACGACAGTGTGGATGTACCTTGTTGCAGATACCGTTGAGGAATCAATTTACGAGATATCTGTGACTCGGCGACTGGCACATCTCAAACGTAGAGTACGCAACTCCGCTACGGCTTCACGGTCAGGGACCACCACACCCACAGAGGCCGGAGTCACTGAGGGTGCTATTGATGCTGCAAACTCACTGGAATTACAATCAGTCGATCTCACTAGACTGCTCACTTCTGGCAAAAGTGGCGGAGAGGTCGTTGGCCCTGACGATCTATGGCAATCCCTATTTGGAAAGGCTGAGCGAAAAGGTCAAGGACTTTCCGCCGCATTGGGCGAGGCAGATAGTGAGGCTGGCCGGTTTTTGAGAGCAGAGGCAGCGGAGGAGCGGCTTAGAGCTTAGAGAAGGCTCAGGACCATGACTGGACCACAAGGCAAGAAGAATATGTCGACTCAGCGCGGGCACATAATGTAGTATTTGTTATCGTAGCTGATGAGACCAAGGTAGCTACGCTTCGAAAGAGACATGGGACGGAGAATGAGACAATGAGACTCTACATGATCACTTTCACTTGAAGCCTGCTCCAAGTTGTCCGCTGACGAAATGCCAAGCCCATTTCATTTCCGCGGCTGGCCTGCAAAACGGGGCTCTTGTTCTTTCTTCTGCGATGGATAACTTCTTGTACAGCTTGAGTTCCACATGTCAATGATGCGCAATTGGTTGTGCATTGAATTTCGCAGTGAGTCAGCCACATGAATATCCTACTTCTTGCTTTACTGTCTCTTGCCACACCGATCCTTGTCGGCGCCCTCCCTACGAGTCTTGTCTCCGAGTCGCGCAGTGTGTCTCAAGCACTCTTCAACTCTCTCGAAGAGCTTGCCCGCATCGTCGACATCGCCTATTGCGTAGGTCTGACCGGCATTCACAAGCCGTTCCAATGCCTCAGTCGTTGTGATGACTTCAGGGGTTTCGAGCTGGTCTCTACCTGGCATACTGGCCTTCTCTTGGCTGATTCCTGCGGCTACATCGCGCTCTCCCACCCTCCTCACCCGAAACGTATCATCGTTGCATTTCGGGGCACATACTCTATTGCAAACACTATAGCCGATCTGTCGACGATACCGGCAGAATTTGTGCCGTTTCCAGCTGACGGGGGGGCAGGAGATGGGATTTGTGCTTCAGCAATTCAGGATAAGAGATCATTTACAGTCCAGGAAAGAGGGAGCGATGAGCCTCCGCTGGAGGATAAATGCGAAAATTGCACGGTCCATCTGGGTTTCATGACATCCTGGAAGAATACCCGGTGCATCATTATTCCACATATCGAGAAAGCATTGGACGAATACCCCGACTATCAGCTCACCTTGGTTGGACATTCTCTTGGTGGTGCGGTCGCCGCCCTGGCCTCACTAGAGTTCCAAGCAAGGGGTTGGGAGCCTGTGGTCACCACCTTCGGTGAACCACGTATTGGCAATCAAGCCCTGAGTTCGTACATTGACAAACACTTCAGCTTGTCAAATCAGGACTCGGCAAGGCATAGGTATCGTCGAGTCACACACGCAAATGATCCAGTGCCGCTCTTACCGCTCGAAGAATGGGGTTACACAGCGCATGCAGGAGAGGTCTTCATATCCAAGTCCGACCTGCCGCCTACTGTGGCAGATTTGCAGCACTGCGACAGCGACGCAGATCCTCGGTGTATCGCTGGGCCGAATGACTCGGTCATCCATGCCAATACCAGCTTACAAGAACGATACGCATGGCACATCCCAACCCGCTACAGGCTCTGGGAGCTGTTTTTTGCTCACCGGGACTATTTCTGGCGATTAGGGTTATGTGTTCCGCAGTATGGAAAATGGTGGCCGCCGATGCAGTCTCCAATGACGACCGATGAGTTGTGATGGCTTTGAGGATGGTACTAGTTTAAAGCAATGCATCTCGGCGAGGTGTCATTGCGGTTCTACTGTTGGTACTGAGTATGTGGAATACATTGGAAGGAGGCGAAAAGAGGCCGAAAGAGGCAAAAGAGGCAAAAAAAGCAAAAGCAAAAGCTCGGCGGAGTTTGGGGTGCCAAGACGGAAGATTCTCTAGCAACTTCAAGTTGGTGATGCGTAAGCATGTTTTATGCCTGCAATGTTCACAGTGTATATCTAGGAATATGATGATCTTATGAATTTGCCTCCCTTATGGGAAATTCACACTACGTTGAACATAGAGATAACGGGGTCTTTTGTACCGCAATGTTATAATCTTCCTGGTAGTTAAATTCTAGTACTTCAACACTTGCAAAGAAGTCATTGATATCCTACCCATCGCCACTCCCTTCCACGCACCACACAATGACACATTGAAACATGACCACCATCTCTATCGAATAGAATTTGCCCCCCAAAATTAAAAAACCAAAAACCAAAAAGAATACCTCAAAACCACAGAACCCCCGGAAACCAAAAGCCCTTCAAGGACCTAGTTACTAACTCAGCTCACCACCTCCTAACCACGATATCAGCATCAAACCAAACCAAACCCAACCCCACCATGTCCTCTTCTTCCTCCGCCTCCCCGCCACCTATACCACAGAAGAGCGCGAGCTCTCGCTGATCTCGAAACTGTCGCTGCGCCTCGCCCTCGCCCAGACGCCGGCCCAGCTCCAACCGCTCCTGACGGCCTACCTGGCGCCGTTGCTGCTGAAGCTGGCCTCTGGGCACGCGAGCGTGCGCCAGAAGACGCGCGAGGCGTGTCTGGGCGTCGCGAGGGTGCTGCGCGGCGAGCCCGGCACCAGCGTGCAGCTGCCGGTGCAGCTGCCGCTGCCGAGGCTGTTGGGGCAGTTTAGGGAGTTCGCGTCGTCGTCGTCAGCGGGAGGAGGAGGGGAGGGCCAGGATCTGAGGGACGAGGTGAGGAGGTTTGGCTTGGTGTTTATTGGCGTCGGGTTGGCGAGGTGGCGGGCGCAGGGTGGTGGAGGGGAGGAGGGGGTGAGGGAGGAGAGGGAGTTGGTGGGGAGGCTGCTCGCTCTGCCTATGCCTCTGCCTCTGCCTCTTTCTCGGTCCTTGTCCTCGTCTACCTCCGATCGCGCTGGCGAGACTATGACGACTACGGGCAGCGGAGAGGCCTACGACGGCGACGTACAGGTCAGGATACGAGAAGAGCTCATGACGCTCGATACCCGCCTCTACATCCAAGGCTTCTATTTCCTCCTCAGACTCCTACCGATATGGGCTGCTTCCTTCCCCGAACGCGGCTCAAAAGAAGACCTCGAACTGAAAACCACCCTCAATCTATCCCCGCGCGAAACCAGTTTTCTAGCCAAATGGCTGTCGAAATTCCTCCTCGCGGACGCCCAGGCCTTTGCCGCCCCCAAGAAACCCACTAATCAAGACTCGAACACCGATGCGGAGACCGAGATCCTCCCCGCCCTACCCGGCCTCACCGCCGCAGAACGCTCCATCTTCGCGGCCTGGGCGGCCACAAAGCGAGAATCGACCAAGTCCGCCGCAGAGTTTGAAGCCTTGATCACCCAGACAAAGATCGCCGTCGCAAAGTTTCTGTTCACGGCCGTCTTTACCGACGAAGAACGCTTCTTACCTGCCGTGATCATGGGCGCGGATGATACGAATCTGGGACTGTTTCGGGTTGCGGACACGATGTTCAAGCAGTGTGATTTCGATCTAAAGTCGGAGAGGGCGGTGGAGGAGCTTTTTGAGTCGTATTTTGGGATGGGTGGCGGGGCTGTTAACACGGATGGTGGTGTGTATGGGGAGAAGATGGAAATTGTTGCTGATGCTGACGAGCAGCAACGGCAAGTGGAAGTCAAGGAGACTCAGTGGTCGCTCCCAGCAAAACCGAAACTGCGGATCCGGATTCTGGGGTTATTAGCTAAGAGCAAGCGGGCCACGATGAATACCAGGGCGATTGTGAAGATGATTGATCAGCAGTTTGTCGACAAGGTCACTGATTTCGGTCTGGAAGCGACGAAGCTAAGGACTGCACTGTTCAATTTCTTGAATTGGGCTTCGAGGGTTGCTTCTGAGGCGGACGTTCTGGCTATTGCTCCACAGGCGCTCGAGGGATTCAGAGACTATATCATGCATCAGGGATGGCCCAATCCGGATGAGGTTACCGGAAAGCCGTTGTCACGACCTGAACTGGAAATGAGAGGCAAAGCATATGAGAGTATTGGGATCTGGGCTGCGAGGATGGATGTTGCTCCAGACTTGGATCCTCCTGGCATTGGACAAGAAGTCGCCAAGATGCAGCTCGTGAGGTTTTTGTTCACCAGTTTACGATGCGACGCATCTAGTCCGGACATCCAAGTCTCGATCGAATCTGCGCTGGGCCGTGTGCTCAACAGACTAGCGGCATCAATGGACGAGAGCATGACAAGCGAGCTGCGGACTCTATTGACCAACCAAATCAATACCGAGGTAGGAGACGTCAATAGCGAGGATGGATACAAAACAGTGAGGAGCACCAAATTTGCCGCTGTCCGGTTTGCCAATCGTTGTCTTCCATTCTCGGATTGCCAAGCGCGGTGGATGGATCTGCTGGCGATAGGTGCCGGCTCAGTTGGCCAAAGACAGGAGCTAGTTGAAGAGGGCACGAAAGGCCTTGACCCGTACTGGTGGTCTACGTTGAATGGCCTGCAAACAACGGCAAACGAATTGATTTTCCCAAGATTCGAGGAACTTGTGGAATACTTCTTTGGCGGTGCGAATGGCGAGAACATGCTCCGAGAGCCACGACAAGAGTATCGATTCGCGCTCCCACATGCTGTCGCGTTCTGCCGCAACGTCCTTCTTCGAGAGACTCTCCTGTCGGCAGGTCTGCCGGTTTCGGCTGAGTCGGACTGGGAGAAGAAGCTGGACGCACTTGTGGCAACGGATGACAATGTCAGATCGACAGTTCGGAATCATCTGAGAAAGGTCGTTTTGTCTCCTTTGACGACTCTGCTCGATGCTGCTCTAACTGGCATGTCACTAGATCTAGGGCGATGTCCCGAATTTGCTACTGAAATGGGTTCCTTGGTCCCCGATCATGTTATTAGAGGTATGCTCGACCGCGTGACGATTATCAAGCCAACAAGTGTTTCGAACAATCTTGCCATACAGCTTCCAGCTGCAAGACTTCTTGGGATATTCATGTCGCATGCTGATTATACAAAGCTGGACCGTGACCAGTTCATTCGAGGCGCTCTGACCAAGATTCATGGTTGGAGAGATGCTGTTGGTCAGGATGTTAATCGTATCAGGGGCCATCTGCTGTGTGTGACTTTTATTCTTAGCAGACAAGCTATGCGCCGCACGCTGCCAGCCGAAGAAGATAATATTTCAGAATTTGTGAAGCTTGTCCTTGAGCTGATAGTGGAAGCAAGAGATGTTGCTCTCCGAAATGCAGCTCACATATCTCTTGGCCAGTTGATGTTGTGTTTCGGCAGGACTACTCTCACCAAGCTAGATCTACAGCCAGAGAGCGTCATGGAACAGCTTTTGAAAGATTCTAAGAAGGAACAAGAAAGTGCTGTGGTTGCGCTGGGTCGATTCGTTCGAGGGATCAGTGGTGACCAGAAATTGAGCGGGACGACTCAGCAGGCACTGAAAAATCTGTACACGCTCCACGAAATCAAACGCCCCGAATTACAATTCGCGGTTGGAGAAGCCTTATCCGTCGCTGCAGCAGGTTGGCATTCAAAAGCGACAATTGCAGAATTCGACCTCGATGTTGCACGACCAGCACAAAGCGTGGACGAAGTTATGCTCGAGCAGATGCTGGATAAAATCATTGATGACTGCAAAAATACCAAGCCCTCACTGAAGAAAGCATCTGCCATCTGGCTGCTATGTCTGATTCAATACGTGGGCGATGAAAAATGTGTGAAGTCTCGCCTCCGCCAATGTCAAGCTGCCTTCGCAAGTTTGCTTTCTTCTAAAGACGAGATCGTTCAAGAAACAGGCTCTCGAGGGCTTGGCCTAGTGTACGAGATGGGAGAGAAGAATCTAAAGGACGATCTGGTTCGTGACCTGGTTGCTTCGTTTACAGGAAGCAATGCAAAGTTAGGAGGAACCGTGACCTCGGAAACTGAACTTTTCGACGCGGGCGCCCTACCAACAGGAGACGGATCAGTAACCACCTATAAGGACATTGTGAGCCTTGCTGGCGAAATGGGCGATCCCAGCCTAGTATACCGATTCATGAACTTGGCATCCAACAACGCAATCTGGACGAGCCGATCTGCCTTTGGCCGCTTCGGGTTGGGAAACGTCCTTGCAGATTCTGCATACTTGGCTGAGAACAAAAGCTTTTACCCCAAGCTTTATCGTTATCGTTTCGATCCGAATCCGAATGTGCAGAAGTCCATGAACGATATTTGGAATGCGCTGGTCAAGGATTCCAATGCGGTGATTGAGCAGAATTTTGGTCTGATTATAGAGGACCTCCTGAAGAGCGTTGTCACAGGAAAAGAGTGGAGAGTGAGACAAGCAAGTTGCGCAGCTATTGCAGATATCATTCAAGGGAGAGACGTTGACAAATATGAACAGTATCTCAGCGAGATATGGACAAAGGCTTTCATGGTGTTGGATGATATCAAGGAAACAGTGCGAGTCGCAGCAATGAATTTGTGCAGGACCCTGACCAACCTTCTGATACGCAATCTCGAGGTTGGCGAGGGAGCAACGAAGCGAGCGCAGAAAATGCTGGACAATGCAATGCCATTCTTACTGCAGCAACTTGAGTCTGGAGCCGCAAAAGAAGTTCAAGAATATGCAATCAAAACTCTTCTGAAGGTGATTAAGAAGAGCCCTCCAAAGGCATTGCAACCATACGCACCTATTATACTGGAGAGTCTGATAAAATCGTTGACTTCTCTCGAGCCAGAGGCTATCAACTATGTTCACATGAACGTGGAAAAGTATGGCCTTACCACAGAGAAACTGGACAGCTTGCGGGTATCAGGAGTGAGCTCGTCGCCTGCCATCCAGGCTATTGAGCGGTGCCTCGAGAGCCTCGACGAGCAGGGCATGCCAGAAGCCATGAGAAGACTCGAGGCTTCCTTCAAGACTGTGATCGGTTTGCCATCCAAAGTCGGCCTCAGCAGCGTCTTGGTCACCTTAACAGTACAACATAATATGAAGTTTCGTCCATATGCAGATCGATTTGCACAGCAACTACGCAAACATCTCTTCGATCGCAACGAGACAATTACCAACTCGTACTGCCTGGCCTTAGCGTACGTGTTGAGGATTGCGACAGATAAGGAAGTGGAAGAGACATCTCGCTTCGCCAAGAATCTGTACTTTGCCTCCGATGAGACCGGACATCGTCATGTCGCAGGAGAGATCGTGCATGCAGTATCCAAAGTCTCGAACGACAGGTTCATGACATTTGCTTCAGCATTCCTCCCATTTGCATTTATTGGTCGCCACGACATCGACGTGCAGGCTAGAGAGCCATTCCGGAAGGCTTGGGAAGAAAATGTCGGAGGCCCTAGAGCAGTCTCCTTGTATCTCATGGATATTATTGATCTTGCCCAACACATCGACTCGCCCAAATGGGGCATCAAGCACACTATATCATCTGCAATAGCTAATTTGATTGTCGCTCTCGATTCTGCAGTTGATGGAAATTATACCTCGCAGCAGGCAGCGGCTATATGGCCTCTCCTGGAGAAGGCCCTGGGCGGAAAGACGTGGGATGGCAAAGAAGCTGTAGTGGACGCATTTCCGATATTTTTCAAGAAAGCTCAGACCCTATGGGAAAGCAAGGGTGACCAGGTTGAGAAAGTTGCTTTACGCGAGGCAAAACGCACCAACCCTGCATATCGATCACACGGCATCACTGCACTAGGAGAGATTGCACATATTCGCGGGAGCCTAGAATTGGCCGAAAAAGTGCTAACAGCAATGGAAGACATTGTGAGAGAATCGTTAGAATCTTCAAAAGACAGAATGGAGATAGATGCGGGTGAAGCTTCGCTAGACTCCGAAGCGAAGAGCGATGCAAGGTATGTTCGTGCTAGAGTCTCATTGTGATGGTTTTGATTGCATATACTAACTAGTGGCAAACCTCACAGTCTTGATAAGATATTGTCCGCCGTGATAGCATGTTGCTTCAAAGCAGTACCAGTCCCGAAGGGTGAGGGAGCCCAGAGTGACACTTGGAGAATGTTGATCACCATTCTGGAACAATCACTGCCAATAGGCTCCAGATTGAGCTACATGGCAACATATGAGGGAATAAAAACATTTTTCGCCAAGTTCACGGAGTCATCTCTACGTCAAGAGAATAATATGGTGGTAAGTCGAGCAATGACCATCTCTGCGGATGCCAGAGGGGTGAAGATTATCAAAGACTTAGCGACGCTTTTGCTCCCGGTTTCTCCCCCTGACGGCCAGCGGCGCCTTCCGCCATATCTGCCGGAAAATAGTAATACCGAGGCTGTCCGAATGGCACGTGCTCAAGCGCTCCTGGCTTATGCATCCTGCCCCTTCCCGGATGTGCAGGAGAACGAGAAAGCCTCGATGGCGGTGACGGCGTGGCTTGACAACGAGCGGTCTGGCCCAGTTCGTAATGTGCTACACGAGGCACATGCATCTCTGACAAAGCAAAGGGAGAACAGGCCTTCACCTGGCGGCAGTTGATGCTGACTCCCCAGACCCTGCATCAGTGCATTCCTATCACAATGGTTACAAATACTGGGGCTTGGCGCTATAGTTGTCTCTGTTATGTGCCAGGGGGACGCCGTCTTCATAGGGCTGCAGATTCATGGCGTCTCGTTTGTTGGGCATTCAGCGTGGCAATCAACGCGTCAAGGTCTGCCTGCAGGCATGATATACTACGTAGAGCGGTGCTGGTATCGGAGGGCAGACCTCCCTTCAACTGCCGGAAACAAGCGCACTGGTGCAATTGAAAGGATGTCAAGTGAACATGGTCACTGATTGGCTGTTCAATGCTCTACTCCTGGCTGATTGGTCAGCTTGTTGCAGATGTCAGAACAACGCCGGCCAGCCTACCAACTTACTACTACGTACCATGGTAAGAACGGTCAAGGATGACGCAATTTGCTAAACTACAATAGTAAGCTGTCACATCTGCCGCGTCTAACTAGTTATTTGTCTTTACTGCATGAAGGATTGCAACCCGATCAGGAGCGAGACCAGTGGCGGTACTAGGTCTGCCCGCTCCGAAAACTGGGGGTGGTCAGATCGAGATGCTACCACGGCAGTACCAGGCTGTCCATCCATCAAGCACGGAAGGTGGCAAGTACTACGCAGTAGAGCAGGCGTGTCTGTGGGATTCCATGGCTAATAAGTACTACGTAGTACTACGTAGTACTACGTACATCTGATGGTCAGTTGATGCCTGCCAGACGCCATCTTTCGACAGTACGAGAAAGTCTCGCCCAAACTCTCGGAATGTTACCCCAATATCGATCTTGTCCCTTCACGCCTTCGGGCCGAAATTTTCCAGTCCTGGCAGCGTCCAGACCGGGCGATTGAAGCAACAACGGAAAATCTAGAATCACCGACAACTGTTTGCTGAGACTCGTGCGCACCTTTCATTGGCGACTTGTATAATGGTCGCTCAGATCGTGGGCGCCTGTCCTGCACAAGTGCCACAAATCGAACCCCGGCAGACACACGCTACTGCTTCCTAATTTGCGCCTTCTGTCCCATAGCCATGGACCAGGGAAGACGACCTGAGACCGCTCCGACATAGCTCCGGATATGGCACCAAACTCTGATGCGCCCTTTTTGCTTCTTTTGGCAGCGAGCTTCACCCTTCGCTGCCCGAAAGACATTCTTCAGACACACCCTGGCAGTATGAAGTGACCAATTTTGCAGCCTACAGATCACAGTACCCTAGCTTTCAGATGGTGTGGTAGGCAGCCAGTACAACTCACCTATCACGATCTTAACCTAGTATCACCGATGGACGCCTCCACTAGTCCGTATGTCTCGAGATCATAATGGCGTCCAACCTTCGCCCCATGTCCTTGGACCCAGCTCAATGGAACGCACGTTTACTCTCTCAGCTAGTGTAGACCTATTTCCACATGGTCATCTCATTTACGAGCATGTTAGCGTTTGACTCTGAAGATTTGGAAGACTGGTTATCTCAGATGTTGTTTCCCAACCACGATATTTTTGGACGTGAGGATCATCGATCTTTTTTTCCTTCATTTGCCGGTACTGTGGCTCAGTCGCAGCTCTATTTCATAACCCGGCTGCACGCGGAAACTCAGCTCCTGCAATCTACTTGCCCAGATACCCCAATGCGACTACTACCCTGTGCTTGAGTCTCCTGCACGTCGTATCTCCGTCCTATCCTCCCCATGACGATCACCACTCTGGTGATGCAGGGGGTTCAAAAAGGAGAGCCGTCAAAGAAGCCCACAGTACGCCTGCCAGCGATTGCTCCCAAAGATGATCCCTCTGCTCCAGCTAGCTCCAGTCGAAGCCTGATACTGGGAACCACCAATGTCACTGTCCCCCCACGAGCGCGGCTACCCCCACGATCAAGGACCGGGTGCTGGTGCGTACTTTTTTATCTCAAACCTTCACAGAGTCTAACTGACCTGTTTGTAGGACGTGCAGGGTATGTTGTCTTCTTCGACTCTCGTCATCCGCGTTGATTGTTGCTGACCTCGACAGACAAGAAAAGGTTTTTGCCAGTGTATATTCTTTCCCAGTGAGACCGACCTGACGAGACACAGTGAAATGTGATGAGGGTCGCCCGATCTGTGGCGTAAGGTCTGTCTCCAGCACATTCTGAGTACATGCTAAACTCGATAACAGCAATGCACGCGCCTTGGCCACACGTGTGATTACAGCCCGCGGCTCTCTTTTCGTGACGATACGCCCCGAGTTGTCGAACGGATGCAAGATGTATCTACCTTGGGCAGCTCTGTATGGGATCGTACGAACCACCGTTCCTCTTGATGTGATGGCGGAAAGGCTGAAAGTCCCCCAGCTACCTCGCCGACCGCCACCGAAGCTCCTAGCAGCGTATCTGGACCGGACGATTTGCCTGCATTTGCGACGCTGAGAACGGACGAGGAGCGAGAGAAAAAGGCTGAGTGTACGAGTCCTGGAACGTACAACGTCATCGTCAACCCGGAAAGTTTTCAACATCTGCCAGAATACGGTGATGACGCCGAGGTGAAGATTCTTCGCTTGTCGCCGCTAAGGCGAGGCTCTTTAGCTGCTTCGATGGCAAGCAGCCAGGGGAGGGAGCCTGGTGTTGATAATTCACATCAAGTGGATGGTGTTTATCAGGACAGTGAGGATCCCAATGTGGTCATCTTACCACGTTTTGAAGATGCGACCAGGAGGGCTACGTTGCAATGGAAGGATTTCCACTCGCCAACTCCTCCTCGACTTACCACGCATTCGTCAGGAGCCAGCATTCCGATTCTTGACAGTCTCGCGGACACGGAACCAACACAATCATTGATGCAGCGTGCCGCTGAAGGTGGACAAGACGCCCATCTTTTACAACATTTCAGAAATCACATCTGGCAGCAACTAGCCCAGGTCGAGCATGAAAGTATGGCTCAGGCATCCATTCGAGGGTCGGGAATTGAAGTGCTGGAGCATGCGGCACGCCTCTTTCCACCTGTAAGAATCAATCACCTCGATCAGGTCCCACCATGGATCCATCCTTTCTGGTGACTTGTGATCGACTGAAGGTCAAAGCACTGACGATTTACTGATTAGCTTTTTCACGCAATGATGGCTGTTGCAGCCTTGGGTCTGGCCCATCAGGAAGGCAGTGAACGATTGGATGCTTTGCAGCATTACCAAAAGGCTCTGCCAGCTCTACAGAGCAACCTTCGCAGTGCCGATGACCTCTCCTCTGACGGTGCATTTCTTACCCATTTCCTGTTGCTCGTTTACGAAGTGAGTACATTCACCCTGGAGCCTCTTCCTCTATATGCCCAGCCTGACAGAAGAAGCTGTGGACCAACTATGTCTCAGTGATTCGATATGGAACATTTATTTTCGTCTGCAAATTGCATAGGTTGCTGATTGCTCTCGATAGATCGCAGCCGCCGAGATTGGTGGATCGAATTTATGGTCATCCCATCTTGCCCAGCTCCTCCGAATATCGTTGCTCAGGCGGGAGGTTTTTGGTGGCGAACAGTTTCCATTCATTACCTGGTGGATTTGCAACATTGACCTGTACGCTTTGTTCAGCGGTGCTGGCACGGGAGAATTTGTGGGCACAATGCTGAAGAACGACATGATGCCACCGCCCAGCTTTCACCTCTATCCGTTGAGTCCTGATGGATCGAGCATCATCTATGCCGGGGAGACAGAGTCCCTACCCACCATTTTACAATTAAACTATGAGGTCACAGTGCTTGCGGTTCGACTTGGTCTTCTCGCTCAGGAGCTTCGGAGAGACGCGACTGCTCTGGCATTTGATAGTCAAGAGATGGGATCACATCACCGGCATGTGAGCACCAAACTCCGACAACAGAGGGTCTATGAGCTACAAGAGGCCCTTCGCCAGCTCTGGCTTTCGCCCAGCACTCTGATGCTTGGACAACAGCCCGAAATGCTTCCACCCCGGTCGCGGCAGTCTTTCGAACATGCAAGCGCCCTTTACCGGGCATGTCTGATATATTCTCACACCAGCATGTGGCCGTCGCAACGACTTGACAGTGGACCTGAGTGCGATCACGAGATTGCGGAAAGTGTTTCGGAAATATTACGGATTGGCAACCGCGTGGTCAGCAGCGAGCAATACCACCGTCGATTCATCATCTTTCCGTTGTTCATGGCCGGATTCGCATCGATCGATGGCAACGAGAAGATGCTGGCGCTTGAGCTGATTTCGAGCATGGAGAAGAGAAGCATCGGCAGCAACACCACCGCAACGCGGCATGCTCTCCAGATCGTTTACGAGCAACAGACACAGCGATTCATGCTCACGGGGCAATCGTCCGATGTGAACTGGAGTGATATCATGCTTGAGCAAGGTCTTCAGGTCGTCAACTTTGGGCTATGAAGCTTGCACTGCTGTATATAGAGTCTCTTGAACAATGTGCTCATGGTCCTTCCATGCCGATTGGGCTTCTTTTGGGCACGCTGCACTATCTGTCTCGCCGTACTTTGCATCTATGATACCCATTGCACGCTCTAATTTTGGTTGGAAGCAAGCGGAGGGTGGTAAGCCATCTATTCTGTGTATTTTATCTGCTCTTCTGAAGGCGCAGCTTTACAAGTATTCAATCGAACAAACTTGGGAGCTCCCTGGTCCTGAACTTGAAGTGTCAGCAATTCCATCAGTGTCAGCTCGGCTTTCCCATTCCATCATGTACATGTTCTGATTTGTACAGCATATCTGGGTTGATGGCCACCAGCTGGACCTGACATGCAGCACAATATACGCCTGATGACTGCCTGTTGCTGGCGTAGCATTGGCGAGGATGGTGTTAGGAGACTGGCAAAAATGTAATTCTGCACAGCAGGTGTACATCAAACATGGACATGGACATTGAGCCGTGAATACCATTGTCCAGGCGCAGGTATCCCTTGTCAGTGGCCATCTCAGTGGCCATCTCACTCAAATGCACCAGGCAGCGAGCACAGCGAATAGTGAATAGCGAATAGCGAATCATCGTGGCCGCCAGCCTCTCGGCGCCGTCAGGCATGGCGGCTAGAAGAGCATCTACGTACTACTAGTTAGTCAGTGCGTGTGCCCCCCTCCGTCCCCCCCATCCTCATCCCCGGACATGCCCCCTCTTGGACTCCCAGCACTAAGCGCCGCAGCATCAACTTATCCTGCACCTCTTCCGCTTATGCTCCCCCGTTTGCCGCCGATCCGCACCCTGTCTTCGTATGTTGCTATCCTCTCCTCTCTCCCGGATGCAAAGACCCGACGATTGTGCGTTCCATCCACTAACTTGACCCATTCTCCAATGCTGCTGGGCGCCTGTGTATGAAGCGCTGCATTGTCTTGTTCCGCCAAAAGCAGACACTTTGGCTTGGATATTGGCTTGGATACTACTCTCAGGGAACGCCTGCGGCAGCATTTGTGTGCGCAGATTAGCCTGCAAGCTGGTCGCGGCGCTGCCCTCGCCATCGATCCGCCGTCATGAGGTTTTTGACGAGACAGACAGATCGCAACTCACCGACGGTCGAACCACTGAGAATACATAAAAGAGAATCCACCAATTCGCCCACTCCATCCAGCAACAGCCAGCACACCGCTGGCACGTCTGGCTCTGGTCATTATCCGATCCCTTCCCTTCCCTATCCAGATGATCGCCAACGTCTTGCCCAGTCAAGACCGACCAATGCTTCTCAAGCCCCGTATCCATACCCTGATCTCCGAAGAGGCGCAACTCCTGAGCAGAAAAGAGTAGGGTCTCCGGAGCAGGGTCGGATAGGCTCGCCGTCGTACGCATCACCGACACAGGCTGGTTCGCCATCCGACTACCCCACCTCGTTGCGACCGCATGATGGGCGTGATGGAAGGTCTGGCGCCACTCTTGCAGAGCGACGCGGAAATGCGCCAAAGCCACTTCCTGAGTCTCCCGGGCCTGAGATACCCGACAAAGAAGGATTGTTCCAGAAAGCGCCGAGGAGACATTCTGCAGCCTCACCATCTGGCATCCCTGAACTGCCAGGTGCTGGGCCCAGACCAAGTGGGCCAGAAACAAACCCATTCCCCGACTATCATCAGCAGTATTGGCCACCACCTGGAGCACTGTCTGCCGAGACAGGTGGAGCAGCGGGCAGGCTGAATGTTCGAGATGCGGCATCGGTACAACGAATCAGTTCGACTGCGTCGACTTCGACTACTAAAGCTACACGAGGATCACCGCCGCCTCCTGAGACCCCTATCGTACCACCCAACCCCCGACCAGGGACAGATATCGAAGCAAGATATGCCGCTGCAGGCATTGCGGGTCCTTCTACCCTTACCAATCTACAAGCTCAGAATGCAGCTGCCATGCAGAGGACTGCCAATTACGCTGGTGTGCAACCAAATCCGCAATCCTCTGCTTCTCCTCCGCGACGTCCATGGACGCCGACCGAGCAACCGGGTAGTCAACCCCACGGCCCGCCAACCGTCTATCAAGGGCCAGGAGAAGCTCAACAACAGCCACCACTCCCAGACCCCACTCGAGGGCGACTAGTTGAAGGTCGGCATAGCCCACACCAGCCGGGAAGAATTCCTCCAAATCCCCTTGAGAATGATTTCCAGCGTTTGCACGTGAGCGAAGAACCACCTCCGGCATATTCACAAACGCCTGGTTCGCAAGCCGGCTATTCTCATGATAAGGAAAGACCAGCGGGAACAGCGGGGGCAGCGGGGGCAGTGGGAGCAGTGGGGGCAGCAGGGGCAGCAGGGGCAGCAGGAGGAGCAGGAGGAGCAATAGGAGGTTTAGCGGCTGCTATGGGAGTCAATCCGGTAGGGACTCCGTCAAGTGTATCGCAAGCTTCAAGCCAGGGCCATCCCGCTTATGCCAATGACACAGTTCACCAGCAAGCAATTCCACATCGACAGCCATCAGTCAATGGGGTCGTGCATCATCCTCAGCAAGCACCGGCTCCGGCCGTGCTAGCGGCGCCTGCTCCGAATCTCGCGGCTTCTCCTCCTCCTCTGCCAGAAGGCTGGATTGCTCATCTCGACCCTAATTCGGGGCAATACTATTACATTCACCTGCCCACCCAATCAACTCAATGGGAATTTCCCAAAGGTCCCACGCCGCTCAACCTCAACGAGACGCCGCTCTCTCCGGTGGCTTCTGCCTACAACCATCCGTTGGCGTCTCCTGGTCTCTCATTCGCGAACAAGCCGCTCGCCTCTCCTGGCCTCCCAATGACTCCAGGCTACGAGCACGTCAATCCGATGAGCCTGGGGGGTAGCATATCTGGCCAAGCCGGCTATACTGGACCTCCACCCAGTAGTGGAGTAGATCTCTACAAAGTGGTGCCAACCAACGGAGTCTATTTTGGGCCGTATTTGCGTTATGCCAATATGGATTTGGAACTCGAACTCTGGCTTGGCTCAATATTGCTGGTGACTGACGGACCACAACCTCCTACTATCCATATCCATCAAAGTCTTGATCTGTCGCCGAATCCCCGACAATTGCAGGCGACTCAGATTTCACAGCACCAGAGATGGATGTTCTACAAGTACGAGATAGATCTGAAGATGGAGGATGCACCAGCCAAATGGACCTACGCAATCACCTCCCATCTAGGCTGCACGCGGTATGAATTTCTTGTCGCTGGACGATACGAGACCAACTGGCGTTTTGTTGCCCACTCTGGGAATGACTTCGGCCTTAACGTGAGCACGAATGAACGAGCACGGCTTGGTGGTGTTGGCTATATGTGGAGGGACATCATGCAGAAACACGCCGAAACCGGTGGATTCCACTGCCAGTTGGGACTGGGCAGCCAGATATACGCAGATCGGTTGTGGAAAGAGATTCCCAGCCTCAAACAATGGCTCGCCACGAGTGGAAAGGAGAATAGGAAGAATGCCGTATGGACAGCGGCACATGAAGAGGATGTTTCTCATGCTTATTTCCACTACTACACCAGCCACTTTGATCAACCGCATCTGAGGGAGGCATTCGCCCAGATCCCGCACATACTCACCCTGGATGACCATGATATGTAAGAGGACCACGGATAGCTTGCGTGTCCCTGCTGATGTAGAACAGATTCGACGGCTTCGGCTCATACCCAGAGTACATGCAGTTCAGCAACATGTTCAAAAACATCGGCCGCATAGGTATCGAAATGTACCTGCTCTTTCAACACCACACCACTCTCGAGATCCTCCGCAATGTCTCCCACGACAATGACCTCTTCACCATTACGGGCACGGGATGGCATTTTGTCAAATTCCTGGGCCCCGCGCTGGTGGTGGTGGGACCTGACACAAGGAGTGAGAGAAACCCGCACCAAGTCATGGCCGGCCCAACATACCAAGGTCTATTTCCCAAGATCGCTATGTTACCGCCATCCGTGCAGCATTGTATCATGATGATCGCTGTGCCGATTGTGTATCCACGGATGGAGGCGGCGGAGAGTCTGACGACTACCATCCAAACCGGGAAGAAGGCCGTTACGGGAACATACAACCTGTTAGGTAAGGTTACGAGCTCGGTCGCCGGAGTGGTGGGTGCAAAGGGCGCCGTCGGATCAGGATTCGACTCGGTCAAGCGTGCGGTAGGCAAGTCGGGTCTTATGGGTGGTATTCTCAGTCCCTTCGGCGACATTGATGTCCTAGATGAGCTGAAAGACCAATGGACCCATGAATCCAAGGTACAAACAAACAAACCACCTTCCTCTCCTCTCCCACCCAATCCCTTTCTTTCATGCCCCTTAGCTCTAACAACACCCTCGTCAGGACCTCGAGCGTACCTATCTTATCCGCACCCTGCAAGGAATCTCCCACCAACGCTCCATCCGCATCACCTTCCTCTCCGGCTCCGTGTCGACCTGCGGCGCCGGCCTCCTCCACGACCCCTCGCACCCCTCATCGCACAAAACCATGTTCCAGCTGATCACCAGCCCCGTGGTCAACGCACCCCCCTCTTCGTACATCCTCAAACTGCTCCACAACAACAAACCGCTCTACATCCCGCAGAACGGCCACCGCTCCGAACACCACTCGTCGCACCACCACCACTCCTCCTCGGCCGGCGGCAAGGGCGCCGCCGCCGCCACCACCGACACCAAGGAAGACATGATGGAGATCTTCGGCCAGGACGTCGACGGCCGGCCGCGCGAGATGCGCCGCCTGATGAACCGCAGGAACTACGTCGCCGTGGTGGCGTATGACCCGGAGGTCGTGCAGGGCCAGTTCGGCCGCACCGATATGAGCGGCGCCAAGGCTGGCGGCAGGTTGAGTCTCGCCGTCGATTTCATGGTCCAGGCCGATGCGGCGGCCGGTGCGGGCGTCGGTGCGTATGCGGGCGTCGGCGGTGTCGTCAAGTTCGGGCCGGTCGTCGTGCCGAGTTTGGAGTTTGGTCGCTGAGTGTGAGAAGGCTGGGTGAGAGAGAGGGGGTCTTTACATGGTTGGTTGGTGGGAGGATAGGGTACTAATAGCACTGCGTAGGTAGGCTTATATATATTGTTGGCACGGTGTTGTCAGTGCTAGTTGCACTGGCAGCTAGTGGTTGATACCTATTGTCACGTTTGATTTTGAGGAGCTTTCTCTTGTTTCCTGTCCATATAGGACAGGTTAGAGTTGGCAATCCCCCTCGTCGTGCTTCTGAAGCTAGTACTAGTAGTTGGTCTCGATTATTTTTCTTTTACTTACTGGGAGTTGAGTTGCGTAAATATATATATACGCTGGCTCCTACGCCCGCAACTGAACCGATCAACACCCGGGCTAAGCGCAAGAAGAATTGTAGCAGGATTGATCACCGGATCCGTTCGTTGCGCTGCACCACCCCAACCCTGCGAAGAAAGATACAAGCAAAAGCTGCCGAGAATGAAAATGTGAGTACAGTGTCACAATCCTTGGCAAGAAGTCCCACTTGAATGGAGCTGATAGAGGGTGAAGCGGCGAGCGATACTTCCTGGTAGTTGTCTCTAAGAGCATCAGGGCTCTGCAAACCCTTGTAACCCTTGTAACCCTTGTATCCGTGTCGCTTTCAATAATCCTCCCCGTACGGACTCCAATCGCTGAGATCTGAGATGTATGTATGTCCATGTGCCCTGGAACGACATGGCAGAAACCCATTCGCTCACGCTCGTCCGAGAATTCAGACAACACGTCCATGTGTACAGTTATACCTGCGACACCAATAGCACTCACAGCTGACCCAGGCAGAGGTTTTATGCTCCTGAGACACCAGCCAAACAATGGTCGAGAGTCACAATAGTTTCAAGATCACAACGAGACAGTACGCTTTCTGAAGGAACCCGTTCTTGCATGAGGAACAGCCACATTCACTCTGAATTTTCACAAGACTATTCTCGTACGTTTGCAAGGCCTCGTCTGCAGATTTCTTGGGTCCCGGATCCATGTATGTCCTAAGATTCTGCAGGTCTGGGAACGTCTGGGTCATTGAGGCTACCGATGCGTTGCCATAATTGGACGAAAGTAATATGTGGAGCGGACCGCTTCATTATCGAATCCTTCCTTGTCGTGTACAACCACTTCGAATATTCTTGCTGCGCGGCCTAGAGCATAATCGGATGTTCTCTCCATGTTTATTGGATGTTGAAAATATGATTCAAAAGTGTATGAAAGCGCGGATTTCTAGGGTAACCGGCCAAAGACATAAGAGACGTTGACGTTGCGATCTCGCATGTCGAGTATTTCGCTGATGTCTCGTAGATAGTAGATCTTGCTGCGTGCCTCGATCTCTTGCGACTGGTCCCTGGTACTTAACGTAAACCTGAATTTGGTTGTCATCCTTGCAATTGGTATGCAGCTTTTGACCCGTAGTGCTCAAGAGGCCACTCGAAGATCGAAGAGCCATTCAGCAGCTGCAGCCAGCCAGCCAGCGTCCGATCCACCAACCATGGACATTGAAATGTTCTTGCCTGGGGAGACTTGTCCAATACCGATAAGTGCTTGAGCGATAGTATCAGTGCTTGAGCAAATTTGGCGCTGCTGAACTTCCAGGCGCTTATTTGTGTGAACAAGCCGATCAAGAGACGTGAAATGCTTCGCAAATTTTGGAAAACTGGTCGGCGCCAGTACGCCCGCACAGGCTCTAATCAACGACCTTCACTGAGACGCGGATGGTGTAAATGGTACAGCTCATGGTACACTGCACCAAACCCCAGATGATGTTTGCGGCCTGATCCTCGGGATAGCATTCGACGGTGGCAGCGCAGAGTGCAACGAGGACACGTCCATCGTTCATATCAGTAAGTAAGCTTTCTCACAACACTATCTACTGCAAACTGGAGATGGCTTGCTAAGCTGCTCCTGGCCGCTTACACTGATCGGAAAGAGCGTGCCAGGGCCTGGCCAACGAACAGTGTATACTAATCGTACAAGTAGGTCGATCGAAAAGTTCAGCATGGTTTTTGAAAAATCCAGGGTACGGTGTCTATTTGAATCAAATCGACTCAAATAAACCAAATCAAATGCTGTGGCAAGTAATCCAAACCTGTGCTTTCGTCAAATCAAGTCCAGACTTTGAAATTTGACAAATTAGTCAAATGGACGTCTTGGCAGAAAAGTCTCTTATTTTGAAATGTTCAGAGTTAATTTTGATGAAAAGATAAAGGTCTTGGCGGACTCTGTTTGTGAGATGAAAATCCTCTGAGCATCATCTAACAAACCTGACAAATGAGTCAAATCAAATCAAATCAAATCGAGCTCTGGGATTAGATCAGCAAATCTCATGGGGGTCATGATTGGTTTCTCTGATTTGCTAGATACACTGGAAAGATCGAACCCATGAGACCTGGCGCTGCTGGGCAAAGGAACCCGGCATGTTGGATGGCCGTTGTGTGAGACTGTTTGATGGCCTGCCAGGTGATAGATTCGACATGTTTGCACAACTGTGATGGCATCTGTACAGATTCAGGCGGTGGGTATGGAGTGCTTTGGTCTCAAAGTGTATAAGGGGCTTGAACGAGCTCCTCACACCATTTTCACGATTGAGTTGATCGATAAGGCTAGAATGCTACTGTCAGACCGTATGAGCGCCTGTTAGCTACCAGTAGTTTTCCTACGCGTAACCCCTGCATTTTGATTGGTGCAATCTTGCAGCTAATTTCGCTGTACAGTACGGCCACTCGTACATATATCTACGCAGGCTGCCCCTTGATAGATAATCCAGCTTGCTTTCTACGCACCCTCTGCAGAAGGTCACACAGCTACCCTGCCATCAGCACACAACTGCAGCCTCAGCTTGCCCCAACTTTGCTGCACGTTCCCCCTTGATGCATGCTTGTGAAGTGCTAGATATCCAATCATAGCGCTATATACAATCGCCAAAACTGACCTTGCCAGGCGCCCGTTCCGTTCCCAGACCTGAGCATTTGCTGATTTAACCTACATCTCCCTAGGTAATTCAGTTACAGTGGGGTGCAAAACTGGACCAACTGGTATCACTGCTAGTTTTTGTGCACACGTTTTTCAAGCAGAACCCAAGAACCTGAAACCGTATTACTGTTTCCGGCGAAGGCAGGATTCGTTTCTAATCCAGAGTCTCTTATTTGCGTTCGGCAAGGTATTTTGCCCTCTTTCCCCTTTCAAGGTCACCTTCGTGTTGTTTGATTATATTTTGGGTGGTGCTCTACTTGCTTGATTGATTTATTCATTCTCACAGTACACCCTTATGGCACCCCATAAATCTGCTCAAACGAAGGCTGCCTGCAGATGCCTGCGTGCATTAGCAAGCAGTTTACTTGCCAATCCGGTCCCTTTACCGCGTGGCCTCGCCCCAAGCGCACTGCCGCTGACACATCACCTACATTTTTGTGGCAGCACCTTTTTCTCCACTTACATACGGTAAGAGGGTATTACATGCAATTCAATAATTCAATACATCCATCTTCATGCATAATTGGCTCGCATTGAGGCCAGTGTTGCATAGCCGAACACCACCTTGATCATCAATACGAAAGGTTGCGCCGGGTACTTCGTAGAAAGATCTTCTCAGAAAGACCTCTGACCTCTCGTCGATCGAGATCTCGGATGCAGCGTCTGCCTTAGAATTCTTGTGGTGAATGATGGAGCGAGCTTTACGTATGTCGCTGACCAGGAGTCAAACATTTGTCTTGCGAAAGAACCATATGAAGACCTCATTGTTGTACAGATCTCCAACCCAGATCGGAATCGCTGCCCACCGATGTTTCCAGTCCACCGTAGCACGCAATCACAGTGAAATTTCCACCCTGTTTCGTCCTTCCAAGTATTCGACCTCCCTCCTAAATAGCACGTCTATCTATGACAGCCACCTAGGTTCCATCCGGCAGGTGACCTCCTCAGAGCTGTCGACCTCGAGAACAGCAACCTCTCGCTCCAACGCCTGACTCTAGCCTCTAATTCAATCCGCGCGCCCAACTGGACTGTAAACGCTGCCACCATCACCTATTGCATCAAGGGCACGCTCCTCGTTTCAATACTCGACACGAACAATGTCTTCGCCGCCTTCAATGTTGAACCCGGGCAAATGTTTAGTGTCGCCTCTGGCTCCATTTACTACATCGAGAACGTTGGTGCTGACCCAGCAGAACTGATCACCTGTTTCCGGCACCCGCAGCCGCAGGAATTCTCTTTCTGGGCCGCCATGGGTGCAATGACGCCGGCCGTCCTGGGCAACACCTTCTCCGAGTCCGCAAGCGCATTTTCCAAAATCCACTTCGACACCAAACCCCAATACATCATACAACGCGCCAAGGGCAGTGGTTCAGATATCTCCTCTACCGCTGGCCTTCCAGACCCCCATAAACTCGACATTGAGGCTCAAAACCCGCCTATCGATTTGCCTTATGGGAGCGCGAAACTTGCTCGCGCCCAGTTCTGGCCCGCGCTGCGTGAAGTCAATCTGTCCATGTACTCCTTGCGCGTAGCAGCTTCTGGCATGCGCGAAGCGCACTGGCATCCCGAGACGACTGAGATGGGGTACGTCGCCTCGGGCCAGGCAAGAATGTCCATCCTGTCGCCAGATGGCGACGTGGTCACGTACTACTTGCAGCAAGGGGATTGCTACGTCGTGCCTGTTGCATATCCGCACCAGATCGAGGATCTCGGGGAGGGAGGATTCAATTTTCTGGTGTTCTTCGATCAGGCCACCCCAGAGGACATTGGGTATCGTAAGACGGGGAGTGCGTTTTCGAGGGTTATGCCCGCGGTTTTGGGCGTTGAGCCGGGCGCGGAGCCAGCGTTTCCCTCCACGCCCATCGATCCGCTGATTGTGAAAAAGGTAAATCCGACAGATCCCGTGAAATGAGCACGTCTGCGCTGCTGGACCATCCATGCTGGCATTTGAAATTGTGAATTGTGATCCACATGATTTTACCTACCTCGCTTCTTGTATCGAAAGTACGCCCCCTAAAGTCGTACTGTAATTCTGTTGCTTATAGAGGGCGCTGTGAGACAGCTGGAGGTGTGCCCGACGATGCAATTGTGCTTTCGTTGCTAGCAAATGGGAAGTTTGAAGCATTTTTGAAGTAAGCCATTGATTGCTGAGAGTGAGAGGAAGATTTCATGAGCGTCGAATTGCACCTGGATGTTCAGTTGTTCCACAATTTTTTCTGAGTCCACCCTATGACAAAGGTTAACCGTACAATCATTCGTTTCAGTATCGTAGATTGAAGCAATGAGATAGTTTATTGGTAACAACGCTCTGCACAAGCGCAAAATGTTTGAAGAATGTAGAATTGAACTATCAACCTGCCAACCAGCAGCTCTATGGTGCCTGTTCTTCTGCTTCTCATGATGTATCTCCCAGAAGCGAAAGGCAGCCCAAAAGGGAAGCTTCTCACGACAGGTTCCCAAGGAGTGGAAGACAGCCCAGAACAGAAGCGTGATGACGGTGAGAGGTAGACTCCTTGCTGACAGAAATTTGCGACCTACAGACAGATGGAAAGGATTCCAGACGCTATGATGATTTCGAGCTTCGTATTAAAGGAATCGAGAATGACATATAGACATAATTGTTGAGGGTTGAAACATCTGCTGTGTCTCCTTAAATAAAGATCGCAAGACTAAATCATGCACTCAGAACATTAGCAAAGCTAATTCAAGATCAGCTCCACAGCTTTGTCGTTTACCAGAACACCCAAGCGAACAACTATTCAAGGGCATGGTCACAATGACTGAAGACATGAATGGCATCGTCCGCCAAGCGAAGATCGAAACCGTTTCAATTAAGGTCATCACACTCGTGACTTTGTTCTTCTTGTCGTCATTGGAGCTATCCGCCAAGCCTTTCGGGAAAACTTCATGTTCCGAGATCGATCTGTAATATCGTGTCAAACGCAATTTCTACGCGTAACCCCTGCGCTTTGCCTGCTTTTGGATTGGTCAATTTCTACTGCAATCTCGCAGCCAACTTCAATTTGTACAGTACCTATGCCCTTTATTTTAGATTCTTGATTTCGTTTTCAACTTAAACGTAGGTCGGTTTCAGTGGACTCTGTGGCTCATCGGCGTCCTCATCAGGGGGCTACGGCTGAGAAACGTCAGTGTCTGGCTTTGTGTATGTCCGAGGAACGGGCAGTTGATGCTTCGTGGCCGGTTAGAGGGACTGATTTTCGGTCATTTAGGTCTGGAACATCGAGAATATCGATTTGTCAGCTCTTTGAGTATGGGTATGCGGTTTTGGTGAACACTGATCCGTATCTGCCACAGGAAGATATCACACATGAACAGACACCGAGAAAGTCCTTCGTGTCATGTTTTGGAACCTGTCCTCGAGGAGACTAATGTACATCACCATTTCTCGGCTGACCAGTCACAGAAGATGAGGTGCGTCGCCAACGATGCCATGAAGAAGTCCGACGCTTCATAAGGACCCCGATTGCTGGTCGCTAATTCTGTACGTCGTTTCATAAGTTCATCACCTTTGACAATGATCCAACATGTCTCCAAGTCCTTCATGTTAAAAGGGTGATGAACAGCACAGTGGCGTGTTGATTATCAATTTTGGTTAATCGTCATTTCATCTCTCTGATTTCATGTCCGCCAAGCTCAAGTAGTTGGTTGAAATTTGCTGTAAGCTTATTATTCCTTCCCGCTGGAAACAGTATTTTGATTGGATAGAATTTCTCACAATTGCCTTCTCAAGATTGGTTGAAAATAAGCTATGTTTCAGAGTGCTAGTACGGTAGTAGGAGGCATTGGTATTGTCAGCATGGACTAGGTGTAGCTAATTTCTGGTACAAGGGCCGGGCTTCCTCTAGAGCAACAGAAGTCTTGACCCTTCAGTAAGGATGAAAACTGAATTAATTCTCTTTGCATAAGGTGGACATCCGCCAAGACTGCGTCAGATACAACATTCCTGGCTTGGAGCTACTTAGTAACGATAGTTATGCCTCCTACCGTATTATCATGCTCTCCTCTACGGATTCAATTATAGTTTGAAATAGACTTGAGCGTAATCAGAGTATTCTTGGAGCATAATCAGATTATATTTGAGTGGCGTTCAAGTGGCATTTGAGTGTGACGGAATAGTTCGTTATACTGGAGTAGGCCTGATTATATTGAATGCTTGATGACACTAAAGTGCCATTCAAGTGTTAAGTAGTAAGCTGTCGAACTGTATGAGAGCTGATTGGTTGGAATTTCTATGCGAAGCCCCTGCGTTTCGCCTGCGTTTGATTAGTCCATTTCTCCTGCAATTTCGCTCTGCCGTACAGTCGATCTGTACGTATATCTACGCATGCTCCCTCCCTCTAGCTAGATAGAACAACTTGCTTTCTACGTATCTCCTGCAGATTGTCACACACAAGGCTACAGAATTGTGTCAAGCGTACTAGTAGAAGTACTCATTCAGCAACACAAGGTAGTATATTCCTAAAATCAGGCGCTTCTTCTCATCTTAAGATGCTATCTTTGTGAACAAGTTGTCTATAATCTTAAAAGGACACTTCCCAAGTCTATATCGATTGGGCAAGGGAGCAAGGGGGTAAGCAGACCGAAGATGAAAAATGAGATATAACACTGAGCTCGCTAGGAAGCTGCCTGAGCCGTAGAGGTGCATCCTGATCGAGGCTGAGCCGAAGTTGAGCTGGACTCTGATTTGGCCCATATAGAGCGGCATGAGGGCCAACCAGAAGGGGTACTCCAGGTCGGTCAGTTTTGATTGAGTTATCGCACAAATAGATTGTGGCTCCTGATTAGCAGTCAGGTGGCAATGCGAACGCCTTCATCGATCTTTGTTTATTTACTCGGTCAACAAGCTCTGCAAGCCGCGCTCATCTGACCATTGAATTGATTCCTCTGTTACGAAGATTGCAAGATGCTAGCGTCTGGAACGTCGTAGATGGCGAGATTTGGTGTTGGCATGAGGCTGAAGGAAAACCTGGCCACCGTTGTCGACAAGCGCGATAGAGCTCGGTTCGAAGGGGTTTCGAAATGAGCCTATCCGCTGTAGAACTGATTTCGGGACTGATGCTAATTCTCAGAGTGATAGCGAGTCCGCCAAGCCTGGTTCTCATACATACTTCAAATTGCCCATTGCAAGAGTGTCGCAGTTCCTTGGCACGTGCCTCGGAGCTGCAGTGCTGCTGCTCCTCTGTGTACTCAAACAGCCATGGAGAGCCATGTAAGGATCTAACCTCTGTGATACTGAGATTTGTGTGTAACTAGGTTTCTTCTGATTCTTCGATGTTAATTTTATACTAAGAGAATTTTTGGGGATTGTGTATCCTTTTCTACCCATAAGATTTCAACTACTCGATCCTTTAAATTTAGACTTCAAAAACAGAAAAGTAGGCTCAATTGTAAGTAACGGTCCTATAGCTACCACTGAATGATATAGATCTTCTGTCACTTTGCCTGATATACATACACTCAGTATGAATGACTCCAGCTGCTAGCAGCAGCTCCGAAGCATATGCCAAGGAACTACCACACTTTTACAATGGGCAATACCGTCCCTTCAGCCATCACAACTTACAGTCTCAGGTTGCAATGCTGGCTCCTGTAAATATTCTCGCAACGCTTGCACTGCACGAGCCTGCTTGGACGTCGATATCCCCTCCGGTGCTTGGTCCAAGTTTTCCAGCTTCATGGTACGTGCGACCAAATTGTTCGCCAAGGGAGGATATGAAGGTTGTCTGAACATAATAGCTTCAATGTCCGGTGGCTAATCTTCGACTGGAATGCGTGTCTCGCTATCTTCTGTCGATGGGCCACGATTGGTGGTATCTGAGTCAAAATTGACCGAAGAGATTGCATACTCACCGCCAGTCGTCCCTGCCGAGTCCAGAAACCAATACTTGACGACCTGTCTCTGCAACACATCGCTCTGCCACATATCGCGCCTTTCGTAGCTGGAGACAGTCGAGTCCATGGTTATCTCCGCCAAAATGATATTGTGTAACTCTGCCAGGTGCGGGGTTGAGTACATCTGTTTCAACAGCCGTTCGTTCGTACGTGTGAGACGCTCCTTTGCTTTACTGGTGGATCCCATTTCACTTGGGAGTTGCAGCTCGACGCTATCATTTTCAGACCCTTGCTCAATTAACAACCGCCAACCATAAACATCTACATCTCCATACCCGAAAAACTCAATTGCTTGCTCTAGACTCTCCTCCAGGGTTTCATCAAGAGCACGAAAACGCAAAGCTAATTACTGCCTTGCGCGATCTAATGCAAGGTCTGACTATGTTCTGTCGAGGATGATTTGCGGAGTCAGACGCGAGTTCTTCACGAACTCTAGCATTCTTGCTCTTGATTTCAAAATGCATCATAAGAAGATTGATGAAATATATGAATTGAGTGGATGGCAGATACTCTTTGTTTGAAATTTGTGTTGATTTTGGGGTATGTTTTGTAAAATTGAAGCGCAGCATAACCCAACTTTAAATAAAAGTGACCTAGTAGCTTAGACCGAAGCTACGCGCCAAAAATAAAGATAGTTCCGTACACACCACAATTTGCTATTGCTATTCAGAAGGGTGTAGGCAACCCATTTCGCTCGTTTACGGCAGCTACTCTTTTAGGCATTGAATTAATTGCCTTATTGATCTCCTCCAGCGTGATTTTATCCCATTCCTCCTCAATAGCCCTGCGTAATTCTGTCGGATCGAGAATTAGCCCCTATTCTTCAGCCTCTGTTTGATTATCCTCTATATCGACTCAACAGGGTTGAGATCTGGCGATTCTGGAGGATTTGATTCGTATTGGATTCCTAATCATCGTTTTGCTTGTTTGCACTTGTTATCTGCGTTACCACGCGTGCCATGGCTATTATCATTATCCTCCAAAAGTATCCAATCTGACTCCCAATTAGGAGCAACAACACCCTCCAAAATCTCCACATAATCAGCTTATGTAAGCCGTCCTGAGCCCCCTACGCCAGTGTAGAAGTGTAGCTCACTCTTGAAATTATAGCCAATGTACGCAAACACGTGCCAAATCTGATTGCGCCGTTTCAATCGAAATTGAATCTTTTGAGGCAGATTTCGAGCCTTTTGGCCACAACGACGATGAATTCGAGCCCGTCGTTGTAGGCCATAGGCAAAGTGACATTCGTCACTAAAACGGTAGTTGTAAAAGTCTTTTTCTATCTAACGTCGGCGCTCAAATCCCCAAATTACACGCTTTTCAATTGAGGATTTTGCAATGTATTTTTTCTGTTATGCGACAAACGTCCCAACACCATATTCAGCCATATTTCGTTGAATTGCACGTTCAGATCCGTGAGCTAGACCAAGAGCGCTTGCATTGGCCAAATGAGAGGCAGTTCCAAAGCGAAATGAAGCATTTTCGACTATCTCAATAGCCTCTCGTTCATGAGGCGCCAAAACTGCTTTTCGGCCACGGTTATGGATTCGTTCGCTTCGACGCGCTGTTTTCGACTTAAGGATTCGATAGCCTGCTGCTTGCCCTATGCCATGTAGCTTAAATAGCTCTTTTCGAGTTATTTTGCCTGCAGTAGATTCTGCGTCAGCAAGAAGCCGTACACGACGCGGAGTATCAATGATTGTTCTTGGCCTGCGTGACGGCTTTGGGCTCAAATTAATCGCAGGATCAGGGTTTTGGCAGTTTCTTCGGCTTGTTACGCGTATCCGAGCCATTTTGCAAGTAATTTGAGCTTGAATTGGTAGAGAAATAGAGCGTTGAAGATAGAGGGTATAACCAGGGGTGTACGGAACTATCTTTATTTTTGGCGCGTAGCTTCGGACCCTCCTGCAGAGGGAAGCCCCAAGGGGGGCTTAGTGTGGCCCTAGTCACGTGCCAAAGCAATGGTCTAGGAGTCCAAGGCAAGCCGGACGGTGGGATGGTAATTAGATGCTAAGTGCGACCTATTTCACAGGTAGAATGGCATTCCTCATACAGAGGTGTAGGAGATGGCTCTTTTGTTGGCTGAGGATAGGGCAGGAAGGGCGCGTCTTTCACTGGCTAGCCCATGCAATACTAAATAGCTTCCCAGTTTTAAGGAGAGCTAGATTATAACTTTGCCTTCTGTTTCTCAAACTCCACCTTATTAAAACATGTCCCCACACCCTCTAATGCAACCTCAACCTCATCTCCGTCCTTCAACCAGACCTTCGGGTTCCTTGCCATCCCCACGCCTTGGGGCGTCCCTGTAAAGATCAAATCTCCCGGTCTCAGTGTCGTGCCCCTACTCAAAAAGCTAATCGTCTTCGCCACACCGAAGATCATATCGCTTGTCCGACTCTGTTGCATCTCCTTTCCATTCAGCCTCGTAGTGAGATTTAAATCCTGAGGATTGGGAATCAGCTCCGTAGACACAATCCCAGGTCCAAAAGGTGCCCAGCCATCGAATCCTTTGCCCAGAGCCCACTGCCCACCACCACGCGCGATCTGCCATTCACGGTGTGAGATGTCGTTCCCGACGGCGTAGCCGAGTACATAAGATAGTGCACCTGCTTCGGGGACATCGCGGGCTTCTCTGCCAATGACAGCTACTAATTCACATTCATAGTCCACCCCTTCGGCTTCTTGCGCCATTAGTGGGATAGGAATTGGGTCCGTAGGTCCGGAAGCGGAGGTGGCGGGTTTGTAGAAGAGGACTGGGTATTTGGGGAGTGGCATTTTGGATTCGGCGGCGTGTTTGGCGTAATTGAGGCCTAAACAGCGGATTGTGCCAATTTGGGTGGGAGACAGGGGACAGAGGAGGAGTCGGATGGAGGCAGTGCGGTTGGTGAGTGAGTGCGTGCCGAATATATCGCCGGTAATGATTCGGGCGGTAGTGGCAGCGCGGATATCGGTTGTGTGAGCGGGGAGAATGGCGTCGCCATAGTAAATATGGCCATCACGGGCAAGGAAGCGGATGAGGCGCTGTGACGGGTGGGGAAAATAAATTAGCCCAAGGAGTACGTTTGGAGCTTAAGGCAAATGAGGATGATCGATGTCAGAAGCGCAAGGAGTTAGCTAGAAGTTTCTTTTTGTCCGGAAAGGTTCGAGCTAGCAGCAAGACCTCGTCAAAGAGAGAGAGAGATAGGGCTCTATTTGGAACAGAGGAACCCCCTCTAGCAGAGTGCATATGATTATAATTGCTAGCGCTTTTTTATGTATAGGTCCGTTGATGCGTCGTGCCCAAGGCAACTTGTGAACAGCGTAGTATGCATAGGTGAAAACTGGACAGTTGGGGAAAGGTACCGCATAGTAACTGCTGTAGTGAATTATAGGATGTCGGTGAAAGCTATTCAAAGTAGACGGTATTATGTCTTTGCTCCCCTAGCAATACACTGATTACGGTGCAGGAGATGGGGTACTCACCGAGAAAGACGCCATCTCGACAGATGGCAAAGCAATGGACAGCCGAGTGTGTTCATAAATGGCAGCACCGGAAGCATGACTCTACCAATTGAAATATGTCTGGTCCGCCAAGACGTTGGGAATTGGTGACAGCCTCGGCTTTCTTCCCGCGTTTGGCAGTGCCTGTCCACAACTTCGGACGAAAGTTTATCCATATCCAGATCATTCCTACCAATAAAACAGCAACGTTCTTCCCTTGAGTTGCCATATCTGTGTGATTGTGCGTATGAGATGAGACTCTCCGGATTGCAGCGTCAGGTTCTTAGTCTATACCGACAATGTCTCCGCGAGGCAAAGAAGAAGCCTCCAGTATGTCCTCCTTAATCCAGCACGTAATGGTGACTCTTCCACTGACTGATTCGTCAGTTGGTACAGGAAAACTTCAGAGATTTTGCCAGGTATGGCAACCCAGTAATCACACGTGAAGGTCCGGAGTTGATCCAGACCCAGAAGAGAATTCCGGGATCATCAAAACGTTGACAAAAAAAACTTTGCCGCTGTCGAGCGCCTTCTGAGGACGGGGACCAGAAAGCTCGAGCTTTACTCCTCGCCTGGGATCAAGAATATTTCACCTTGACAAAACCCAATGACAAAGTCGACGCTTTCCGCTCACCGATGCGCCTGTTTTGCAACATTTTCTAACCAATATCCGCTAAGATCCGTCTATGGAAGTTGGCAACATATTCATCGCTGGAACAACCCCCTCATGTCACAGCGGACAGCATTCAAGCAACCAGTAACTTCGACAGAAGAAGCCAATTCTACCCACAGCTCTACGTTCAGCCTTAGCTACCAGTAGGTTGGTGGCATGAAGCATAACAACAGGACAAATGCCAGATGCCGGGGCCAGCGTCACGATGCTTCTTAGACCCATAGTCCAAGCAGATGGCGAATCTCGGACGGAACGACAAGAATCAGTAATCGCCCAGAAGAGGATCTTCCTTCAGGCTAGCAATATATGATGTTTGATCATCCCCATCTTCTCCCGAAACTTGTCTGGTCGGTTAACCAATTTTAGCACCTCCTCGAGTCGTTCCGTCATGTCTCGAAGTCTGGCCAGCTCTCTAAGCTGTTCTTGCCTTTGCCGCTGCTTCTTGGTCGCATCGGTCCTCAACGTCTGCTTGTCATTCCCCTCTGGCAAGTCAAGATAGCAAGCTGCCGTGTGCAGCATTTTCAAGCCATCGACGGAGGGATGTATATTGTCCCTCAGGAGGTTCATTTGATTCTTGTACGTGGCGATTAATTTTCTGATCCTGGCGACGTTTCCGGGATACGGGTGAATGATTAACGACGGTTTTAATTCCCTAGTAGACCGACTTGTGGTGGTAGAATCTAGAGAGTCCTCATCCGAGTAGTATAGTCGCTTCTCATCATGAAGGCTTGACATCATTGCCCGCAAATAGACCACGAGGCAAGAAAGCCACAAGCTGCGGAGACTATCGTACAGGTGGTACGTTGGGAAAAGGAGGAGGAAAAGACACCATCTATCTAATTTGGGACAATGAAAATGCTACAAGGGCTTGGCGGATCTGAAATGAGGTGCAAGAATGGTAACGCATCGGGTTTATCAAGTATTATGCACTGCTGGCGGGTAGGGCTCCTTGAGCATTGGCTAGTATACACTGTGAAACTTCTGGACTTGGGGTTTGAGCGAATCGGCAGGGCCTGTTTTCTTTGTTTCTTTGTGTGTGTAATGATTGGGAAATTTCGCTCATCCAGAGTGACTGCTTTGCTATGTACCAACATGAGCTGTCAGCTATTTCTGACTAGTTCGAATCTCAACGGCCACTAAGATAGCTCTAAAATGAGCATTTGGGGCCATCAGGTCGTCCTGGCCAAGAGTTCCTTGACAGGGCATCACAGACTCGGAGTGTGTTAAATCTTCAGTCCGCCATGAAACGAGGTTCGCACTCCAAATTGCATACCAAACGTCACGGCAAATACTTTGGAGAAGCCAGTCATGTCTTCGCTGCCCGTTATGGTTTCACTTTAGCGTTTAACAATCATGGCATGTATTCTTCAGTGTTGAAGTTGCCTGGCCCTTAAGTCACCTACCGCTCGTTGACACTGCTTCATCGTCAAAAGTGGCTAACAATGGAAGTATATTCTGCGTAGATTGCGTTGCTAGCAACCAACTACTACTAGTAATAGGTCATACAAATGGTCACGTGGAAGGTATCATATCCTGCTTGGCGGACATGGGACGGACCACAAACCTCAAGATGTCCTGAAATACTATGATTCTACACCAACAGAAGCAAGGTTGCACACTACTAGTAGTACTATTAACCGTACGCGCTGCTTTCCTGCTTCTAGATTCATTTGACGAATGGTTGTGTGTATTGCAGACGTCGCATCAGCATGTGAATCTACAACATCAGTACAGCTCTAGAAGCAGGCAGCAACTCGATGGTAAGGACCCAGCACATGGATTTTCTGAGAAGTGGAGAACATCACACCACCAAGACATAGACACGAAGCATGGAATTTGCAGGAATACGATGATCCGAGCCAGTGAAATGCAATGTGTGGGGATGGGTCATGGAAGAATTGCATAGAAGGTTCCAGACGCCTACCGAAATACCATGTCACCACTTGCCTATTCGAGGAGCATCCACGGCTATTCCAGCACATTCTGGTCACTTCATGTTTACCTGCATCTACCCGCTTGCGGTCAGTTGCGTGTGTTTGCCCGTCCTTTCTAGCATGTTCTCGGCGTCATCCCTCAATGTATAAATTCATCCACCTCATCCACCCATAACCTCTTTTTCTTCATCACAGAACACAACAATCTTCTCATGCAACCATACCGAGCAACTTTCAGACTATCACCACAAATTTCTCGAGCCTTCAAAGCTTCCAAACCAACAAGAAACATGTCTCTCCGCGGCTTTCCACGCTTTGCCCCAACCACTTATCACTGGGGTCCATCCATCGCTCGTCAAAATGACTTTGCTCCACTGTTCTCTCTCCTGGACGACCTCACCAACGGTGAAGTGAGCCGTCGACAGTCCAACTCCAAGCAAAGCCAGGAACGCTTCTTCGCCCCTCGGTTCGACCTCAAAGAAGTGAAAGATGCCTACGTCCTCGAGGGCGAGCTTCCCGGCGTTGAACAGAAAGACGTCTCCATCGAATTCACCGACGAACACACTCTAGTTGTCTCCGGCCGTTCCGAAGTTCACCACGAAGAGGGCACACGACCAAAGGAGCTCGGAGCACCTGAGAAGCAAGCCCAAATCAAAGACTCTTCTCACAAGCCCACCGTCGAGGACGAGTCTGCTGAGTCGGAGTCGACCGAAGTTGTGAAGCAAACCGAGGATCAATCCGGCAAGAAGGAGCCCGAACACACCTACTGGGTTTCCGAGCGTGTCAGTGGCAGCTTCACCCGTTCCTTCTCCTTCCCTGCAAGAGTCAATCAAGACGGTGTCAAGGCTGGTCTCAAGAATGGTATCCTCACCGTCACCGTTCCCAAGGCTGCTGCACCCGAGTCTCGCCGCATCAACATTGAGTAAAGCTCCACACCGCTTTCACCATACCACAACATCGACAACACGAGAACCGGGGATGAGTGATGGATTGGTAGTTGATGGGATCGGTTGAATTTTGAACCACTTGCTTTCAAGACTGAACAACAAACGAAAAGTTTTACCAACACACCAAGCGAAGCATAGCATAGCCAGCACAGCGTAGGAGGAGTTACTGGGCTTTCTTTCGGGCTTCAATCAAATGTACATTGCAGCAGCAGCAAAACATGCAAGGCATTATCATAGCCTAATGAATCAATTCAATTTGAAATAAAATCTAGCGTTCCCGTTCCCTATGATCATTGTCTCTTCATTCCCGCTACTAGTATCTACAATCGCCACACCGCAGCAGCAGCAGTAGCGTAACAAGCAAACGTTGAACATATACTTATAGCCCCCATCGCCCATGAAGTCCCAACCCTCCTCCCCGCCAAACCTCTACTTCTCGAGTCCTGATAATCAATTCCACTCCTCCTCCTCCTCCTCTCATGAACTCTCTAGTAGTACTTGGTGCCCCAAAACCCCCTTCTCCCCCCTTCCATTCCACCCCCCCCCAATCCCATTCATTCATCACTTCCATACAGTATATGCCACCAAAAAAGGCAGTAATTTCATACCTCCATTCATCACGCATCCCAGCGCCCGCGCCCGTTCCAGCGCCCGATCCAGCTCTAGCTATGACACGCTTCGGGGCTCTGACGGGCACTAGCCGAGCACTCACAGGTGGAGAGGGGAGGTCAGTATGGGCGTAGGAACGGTATCTGTGCGTTGTGAGAGGGTCTGGTAAATGAGAGGGGGAAGAGACGCGAAGATGGAAATGATAGAAGAGAGAGGGGACTGGGGGGGAAAAGAGAGAAGGGGTAGAGATCTGTATGTTTGAGTCAATAGAAAGAATGGCGAACGATAATCGAGGAGAATCGAGGCGGTAGAATGGGAGGCGAGCTAGGCCAGAACGCCATGCCAGAATGCTTCCTTGACACACACACACCAACAACCATCTGCTCTTATCTGTCTTGCTTGCAACGTCAACAAAGTACCTGACCCCTCCTCTCTCCTCTCTTAACCATGCAAGCTCAATTAACCTGCGTCCCATAGCCCCTGATCATATCGGCAAACGCCCAACTCTGCCCCTCCAGCTTCTCATCCTCCTTCATCTCGATCCCGCCCTCCTTGGTCACAACCGCAATGCTATACCGATCACTACTCCTCGCATCCCGGTAGAACAGCACCTTCATACACTCCTTGACCGCATCAACCGCCATCTCCCTCGTCACATTTTTAACACTGCCCTCATCCTCAGGCACCAAGCGCCGCAACAGCGGCTGCGCCAGATGCGCGCCGAACCCGGTCGCCAGCGTCGGCGCGCTGTACGTCGTCCCGAGCAGATCCGCCTGGCTGAGGAACGGTTTCCCTTCCTCATCCAGACCCGCGACGAGGACGTTGTTCCACAGCGGGTTGAAGTCCGAGCGCCGCTTGTAGAAGATCTTGGCCAAATACGTGTGCAGGTTTTTCGCATTCAGCGTGTGACCGTGACTGGAGTAGTTTTCGCGGATATCGAGAGACTGTAATAGTCGGTCCAGGTACTGCATGTCGGAGACGTCGCCGCCGAAGCCGATGATCGAGCTGCCGGCGAAGGTGCGCAGGCGCTTGACATCGGTGAAGCGTGCGAGCGATCCGTAGGAGGCTAGGTGAGATGGTATGTTAGTTTTATGGTGGGAGAGTAGAAAGGGTGCGCGTATGGTTGAGAGAGAGAGAGCTTGCTCACCGAGATTATCCGCCGCGATCACGACGCCGTCTTTGAACTTGACGCCCAGTACTGAGGTTCCGGTTACGGCGGGAGATTGGGTATGGGTTTGTGGTAATGAGGAGTGCAGGTGCGAAGAGTCGTATGGGCCGTAGATGTCATCCCTGGGCTGTTGTGACTGTCAGCTGGGCCAAACCCGAGGAAGACGCTGCTGAACCTACACGACCCCATGCTTGGGGGAAATGGTTCATGGTAAGCGGCAGGCAATCAAGAATGGAGATGTGGCACACGCAAACTTTGCTGTGAAATAGAGGTACTAGGAGGCTCGCAGGTTTCGATGTGATGCTGGTGGTGAATGCGTTCGTGTACTTAGTAAAGTACTACTGGTACTAATTTAGTAGTAGTAGTAGAGCTCTGAGCTGCGTCAAAGCTTGATGCCTGCAGACTTGGCGCTGCAACACGGGCTTGGCTTGGCATATTGGCTTGGCAGCTAGAATGACACTGGCAGAACATCCGCACCCCAATTCACGAGTACGACTATGATAAAGTATATACAAGTATGAAGCTGGCAGCTGTGTATGTGCAGTGCATCAAAATTCGCCTTATAAGTTATAAAGGTATCATTAGGTGCAGATCGTTACCGTAAACCAGAGGCATCCTTCATCTTCATCACCATTACCCAGCCCCGTCTGGCTTCCAGCCAAGATCAGCCCAATGTATCACTATCCTGTTCGTCGTTCGACGTTCATTCTTCCGTGATGCCATTTTCACGTATCGTATCGAGTTCACGACATCTTGAGCCCAGCAATAATCGGTACATCGCTCAGATCCACCCCGAATCCCTGGCTCAACTCCTTGCCCTTCCTGCTTGCTCCAGCGAATCCGCTGCTAACACTCCTGGTTCCGGCACTCCCACCAAACCCGGCTCCACGCTCATAGCCGTAACTGAAGCCTCCACTATGGCGGCCAAACTGAGGACTGGAACCCACACGTTGAGGATCGCGGGGCGGGTGTAAACTTCCGGCCTGAGACCCCGCGTTGCTTCCATTGTAGCTGTTAGCCTGACTGTGCCGTCGTGAGGGATGTCGACTATGCTCGCAGCTGTGATATGAGCCATACGAAGCATCGGGACCAATAGCATCGTTTGCCGGATACTGATGGTAGGTGCTTGCTGGTCTAGCGTCCCTATGGTGATATGCTTGATTTGAAGGCACATTTCGAGGTGGAATTGGTGGGTAGAGACTATTATCGTCCCCATATGACCAATTCTTGCCGCCGTTAGGGTGTGCTTCACCTGTGGACTGTCTCTCCTCTCGCCATGCTTGACCATGCCGTGCCCATGTGCTACCTTCTTCGTGAGGTGCAATAGACAATGGCCGAGGCGAATGTGGTGGAGGTGGCGGAGGCGCCTCGTGTTCTACTTCGTTAAAGTCCCAGTGGGTAGTGCTATGGAAAGCTGCTTGAAATTGTAGCCAAGGTTTACCATAATCATATTGTGAGTCGTCTCCGTATTGGCGATTGAAGTGGCGTTCTTCGTGGGTTGGACTCGAGCTCTCTCGCGGATCAAAATTTATTTCAACACGATCGGAACGCCAGCTTTCTCGGCGACCGTCTCTAGGCCGATTAAACTCAGACCGATAATCTTCTGAATAGCATTCGGCAGGCCAGTCATTATAAGATGACGCATCATCCAGCTGATTATACCCATATGGATCATTGGCTGGGTCCACGTTTGTGTTGTCAGTGAATACATTCTGATAAAACCGAGGGTTCCATTTGTCCGCTTGCTGCATCTGATCATGGTTGGTCTGCGGCTCCCAGTTGCGGCTCTGATTGCTCCCGAAGCCTGCGGGTAGAGGAGGTAATGGTGGTGTATTGGTAGTAAAACTCATGGGGCGTAGGTTCTTGCCTGGTAAACCACCTCTGTCGTTAAACAAGTCTCGTTTTTCAGCTAGACTCATCGAGTTTCGTTCATGAATGGTCCGGCTGCGCATGCGAGCGAGTTCAGCTGCTGTTTCGGCATCCATACCACCAGTAGATTTTGTGCGTCTTGCCGCGCTTGTAATATTGTGTGGGTTCACCTTCCGGGCGGGCTCGACATGCTTTCGAGGACTTGATTGAAGGTTGGTGCGTGCAACGTCATAGGGATTACCACCTAACGAGTACCCAACAGTTCCGAAGTCTTGAATTATGGCCAATGCATCAGCCTCGCTCATCTCTTGTGAACTGTGATCAACGTTCGATCTCTTGATAGATCTGCTGCGCCGACCAAAGATAGAGTCCTTATGGATTGGGGGTCGCGGTGGTGCTGCTGACTGCTCGCCAATCATATCGACACTTGCGGCAGGAGAAGGGAACCGTATCTCCACAGGCTCAACAGGCGACATAAGAGGACTTTCGGTAGTATGCTGCCTGGTCTCAAAAGTGTGTTCTAGTTCTGGGACCTGATGTGATCGGATTGCTAGGTTGGCCTCAAATTCTGCAGGGACTGGGGGAACAGAGCTAGTGATAACTTCCTGATTGCCCTGAACGGTGATGTCTTTCCTCCTAGCCGAGCGAGACAACAATCGAGGCTTGGCCAACTTTTTGCCCCGGTTCGTAGGAGGCATCGAAGTCGTGGTCGTGACTGTCGAAACAGTGGTTGTCGAATGGTGCAGATTGTGGAAAGTAGGGAGTGAGGTAGTAGTCGCTCTAGCCTGCTTGAGGATTGATGGTCTCAGAGGACGAGGACCTGGTCTACGATCTTGTCGGTTTTTGGATATGCTGAGTCCATTTTGTACAGCGTTCATGACTGAATTGGCGTGGTCGGCATCTGTCCTCTCGCCGGTCTCTTCGTTGCTGTCTTTGAGCGACGAATTCGAACTGTAACCACTATCAGCCAAGGTGTAAGTTGGTCTCGTCGACAGAGGTGAGGATTCGTGTTGGTCCGAAGCGGTAGTGGCACCATTTGAAGAGTAGTGGGTGTCTATAGTAGAAGAGTAGACACTATCAAAATCAGAAGGTGTGACACTATCATCTTCGAATAACCCGTCATCAAACTCAGTGGACTTGCTAATCGGGTTCAGGATCGATTGAGGGCTCGAACTGTGCCTAGGAATCTCAAAGGGGCTGGTGGGAAGCTCGGCCATGTATTCTTCTGCCATACGAATACTCCATCCTGGAGATCTGTCTGTAGTGGTGATGCCCTGACCTGCTCTGTCCATTCCCAATGTTTTATCAACGTCTTCGCAACGCGTGTTAATCTTCGGTAGGATATCATTGCTGGAGAAGCGCAATGGGCTTGGATGAGGAACTTTTGAGACGAGCTGCGAAGGCACAGTAGGCATACCCGGCCGTTTCGAAGGTCTAACGTTGTTGACGATGCGTGTATTGGCATCACAGTCTTCATGATCAGAATCGCCACATTCACCTGACATGGTCCTCAAATTGGGTGTTGACCGAGTCTTCACTCTCATGGACAAATCACTAGGTGCAGGGGAAGCACAGCCATTGGTGATATGCAAAGAGCCCAATCTCAAGCCGCCGAGAAAGACGAGGTCAGATGGTGTTTCCGTCCTAACTAATGGAGGTGGCACTGGCTTTTCAAATTTGGAAGTTTCTAGGTTCAAAGCTTCCAGCTCGCTAGAGGAAGCTTCTTCGGGAATCACTGATTTTGCTTCCACCCCCAACTCGCCTGATGGCGATCGACTCCAGCGCTCATCTTTCCCAACCCTCGTTGCGATTCCTGGCTGGTTCAATGACTTTCGACGGATGGGAATTAGAGAAGTGAGATCTTCTCGTGAGAGATTGCATGAGCGAATTTCTGTCTTTGGCGGGCTCACATCCTTGACGTCTTTGTGCTCTTTGAGGGATATCAGTGATAGACGAGAGGTATTGAACATGGCGGAGAAAGATGAAGTTAATGGCGACTTTGTGGTAGGTGAAGTCGAATGTTGTGTTTCAATATCACTGACAACAAATGCACCCACTCTCCATGCTTCTGTATCACCTTGGGCAGGTGCTTCTGGTTCTTTAGACTCTGGACCGAAAATGTGTGCCTTTGAAGCCTCTCGTGGCTCGTCGTCTGCGGCTATTGGAGACTCGTCCTGGACTTCTTCGGTGTTTGTACTCAATTGCAGCAGAGTGCTGCTGCGATTTCCAAGCTGGAGTAGTGAAGGACTTGACAGATTCGAAGATGATGTATTTGTTGGTGGCTTTGAAAGACGATTTCGTTTCCGAAGCTCATTGTTATTATTGTCTATACTGGCCGGCTTGTTAGAAGGCGCGAAGGAAGATTTGAGTCTGGAGAACATTGCGGCGTCCAAGGCGGTAGGAGGATAAAAGACATCTAAGTTGAACAGAAGGACCACCGCATCTTCAAGATAGCGCTTCGAAACCTCTGGGATAGAATTTCAGAGATGGTTGGGGAAGGCACATGCCAGCCGTGATACCATATGGGCCAAAACAAGCAAGTTCGTCAATGCATAAAGAACCATGCAGGCATTCCCACGGCAGGTTTCTCATGCAGAGCAAGAAAGAAAAGGGAAATTGAATTAAAAGAATGACATGAATCAAATAAAAGAGTGGAAGAACAAGAAACTTGCAGTCAGGCCAGGCTGGATAAAGATGATGAGAGGTGCTGGAGTCCAGCATCTCCCCTAACTTAGGCGGGAGATCAGACAGTCTAAATCTGCAGCACAGCCATGGCCAGGCCCAATGATTGGACGGATGGGGATTGAATAAACAATGTCATCCACAAATCTTGATTCCCAATCGGCCATAGCGAGCTAAGAACCAAGGTTTCTGACGGGCAAGCTTACTACGTTACCGTTGACAAGTCGTGAGGCGACGAGCACGTCTTCCAACCAAGTCTACAGGCGGCTCCGGCTGTACTGCTGCCGATCTTTATTAGCGACCTTGTTTCACCACATTCATGATTCAACGTCATTGAACCAAGTCGTCACCCCACAGAGGCGTCGTAACGGAGTACATGTTCACATTTGCCTGACAAGGCGTTTACATGAGCACGATCAATCTTACGATGTTTCTGATAGCATAGACCCTGTCCATCTGATGGGCAATTGCGTGGCCTGGACTCTTGGTTTGCGGGGCTTCGCGCTTACGAACTCCTACTCCGCTCCGTCAGCTTCTGGGGCTGGGTGGCCACAGCAACCAAGACGCCTATCAAATTTATCAGACAACACACGATCTAACCGAGTTCCCTTGCTGCTCCGGTTTTTTTCAGGCAACTTGACAACTAACGCCCCAAGTACAAGTACAGCGAACTTCGATACAGGAGCGACTAATGTACTAACGATGATTGATGGAGTATAGAACAAACCTTAAAACTGTAGCATAGAGCACGAGCCTCAACTGGCTTGTGACAGCAGCAGCTTGTTGTTGTCTTTGGCCAAATTTGATCGAATGCAATACTTCCCAAGCATAAGCGAAGGAGAGTTTCACGATGGATGTCAGGCTTTCTACGACACCTTTGTTAGTGCTTTAGATGGAAATTCGTGGCTTCAGGTCGCATATGAGTCTGACGTTCTGTCTATCAAGAAGGAGTATATAATCAAGACGCCTAGTACTCTGAATGAGAAGGCTACCGATATTGTACAGCATAGGAATGAGGATTTGATCGATGACGAAGACCACGAGGTGCGCGTAAGGAAGATCTCTCCTGTTCTAGCCTGACTGGAGCTATATAGATCATTTGTAGGCACTTGAGCCTGCCTGCAACAGACAGAATCCTGGTCGAGTTCTCCATTCTATGGTCATCTTCGTACCAGGTTCCGGTCCTCTGGTTCACACTGAATCGTGTCCCATCCGGCATATCCACTGGCATCGAAACTGTATATCAACACCTGGTACCCGAGACGAGCCGTTCGGCCCTCAATCAGGTTGGCGTCATGGGAGGTATCAGTATTGCAGTATGACGATAACGCCCTGACAGGGCAAATTGCTGACAGTGGGCAGCATCATCCTAAATCGGATTTGCCAGCTTTCTTCATCCATCCCTGCAACACTGCCGAGGCGCTGTATGAGATCTGTCAGCAAAGATCTTGCAAAACAGCACTAAACTATCTGATTATCTGGCTCGGTCTCGTGGGCCCTTCGTTCAATCTATATATCCCAAGTCAGCTGATGCTTTCTGCTCCGGAAGATGAGGTTTGAGCACCATAGAAGATTGGAATAGTGGCAGAGAGTATCAATTGTTACACCAGTGGCAATGATCAGTGGCTGATAATGGTTCTGTAGCGTCTTTCTCTTTCAATCCTCGTCTGAAGACGCTTCCATGGGTGCATCACTGTCCTCGTCCTCCTCCATCGGTGCCTCGCCTTGTTCGTCCTCTTCTTCCTCGTCTCTGGGTCTTTTGGTGCCATGTGGCGCTTCTGACTCTGAAGATTTGTTCTGGGGAATCTCCACGGGCTTCGAAGGAACGCTTCCCGGTGGTGCATTGAAAATAGATTTCTGCAAATCGGTTGTTGTTGTCGCTTCTGTTGCTACGCTGGGCATTTCGAAGGTGCCGCGAAGTTTGGCAATGATGTGGGATTGACCTTTGCCATATACGATTTTCTGCGCCAAATTTAGTGCCTGGTGTTCAGGACATGGGCTTGAGTCTATGCGCACCATTTCTTTTCCAAAAAAGTCGAACCCTTGTAATGCTCGCATGGCCTGCGTGCTAGTCTGTATATCTCTGAACACGATATGTGCTTGACCTCGCATACCCTTCGCTCTCGTTGCATTGACATCCAACACCGGTCCATAAGTCGAGAAGAGCATGTAAAGAGCTCGCCGTAGTTCAGGTTTGCTTATCTTCTCCGGCAGGTTTGTACAGTACAGTCTGTGCAAGGTGTGTGAGCTGGGTGCTCTCTGATACGGGGCAACACCTACGTTTGATTTGGTGTCCCTGCATTCACTGCGTCTTTACCAGAGACTCCATTTCGAGAAGGCACCGCTTGTGTTGCCATGGCCCAAATACTGAAGAAGCGCTGTGGCTCTCCGCTAATTCATGTAAGAACTTTTGCAAAACAGAGTTCCATCATTTTTGAGAATTGGTCCAGATTTGCGCATCGAAGCAGAACTGATTTAGTGTTTATATAAGCTTTACTACGCACCGACAGCACCCATTCTTGCTGCCGCATTCGGAATAGTGGGAACCGAGATATGTAACCACTTCGCTGTTGCGAAACGTCTACCATTTTTGCTGCCCACCACCAACTCTTCCCCCCTCTATCTCTAAGTCACCTTGTTGGTGGGTTTGAAGCTAGTCAAGACATCAATCTCAGCCATATTTGCGTCAGCTGCTTTCTCCAGGCTTTGAAGAGAACCTTTGACTAGGACATCTCGTCTTGCAGCCTGGAGTCATTTCTTTCCAGCGCCGCGACTCACACTGATCATCTCCAGCATTCTCGACCTGTCACCCCGCTCTCAAAACGGCCGTATCATCGTGCCATTCACGACTGTCTTAGGTCCGTTCTATCTATGACTTTTCGCCGAACATCCTTCAATCTTATCTCTCAATACTGTCCTCCTTCATCTTCCGAGGGCTGCGCAGAAGTCTCATCTTGACTTTGGCATCTGCTGCCACGAGTCTTTGTCTATTGCGCATCTAGCTTTGCGGTTTGGTGTTCCGGTAATCCCTTCTTGGTCATCGATCACCGCCATGTCTTCCACCGAAATCTACTCTCAACCCGCAGCAACTGGCACCGGGACTGATGTGCGTACCAAAGTCCTCTTCGCTATTGACAGCCTCAAAGCAAAATCACCAGCCTCAATACCCACTGCGACGCTGATTGCCGACAACATTAGAGGGCCAGAACAGACACCTGAACTGGTATCGCGCTTCAGGCAGTTCCTGAACGCAAACGAAAAGGTTTCTTACAACAAAGAGACCGACTCATACTCTTTTCGACCTGTCCATGATATCTTCAATGCAGACGACCTGATCGGTTTCCTACAGTCGCAAACCACGGCGCTGGGCTTGAATGTTCGTGATCTCAAGGACGGCTGGAACGACGTTGAGAAGACTATCGATCAACTTGAGAAAGATCAAAAACTCCTTGTGGTGCGAAACAAAAAGGACAACCATGCGAAGATGGTCTGGGCTGACGATCCCACTCTCCATGCACCTATGGATGACGAATTTGTGAAGCTTTGGGATGAGATTTCCATGCCTTCGGGAGGACATGAGGCGGTAGTGAAGGAATTGAAGCAGAAGGGCATGACCTCTGCTGATTCTGGTATGGCACCAGCAGTCAAGGTAGTCAAAAAGGAGAAGCCGAAAAAGAAGATCAGACGAGGAGGCAAAGTCACCAATACACATATGCAGGGCATATTGCGGGACTATTCTCACCTCAAGAGATGATTTTCAGCCGTGTCACGATCATGTTGAAGGTGAAATGTCATGAATATGGGGCGTGGATTGCCTGGAGTTATGCAGTGGCATCAATAGCATGGTGATTCTTGGCTTCCGAATTGAGGATTGCAGAATAATCGGAGTCAGGTCGAGCTAGCCGATTCATGGGTCTTCAATCCAGCGCTCTTGACGGCAGTATGCTCCATTGTGTCTTTGATGCTCACAAGCTGGCAATGTGGAGATTATTTCCCCTTCCAGTGGCATCCATAATTCAAAATCCGTTAGAGGGAAATTCGCTAGAGGTTACAAAGTTCTCCACAAGCATTCCACAATGTTGAACTTGCTTTGATTCTACACATTTGTGCTTAAGTGGTCGATTCGCTATGTTCTTGACATCTCCAGCTGTTTCTGTTCCCCCAGTAGAACATACAAGTGATAACGCAAGAAGCCCACCGAGCGCCATGCTGATATACAACCCTTTGACCCATCCACAAGTCCATTCCATCCAGTAAATTATAAGGCCGTACTTTGTGGAAGTCCTCATGCATGTGACTTCCCTTTAATACCATTCGTCTCTGATCCAGACTTATCCTTCTCCTGCAGATACCTTGCCAAATCCTCAATCGTACAGACCTTCAGCCCCCATTTCTTCCCGAACTCCAGGCAAGAATCCCTCCTCATCATCCCGCCGCCCACCCTCTCGGCCAAACCCTCCGCACTCTCATCACCATCCTCCACCAACTCACAAATAACACCGACCTCGCTTTTCCCCGCCAATTTACAAAACTCCACCGCCGCCTCCGTATGGCCGGGCCGCTCCCTCACCCCCCCTTCCCTCGCCCTCAACGGGAACACATGGCCGGGCCTCCTCAGATCACCCGCCGTCGCCGCCTCATCCGCCAGAACCCTACACGTCAACGCTCGATCCGAGGCCGAAATCCCCGTCGTCACATGCTCGTGCTTCGCGTCCACACTCACGGTGTAGGCGGTACGATTCGGATCCGCATTCTCGGTTACCATCTGCGGCAGATCCAGACTTTTGGCCCGCGAGGCGGTGAGGGGCGTGCAGATTAGACCACTCGAGTAACGGATCATGAAGGCCATTTTGGCAGGGTCCATGTCCTGTGCGGCGATGATCAGGTCGCCTTCGTTTTCGCGGGAGGGCGAATCCAGCACGATGATGAAATTGCCGGACTTGAACGCGGACATGCAGGCGGGGATGGAGTCAAAAACTGGGCTTGGAGCAACTTTGGATGGCATGATGGTGTTGTTGGAGGACTGCTGTTCATACAGAGGTTCTTGCGATGGGTGACCGGTTCAGCCGGTAGACAATTTGCTAAAGGGAGAAAACCTTTCCTAGGTTCTTCTATACGGAGCCAAGATCGATAAGATGAGATATTGAGTCTATCCAGTAGTCTTGTCTAGCATTAGACAGAACGGTTTATCGATAGATCAGAAAGAAAAATAAGCCGAACGCAATCATGAGGCATCAATTATCTGGAAAGTAAAGGGAACAGAATCATTCATCACATGTCGTGACCGCACGAGATGGAGACTATTTTCTCGGTTTCCGAAGCGGAAAGACTTGCTTGCTAGCTCGAGAAAATAAGTAATTGCTTACAGACGATGCAACAGTAGGATCGATTAGATCATTAGAATCTGGAATCTAGAAGCTTAAAGCATTCGCAAACATAGCAGGCGCTCCATCGATGTCACAGTACAGGACATGATGTCCAGCTCGCTCAACATAGATGAATAAAATGTAGAATTGCCAATGCCAATCTCAAGTACGCTGTTGGTTACTAGCCGAGGATGTTCCGTATACCTTGATAGCCTGATAGCCTTAAACCAGAACCTACCATAGCGCATACCTTGATTCACTCTCAAGGCCACACTTCTTCCGTTCACGCTTGGTAGTAGAGAGCTCCTCCTACCAAATCGTGTTCGCCATGTCCGGCCCCGAAGTACATCACCTTTTCCACCACCCTATCGCAGATCACTCCTTTTCAGCCGACAGGCAGACACTGGCTGTTGCGAGAGATAACAATGTTGAACTATACCACCGGTCAGGGTCTAAGTTTACCTTGAAGGATGAGCTGAAAGGACACGACAAGACGGTTACTGGTGTGGATATTGCTCCTCGAAGTGGCATGATTGTGACCTGTTCACAAGGTGCGCAACATCACCCTTAGCCCGTCACAAATTCTGAAAGTGTATACAGATCGAAATGCCTATGTATGGGAACCGTCACCTTCGGGCTGGAAACCAACTCTCGTCCTCCTGCGCATCAACAGAGCGGCGACCTTTGTCCGTTGGTCACCTTCGGAGAAGAAGTTTGCTGTTGGATCTGGTGCCAGAGTCATTGCCGTCTGCTATTTCGAGGAAGAGAATGACTGGTGGGTATCAAAACATTTGAAGAAGCCAATCCGAAGTACGGTCACATCTTTAGCATGGCATTCCAACTCGGTGTTGATTGCAGCTGGTTCAACGGATTCGCATGCAAGAGTTTTCTCGGGCTATATTAAAGGTATTGATGCAAGACCAGAAAGCAGCGTATGGGGCGAGAAATTACCTTTCAACACAGTCTGTGGAGAGTATCTAAATGACTCAGCCGGATGGATACATGATGTGGCATTTTCGCCCAGTGGTGATGCTCTTGCCTTTGCTGCCCATGATAGCAGCATTACCGTGGTCTATCCGAGTGCACCAGAGCAACCTCCAAAGGCGATGATCAATGTTAGCACTCAGATGCTGCCATTCACGTCCCTCGTCTGGAATGGCGAATCTGAGATTGTTGCAGCGGGCCATGTATGCCAATATCCACGCCTAACCGCATTCCTCTTAAATAACTGACTCAACTTAGGATTGCGAACCATACCGCTTTCGAGGCAGCCAGAACGGCTGGGAGTTTGCAGGCTCAGTCGAGGCAAAATCTCGTCCTGGTATGGGGAACGCTCGTGAGGAATCTGCTCTCAACATGTTCCGCCAGATGGATCTCAAGGGGAAGACAAAGGATGACACTCAATTGAAGACAACACACCAGAATACCATCAGCACAATACGTGCATATGATGAAAGTGATGGTGCTCTGCGACAGTTCAGCAGTCAGTATCCCCCGGCCCTAGGATTGAATATCGCTAATTATATGCAGCCAGCGGTGTTGATGGCAGGGTCGTTATATGGAATGCCTAGACGTATTGGACAACGTCGTTGCGGCTTGATTACACCAATGTGTACCATACGAAGCACTCATTGGAACCAGCCCAGGCCCTCCAGACCTACATAGAACCAATACATACTGAGACCTTCTACGTTGGACCAGTGGCTGCTTTCTTTGTTTTCTATGAACCCTTTATGGAAACTTTGGCATTCTTTTGCTGACTTGCTGCTTCTGCCAAGCTCCTGAGACATCTTTTTTTCTGCCTTTGGATCAGATATTTATATGCGAGCTCGTCCCTCCGATGCTGCTTCCAACATTCATACACAGCCTTCATCATGTCTTCAAGTAGCTTTCCATCGATCAGCTCCCTCTTGAACAACTCACCTACCAAGCCGTATCAACAACTCCCCTCCCATTCAGAGATTCATGCGAAAGAAGAGCAGCGGTCGCCAGGGCCTGCTTCAACCCTCATGAGCATACCTTCAGTACACCAGCCAGGTACTCCACGTTTGACTTTTCGGGAGCCAGTCGAGCCTACTGTAAGTGTGGAGAGTTCTCCGAGCTCAATAGCAGCATCAGCAATCATCACTCCGAACATTCCACTCACTGCGCTCATTTATTTCCAGCTACTTAGCGAAATCAGCCTCGATGATACCGACATGAATCTCCAGCAACCGCCGGATATATACTTTGGCGACGATCCCTTCGACATGGATGCTCCGAACGTGGAGGGCAACCTACCTACTCAGAGTCTACCACATCCGGTGTCGAGTTCGCAGTTTCTCCTAGCATCTTCTCAATTTACCTTTATTGCTTCCCTCGTCAAGATATGCACCAGCGCCGCTCTCAAGCACTACCACTCCCTGCTCCCTCCACCCAGCGTCTACATCAACGTCGAGCAAAACCTCCCGCAACTGCCATTCTCCACAACCATAAAACTTCACCCGCAGGAAACCCCTCAGACGGCCTTGCTGTGCGCCGAAGCAGCTGAGGTAGCCCGAGCCGTCGACGCCAATCTCTCTTTGACCGGTGTCCTGGACCTCATCAGCCACGCGACTCGTGGCGGCGATTCGGCATCTCCGCCAGAGCAGCTGCTTTGCGAGAGCCGGCATGCTGCTCGCATGGCGCCCTTGTGGGAGCTGGCCAATGGACTGTTGGACAAGCTGAGTCGGGTTGCACAAGGCGCCACGCTGCACCCGCTCATTCTCAACTCTACGCGCCACGCGGCCGAGGCGTTCTGCAGGAAGCTCGACGATGAAGAAGCGATGCGACATGTCCGCTCTGTCATCCCTGACTTGTGCTTGGATGTCATGCTGGCAAATGGCGAGTGGATTTGAGCTGCTGAACGTGGGTGTTGTGTGGGGGTGCTGGGGGTCCTAGCAAATTTGCGCGGTTATGGGTGTCTTTTCGAAGAAGAGCAGCAAGGTGTTCATGCGTTCGACAGAAGGTACTTGGCTTGTAAAGTCTCGGGATCAGGCTAGATGCCCAGCCACCAATTGATCTTTCTTGTTTTGATTTGTTTCATGGAATCAATCTTCTCTTTGCAGGAACCGTGTTCCATATTGTGGATGTATGTGAAGGTGTCTACACTCCTTATTTCAGCCATGTCTTACGCTGATTCCTTTGTCTCAACCACTCGATATCCACCGCTTACCAGAAGCGTCTCTTTTTTACAGAGGAGAGAGAGGGAAATATCAAGCTCGGCACGGATAGTGAGACATTGAAAAGGTTCTCGGCCCCCAGAATCAGACGCCGTTATCTATAAGCTCCTATTAGCTTAGTACGTAGGGTACTCCGTACTCAGATAACTATGATAGGGTCCCCATCATGATAGCACCTAGCAAGCAGGTACTCAGATAACTATGGTAGGGTCTCCATCATGCTAGCATTACCAGCAGGTACATATAGTAGTACTCATGACCCCAAAAAAGTCTACGGATCGTAACTCATATCATTCAAGCAAGTCCACCACCACCGCCACTCCTGAAGCTCACGTCTATCTACCTTACCTTAGCAACAGAGCAACAGCAACATGCCACGCCAACCTTCCATACAACCCGCAAGACAGCTGGTCGATGTGCAGATACCACGAATGACACTTATTGGCCGTGTGCCCCTTCGCTTTTCAAGATGTCCCAAGTGCCGAGCGCAAGTCAGGGCCGCACAAGCAATCGTCCCACTGCTCCCCCGAACCACTCAGCCTGTAACGCCGACTCCCCATGGGCAAAGCCGTGAACCATCACTCCTTTCACGAGCGCTAGAAAACGTACCATTCCGGCGACAACCTAAGGTTGAGCTGCGATCGGTCGCAGACCGGAGACCGTTGCAAGAAGCGACCACGGATGAGAAAGGACGTAAGAAAGCGGAAGAGCAACAACAAGACGATCCCGTGGCGAGTCTTGTTTTCCTGATCCTGGTGTATTTATGCGTCTGGGAAGTGGCGTCGTGTGTGTCTGAAGTGTCATACAATATGAGTGGTAGATGGCGCGTTGCAATTATTGAAGATAGGAAGTCCTGAGGAAGTGAGATGCTTTTGCCTGTATGGGTGGTGAGCAATCGGTGGGATAAGTGCAGAGATAGATGTCAAGGAGGAGTGTGATCAGAACCCAATTTGACAAAAACCACGATGATGATTGAAAAATCGCCAAGGTTTTGGCTCTCTACCCCCTTTTCCCACCCAGCCAATCAGAAAATCCTACTTTGTCTGTCGCTGGCATTGGGTAGGCTCGCGATGTTGCTTTGGGTGTTGGTAGTGACCACTGACTCTTGAAAATCAGTTTGGACTTGACAGTCGCCACGCAAGCGTTTATATTAGAGCCTCAGTGGAATCCGATGGCTGAAGAGCAGGCGCTTAGCCGAATTCATCGGATGGGTCAAACGAAAGCCGTGAAGACGGTGCGATACATTATGCAGGACTCGATTGAGGAAGTAAGTAATCTCTTTACTATCGCGACGTGACAATTTTGAACAAACGTTACAGAATATCTACGAGCTACAGCAGCGGAAGTTGAAACTTGCAGCGCTTACCATCTCCGGTGAAGTTCAACCAGACGATCATAACCATCTTGATGTCAGATATATCCTACTCTATATCATCTGCACTCGGCTTACTTTGACATAGGATTTGCGCTTCTTGCTGAGCTAAGGCAACCGTAATAGGCTACGGGCGTGTACGCTTAGACAATAGCTTGCAACTCGATGAATATATTCTGTCTATGAAGGCCTTTGAGTCGATCTTGATTCTGAGTGAGCTTGTGACGAAGAGCCTTATCATGCTGAGTAAGATAAGATGGTATTGATTGTGTTTTTACAGCTGCCTCTGTCGATTATCAACAAAAGATTTCTTCTCGAATCCCCTTTGAATACGGGTCTTTGTTTGATTCAAACAGCTTGAACGTGCTTGCTTTTATTACTAAACTAGGACTTCTCCTTATTGTGATGGTCTCCGCTTTGGCTATCATTCGGCGGCGAACCAAGGGACCCGAATTCGCAGTTGATAATATCAACTATCTCTTTTGTTTCATTGATATTGTCTTTTGTTACTTGCAAGAGAAGTCGTCGCTGCCTTCCAAGTTTTTAAACCCCATTTGCGAGATATTCGGTCAGTACTTGTTACGGCCGTCCAAAGATCCCGTATTTGTCGATTATTGTTTCAAGTGGCTTCAGATTGCGGACACTAGAGAATAATGATAAATTCGGTCGGTAATCCGTTTTTTAATAAGGAAAGCGCTTGATTGACACATGGTGTAATGCAGTCAGAGCCAACGTAGAGGGCTTTCGGATTGAGTCCTGTGCGGAGATCCTTCAAGCGAACATTGCCACTGTTCCTGACGCTTTTATCAATGACGACTGGATTGCGTTAAGTAAACTGCTAAATGGCCTTATTGGACAAGAATTTGGACACGGCAGGCGGTTATACTCGGTGGTAGAGCTACTCTTGTTTGTGGGTCGGCGAGTGTTGACTTTAAGTACCTTATGCTTTCAACCTTCCGTGGCAGCGCATTGAGAGTGGATTGCATCTGGGTCGCTTTGACTCAAACCTATAGGAAAAGACAAACATGGTCCGTACGGCTTTGAAAGGAGTTGTCTTTACCCATTGTGTGCTCACTGGGTACCGGACCGCCCAACGACATGCATTAAAACTCTCAATTCTGGCAATGTTCACGGATCGTTTTTTACCAACCGATCCCCGTGACAAGGTTTATGCTCTCTTAGACCTTGTTCCAGACCGGGATATACCAATCACACCAGATTACAGCCTACCCATCTGCCAAAGATATGCACAGTTCGCTCCTGCCGACGTTCGACTTACCTCTAGATTGAATGTGCCCTTCATGGCAGGGACTAAGCTTGCTCCGAGTAACCCATCACTTAAGCTGCTCTCTTGGATTCCGCACCTAAGTTTGAATACTTTTACCGGACCCCATACGCAACTCAATACAAGAAACTTACAGCCTGGACGTGCTGGAACAATACATCGATCCCATGCGTCAATCATTCTAAAATTCGACGAAAATTCCCAATTAGCGACACTAGAAGCTGCTCACAATCTTCCTTGTGCCATTTTTGGCAAAGCTCCATCCACTTCTTGATGCGTTTAACGTTTATTGGTGTATCCTTGATTTCTCACCCGAAGAAAAGACCTTCCGAGTTAGGAACATCGTTAGCGAGAGGGATCAGTCGATTGAACTCGTTGAAGGACGGTGGCCACGGCTGAGGTCTGACCCGGAGACAACGCACTTCGGGCCCATCTCGACCCCAGAAGAAGCCATCTTCTTGCCAATAGAGCTGACACTGGATGTCTTTGTCTTGCTGGCTGAAGGGTGGATGTGATCCACCGATGGCTTCGACAACGAGATGGCACAGTGTACAAAGGCTTGACTTCTCGCGAATCAGCTGAAGAGAACCTAGGTCGTGGATGTGCTCGAATGAGTCTTGGTCCTTGTTAGCTTGGATTATAAAATCTTTTGAGGACATTTTTAGAGATTTACAGGTGCCGCAAAGCATTACATCACGAAACAACTATTGAATAGTGGTTGCTGGCTGTATGCTGTCAGTCCGAAGGTCTGAAGAAGAGACTAGTTTGAAGTACTCCGTACAAACACGGGCTACGGGTCGCGCCTAAAGTCTAACTAGATCAATGCTTCCTTCGCCGCCCATCAATAGACCTACTAATTACATATTCTATATTACCTTGAAGGGCGTTGCCTATGCGCTGAAGTAGACTGGGCTGAGCACGGATTGCAACTCCTCTTAGTAGCCGAGGTGGTGGGGCCAGAATTGGGTCCTTTCACTGTTCGCTCAGGCGACTTCAGGCGTACCTCAATCTCTCGGTTCAGATTAAGCAGCAACCGCTCAGGTCTAGAAAAGGAACGGGCACTCGATGAGATCAGTTTTGATGATTGTATATAGGCCAATTCTAAACCAGGAACCTCCTTGACTCACAAATATTATAAGTTCGGCAATAGACAATTAAAGCTGGTTGACCATATTCTACACCTCCCAGATATCCTTTCCTTTCTCTCTTCCTTTGCAGGTATTGTTCAAATAATCTCTTCTTATAAAACAAACATCGCACGGGCCGTGCAGGAAGTTGTCAAGTTGATCCTTCTCCTCGCTCGGTCTTGACTCATAAATCTCCCTCAAGAAGCTGCAAGTCTGAGTCCATTCTGGCGATAACACGTTAAATAGGCATGGCTCAAGTGGGTCCCTGGCTCTAGGTTGTCTCCCAGCGGTTAATGAATTCAGATCTCTAGCTAGACCCAACAGCATATCCTTCAAGATGAATATCTGAATTGTAGGCATTCGTGTGACTTCCTCATGTAGCGAGCGGAGAAACTCGTCTTTTGTCACTTCGGCCTCGGGATTCTGGCGATACGTATATTCGATGAGATTCAGGAAGAACCAACTCTTCCGGATACGAGTGACCTCATGGCGAAAGAGCACTAGACCTGTATCAGCAGTCGGGAAATGAATTTCACATGGCGGGAGGTCCTGTGGTAGACGAGTAGGATCACCGAGGTGGATCGGGGCACGACACTTGAAATGAGATGCTGCAGAGTTAACGACAAGATCCGCTTTACGGGCGATAGCAAGGAGACCCTGGGGCGTGTCTTCTTTCTGTAATTGAGCTTCACAGTCCGAGCTTTGAATTAGTGTAATGTCCTTTGAGCAGAGGGCATTCATACCCAGCCTTCGTGCGTCATCGTAGCATTCAATCTGACTTTGAAGCACAGAATCGAGAATGATTTGGTAGTGAGACATGTATGATTGATGGAGAAGATGACAGGTCTTGTGGAAGCGAACTACGTCTGGGCCACAATCTTAATTAGAACCAGCTGGAGCTCTGCTTGAAGAATTCGATGGTTTTGAGGGAGAGGACATGCATGACTTTTTCATATCCTGTACATGAGGGTAATGGTGCCATAAATCAAAGTCATCAATCACCGTGCATGACGCCCTTGCAGTACATTTGACCAAGCTTTCAACTCACCTGCCACGGAATCTAAAGCAAGAAAACAGAGGACGAGAAGCTCTTGAGGCAATGAGAGTATTGTGGCCGGCATCGTTTTGATGGCAAAGGCTCAGAAAAATGAAAGCTGTAGGTTTCCTTGAGAGTCAGGCTACTGTTCGGTTGCCAAAAAAATCTATTGAGCACTATTGGGGCGTCTCCTGCAGCATAGAAATCGATGATGTTGATTCTATCTCGACGAAATCTGTAGAAAGAGAGTTCATCGGAGATTACATGGCAGAATCTGCCGACAGAAATCAACCAATCGGAGCGCTTGTACATTCGACATATTCTAATATCACTGATGGAGTAGAAGGCAGTGTATGGATCGGGGTCTACTTTTGCGTGGTGGGCGTAAGGTTAGGGGGATGGAGTATCCGAGTTATATGTATGATGATCATGCTGCGAGGGAGAGAGAGGAGTCGTCCCTCCACTTGATCAATTGAATGAAGACAGACATCAAAAATGTAAGGCCGCCTCGTAGATGGGTCCTCCGCGCACCATATCATCCACACGCTGCCTCTGGCCCAGCATCACACGTGCTAGACCAATTTTTCTACGGTGCGGCAGCAGCAGACTCAGCATCTCCGTCAACGCCCCACCTGCAATCTGTTGCGGAAGAATCTTGAAAGGGTTTAATTTGAAATCGTGCATGACCCATGCATATTCTATGAATAAGAAGCCCCTTCTAAACATCACAGCAGGGGCCAGAGTGGTGCACTATGTTCCCAGCATAAAACTGTAGAATTTTCGTCCAAATTGACAGATGTTTGAATCATCAGTCGAGGTGTGATATGCTGGAGTGCTCCATTATACTGTAAAATTGTGGTTGGACTTTTACCGATTAGGAATGAGTAAAGCTGTGTGGGATTTAGGGAATTTCAAGTAGGATTTCGATGGATTTTTCCATAGATACGAAGGACCCCCGGGGCACGAGAAGAAGAATAAGGGCTTTTGAAATAGTATTCTGATTGGGGTGGCGCCTAGATTGGGACGAGGCTTAGGTCAGGACGACGCCCTGATTGGGACAACGCCAGGGTTAGAAGCGTCCTAACTAAGCAATTGACAATCCACATGAAGAAACCTCCATTCAGCCAACGTACGCTTTGGCTACCACTTTGGCTACCAACTCGTGCCCCAAGCACCTCTGAGCTGAAGTACAGCCACTGTGCTTTGCAGATACACTCAAAAACCTGGGCTTTATGTTCCAGCAAGCACAGAAGTCCCCCAGCTTCATAGGATGTCCGGGATACCAATACTCTTCTGACAGCAGCTCGGTATACTTTTCACCGTCCTTCCAGCCCAGTGCGCACAGATCCGTATTGCTGATTGCCTGAGATGACGATTAATCCATGAGATAAAAGTATGGGCAGAGATCCTCGAAAGGGACCATTTCCAAACAACTATCATATAGCTGTCATGGCTCCCAGCCAAGGATCTCGATATACTCTCGTTCACTCATATATCTTGCTGGATGCACTGGATACGCGTGGCGTACATCGGTCTGTAGTGGTAATCCGTCATCGTTTGTCTTCCCTGACAGGATGGAACAGTAGAGATACGCCAGTCACGTCCAGCTGCCGATGGTCAGATAAGTGATTGCAGATATTGGTCTCCGGAGGAGCCAAATATATCAGCTGATGATGAGTGTCAAGAATATTGGAACTGCTTGAGAGGGCCTGAAAGCATGAATTTCTTACCTGGTATACCAACAACCGCGGTTCCATTAGTTACCAGAGGACGTCCAGGTACGACCATGACTGACCTAAACGCCTCGTCAAATCAGCAAGAGACTCGTGGTAGAGACATTGATGTCAATAAGGAAGTCTGTGGCTGGCCATTAACTGGCCACCGCGTTTGTTGACGGACAGACCTGGTACTGTGTTCTGCTTCATGAGACACAAACTGTGAGCTCTTCGAATATTGGTTCGATCTTGAATCCGGTGCATCGTGTTAGAGGATGTAGCAAATAGCGTACGGAGATACCAATTGAATTGATTGAGTTACTCCTATCAAGAGGAGCATTTGCTCACACTAATAGCTATAGAAGCGCATTACTGCAACAGCTCAGAAACAGCATTTGGCGTTCAATTCGTATAGCAATGCTCACTGCCATAAATAACAGGGCGTAAAAGTTACAAGAGCGTTTCGTGCGTTTCGCATGCGGGGACCCCTGTATCATCCTGCTAATACGTAACAGATACGTATCGTATGCGCAGGGATTCTGACACATCGAATGATTGTTGCTGTTCTGGACTCACCAGAGCCGAGTTCGTTCACTTCCGGTTACTATGAGCTTCAGTCGCCCAGAAGGGGCTCACAGCTTCACCGCTCACATACATCTATTGTGTCTGAGGGTGCTCCTGCTGCTTCAGCTCCCAATGTTACCTGCACTGCGGGTTCGTAATGGATTTACCTTTGGCTGTAAGATATCTGGATGCGAGGGGGATGATGTCAACAACAAACTTTAAAAGACGTACGCAGGAGCAGTGTGAGCAGGATAATGCCTAGCCCTTGGATCAATATGAAATGCAAATTCAGTGCGCTCTTTGGTACACGGTTTGCTATAATCAGGCCAACAGCCTCTTTGCAAATGTTCTCATTGAGACCCTGAAACTTGCCACTCGTTCTGACCTAGAGAACAATGATTGTGTCCCAAATATGGAAGCAGGCGGGGTGAAAGGTACCACTGCTACTTCCACCGTCGATTATGTCTGTTAGTTAAACTGATGTTTGATGTTTGATTTGGACCATTGAACAAGATGTGCTCTTCCAGATCTAGGAACAAAGTTTCTCCACCCGTGAAACCGCTGGAACAATGTCTGGTTACGGTTTAATCCATTTCCTCGTGAATTACGGAGTATGAAGCTTTTTCCAAGAAGAGATGAACACATTTCCTGTAGACGTAGTTACGCTATTAGGAAAAGCTGCATCTTCAAGATGGCATCCTGTTCTTCATCGCCAATAGTCGGGACATTAAGAGTGTATTTCACAAGTACTGTCCAACTTTCAGCGACGTTTTCTAGATATCCTAACCAACATTTATGCAACCAGAACAGACCTGGATATGTCTTCATGATTGGACAAAGTGCTTGTTCATGTACTTCCTAAGCTCGCACCAGTAAGAGATGAGGTTTCAGCCTCGTTCAGCTGAGACCCGGGACTTTTAGCCCCACCCATTTACTAAAATTCTTGCCACCGATATTCACCGAGCCACGCAACTCCCAGCTTCTCCCAACTTACAAGTCGTGACCATGGCCTGCATATACACATGAGGGGAAGGCGGTGCCATACCATCTTTAAGGATGTCTGGCGTCTCTTCAGATCCCTCTTCTCATCGAGTTTGGTCCGGCGTGATTAATGCAGTGGGCAGCACTGTGATTCAGGGTGATACCACTGCCGGAAGGGATGTTATCAATCTGAGTAAGCTCCTTCCGCATGGGATTCTTATTACGGTTCTCTTCCGTATATCGAGCGGGTGCAATCTCTCTGCAAGTAAAGAATCACTGACTGATCATGTCCATTAGCATTGAACTCCTTTTTGCCTAGTGCTGAGGCCTTCTATAACCTTTGCCAATCCTCGGATGACGCTTTTAAGGACGTCGCCGGAGAATTGAAAGACCTACTATCTGGGTTTGAACAAGCAGAAGGCTTCCTCAATAATGGCCACTTGGACCAAGCTCAGCAGGACGTCCTTGCAAGGCACCTGTCCCAGAGTCGCAAGATTGTTGAAGGTCTGCAGCAGTTGAAATCTGGCTTGGACGCATCGAACATGCTTCCTACAGAACTAGTGAATCGAGGCTTGTTGCAACGGCTTGCAGAATTGATGAACAAACTTAGACCGCGAGTGGCTAGTATCAACTACTTTAACACAACAATGTACGCAATCACAGAATCTGCTCATCCTTCTAATGATCTGATCTCTTTCTTAGTTCATCTCAGGCTCACCTGGGACAATTGATACGCCGGACGATCGAAGAGCATTTCCCAGTCGATGACCAACAGTCAGTGCACACTTTCTGGACTGCACAATCACAAACAAGTGAAGAGATGGAGTCTTGGCGTCAGCTGCGGAAAAAGCTTCGGGATCTGTGCTCAGGTGATCCGTCACAACTCAAAACCAACCAGACCCGTGTTCTGATGATCTTACGCCAATACTATTCGGGTGATGTATTGACTGATTCTTTCTTCCAAGATGAAATTGAAGGTATCGAGGATTCTGATGAGGACAACTTGACATCAAGAGATGCGAGTCCGTGTCGTGATGGATTGCATGACGTACGCGAAGACGATAATCTCAAGCAGGGTACTCTAACACCTTCCTGGGAATTAAGGAACAAGATGTTTATAGATTGGCAGACAATTGCACGACCTTGGCTGCACATGCCAGCCCGCTAGCGCCTTACGAAGGCGAAGAGCTGGATTGGATTACAATGCTCAACTATAAAATCAAGTCTTGGTCAACATTCGTAAAGGTAGCTATATTGGGGAAAGGATATAATGACGCCCTTGTGTTTCTCATCGAATACAACGTTAGAGGCAAGGGCAAAGAGTTTCTGGATCAACTTGACAGTGAATTGCGAGATACACTTGGAAGCTTGGACATACCACTCTCCAAACCCAAGACCAGTCGCAGTTACACGGATGGACCTATTTGTCTCTGCCGAGCTGGACCCGTGATCGCTACAATAAACCAAGAGAAGGGGTTATTGAAGACGTACATTATCCCGTCGGCGTATCAGCGTGGCTATGTGACACCTTTAACAGCAAGAGAGAAGCTGATTTCAGCCATGCCTGATATCATGTCCAGCCATTGCAAATCTTCATCACTGGGGTTAATAGGGCTATCCTTGGTGAAGGCGATTGCTGACTGGGGATTTTCGAAGGCTTACCCAGGCCGTTGGCATGAAATTCGCCTTATGGACGAAAGAAAGGGTAAGAAAGAGGCCAACAAGGCTGGGTTTCTTTATCTGGGCCATGCTCCAAACGCAGTTAGCTGCATAAGTGATTGCTCTTTTTGTCGAACTTTTGGCGAGGAGATCATGGCAGAGATAGAGGCTCAAAAAGTAGCTCAGCTTTGGGACAAGCTAGTGAACCAGAGAATCAGAGATGACGCCTCTAACGAGAGATTGGTTTACACAGCGGGAAAATGGTGGATTAAGGACTTAAAACCGAGTAGGGATTCAGTGATGGATGGCTGTCTCCACGCAAACTCCAGCGCTCAAAAATAATGTCAGCGAACCGACCTGGGTATCTATCTGGCAAGCCTCTCCCCGTCCAACCTATCAGATACTTGCATACTCGATCCCACAAACGGCCGTCTCAACGATGCCACGCTGTACGGAACAAAAAGAGCCAAAAGCCGGAGAGAAGGAAACAGGGCCCCTCAAGCAGCCATACCCGTCTCGATCTTCTTCCCTTTCACACTCTTCCACTCCAGACTTGCCGCCCCGATCCCCGTCAAACAAGCCATGGCCACACTGACATACCACGTTTGAGTCAACGCGCGATTATACGCCACCAACACACCGGGCAGATACTCGGGCGGAATGGCCGTCTTCAGCGTCGTGGCGCCCAACCTCAGAATCGCAGAGGGATCGAACCCTCTCGCCTCCTGCAGCAAGCCCGACATCAGGCGATTCTGAAAAACATTCTGGCCCACGCTGACGAAGAGGGCTCCGCCGAACGTCTGTGTGAACATAATCAGCGCGGTACCGACGGGTATGTCCGCGATGGGAAGCACAGTCTGAACTGCGATTAAAGGTTGTTGCATGGCCAGTCCGACGCCGAAGCCGTAGATGATTTGGTAGCCGATCCATTTCGAGGAGGAAGTGTTGACGGTGAAGGTGGTCAAGAGCCCCGCGCCGATGGATTGGAGGATGGTGGATACGATGAAGAAAGGCGTGTAGTAGCCTACTGCTGTTACGCCGGCGCCGCCGAGAATGGACATTAAGACCAAGGCAAGGACGAGGGGGAGACACATGATTCCGGAGGTAGTGGCGGAGACAGATTTGATGGCTTGGAACCAGATGGGAAGGTAGAATCTGGAAGGAAAAAGGGAATGTTAGTAAAAAAGTATTTGAATGGTAAGAGGACAGATGGCGAGTGTGGGAGGGAGGGAGGAGACTTACATGAAAATGAAGAAAGCGGCACCAAGGCAGGTTGCGAACCAAGCCGATGCAGCCATTGTCCTCTGCTTCATGATGCGAGGCGGAATGGTGGCATTATCTCCTTTCCAGAATTGAATACCGATAAAGACGGCGGTTAGGATGCCGAACAGAACAAATAGAGCGATGATTCGTGCATTTGACCACGGGTACATGGTGCCGCCCCATTGCAGGGCAAGCAGACAGCAGACAATGGCTGGAATGAAGACGGCTGTTCCGATAGGATCCATCGATTCGAGCTTCTCTCTCCAGGTCTTTTCGGACTGGGTCTTGCGGTTGGGGGATTTGAAGAAGAGGCCGATGACAACGATGGTAATTGCTCCAATGGGCAAGTTGATGTAGAAGCACCACCTCCAGCTGACGTGGTCGGTGAAAGCTCCTCCCAGGAGCGGTCCCGCCACCGACGCAATGCCGTACATGGCCCCAATGATGCCAGTGTAGATGGGTCGTTTGATCAGGGGTACGGTGTAGGCGATGATGATCAAGGCTCCGGTAAAGATACCGGCAGCACCCACACCAGCAACGGCACGTCCGATGATCAAGGCGACGGAGCTTGGGGCAGCACCGCAGATGACCGAGCCGACCTCGAAGATGAAGATAGCGATCAGGTATCCCCATTTGAGAGAGAAAAAGGTGTAGAGCTTTCCCCAAAGTAGAGTGAATGCACAACTAGTCAAAAGATATGAGCTCCCGTACCATCCCACGTCGTCAAGCGCTTTAAAAACGTCTGTGATTCGCGGTATGGCGGTTGCGATGATCGTGTTGTCCTAACTTTGAGTCAATCTGTTATCCCATCCCAGTTTCAAAAATGCTGTACATACCAGTGCCATGAGGAAGACCGACAGGCAGAGAGCAAAAGTGATGAAGGCCAATTTTGCGCCTGTCGGATAGATGATCTCTTCCTCCTCATCTACTTCATCCAGCGCTTTGGCTTCATCTGATCCTGTAGGTTCCATGTTTCGTTTCGAGTTTGCTGAGCTGAGCGATCTTGAGTCTGGAGAGACTTCCTTTTCCTTTTCTTGGGATAGCTCCGAGATGGAGACATTCTCGCTCGGCGCGACAGGGGTAGCTTCTGACTTCGCCAGTGAAGGATCTGCCGCCTCTGCGGGTTTGCTCTTTTTGAAAAGCATGTTGGGAGGGTGCGGTCTGGAGGAAATTGAAAACGTCAATCGGTTACAGGTTGCTGCGGTTCAGCAGCACAGATACTCAGATGCCTAGGTAGAGAAGATTGTGTTTGGCAACGGATGGATGGAACACTTCTAGTATGCAAGCGTAACAAAGAACGTAAAGATAGTCTACGAAGCGAAATTATAGATTATCAAAAGGTATCTTGGAATTTCCACCACGGAGAATTACTAAAGAAATGTGAAAGGAGCGAAGTGGAAGCTTTACATATGACATGCAGACAGACTTCTGGAAAGTCTAAAAGAACGATGTGATGAGGGCATGATTGCCAAGGGTCCGTTGACTTTGGACGGGGATCTTGGTTTTTCTTGAACAGGAAGACTTTAACGATGGACCAAGCGGAAAGACGTTGTGCCGGGTCACCGACCCCTTTGATGACAAGCCTCCCACCCATACCCACATTCCAGGCAACAATCTTTGTTTACCAATCATTGCTCCCGGAGAGGAGATGAGGACACGGATGGGGATAGCTACCATGCACACGGAAGTATGGTTGCAGCGTTTAACTCTCGACAGTCCTGACTATTGTGCATACTGGCATGCTCTAGCCTGAAAGATCAGACTGCCAGTACTTTTGGCACTCTTTCTTCGGCCAAATCATATGCAATACTCGATTTGTGCAATAGGTCATTATGCTGTATTTGTGCACATCATCAGCCCTATGGCAGCCGGAACAAAGCCAAGTGGCCACAGAAGAGGACACATCAACCACTCCATCAAAAGGACAGCGCTTGTGGTTTCGAACCACCCTTCGCAGTAGTTAGTTGATGTATCCTTGCTTACTTCCGTTTAAAATATTGATTTTGGGAAAACACGGTAGCTTGGTAGCTGGCTTACTCGATCGGGCAATTAGCTGCAAACGGCTCAAGCTTTCAAGAGATGACAGCATACGTAGTACGACATGTGCTCGAGCAACCTTGACTTCTTACCGGAGTGACCCATACCTGGTGCTTCTGCTAATAAGTATCATTGGTTTCCACGTTGCCAAAATATCACGAGTACGAGTAGGATCACATGGTTCTTTGCTCGCTTGAGGGTGGAATACACGTTCAGCCGAAGGGATATTAGCCTGAACCCAATCGGATGAATTTCGTCCCGCAGCTGGGGGAGTGTTCCCGAGTGACCCATTGCCGAGACGCCGACCAAGTTGCAAGGGTAATTTGACCCTTGACCATTTATCAAGGACAACTAGTGCATTTGTGCCAGTTGTGCAGTACTGCTACTGCGCTTGGGTGAATAGGCAGTACGGAGTACAGCCGTTGTTATTGCCCTGAATGAAGGATGCAGAAGAACCAAGCTTCTACAAGCTTCCTCTGCTAGCTTTTGCCCCAAGTAATGACTACCGAATGATATCAAAGTGCATTCCATGTTCGAACTGCCAGACCTTCCCATTACCATAGCTCTTATTCAACCTGGTTTTTTTTTTCACATAAACATCTTAGCCACCTTCAACAGCCCCCCCAGATTCTCTCCAATTCCTCCTCCCATGCCCGGCAGATTCGACCCACTTCCAAAATCCCTCGCTCCGCCCCTGGCATAGTATCTTTCGCTCTGAAAGCCGCCCATACCTCCTCTCCTTCGACCACCGACCAGTTCCTCCAGACCCCGTGGCAACCTCACACCAAATTGCGCAAGTATCTTTGTCAGGACCCCACCAGTAAGCAAAGGCATAATGACGAGAACGAAGACCTTCAACGGGTGCCGGCGCATATAGTAATATAAGTCGCGGATGAAACGGCGGAGACGGCTCATGAGCCGGTTGGAGTAGTTGCTTCTTGGTTGAGCGCGAGAAGAGGAGTAATATCTTTTGGATGAGGTGGAATGGTGAGAGGCGGTGGAAGTGTTGGGGAGACCGAAAAAGGAGGAGGAGGATCGTGCGTATACGGGCTTCGAGGCATAGTGTTTAGATGATGAAGAATGGCGCCGGTCGCGGGAGCGAGAACGAGAGCGTGATCGAGGCCGGGACGAGAAGCCATCGTTCCAGAAGCCCATCTCGAAAGGTAGAGCGGTTTTGGGTGTATGATGCTGTACAACGTCCTCCTCAAGAATATGGTTTCCGTAGGATGTAGAGTGGGCTGAGGGGCTCGCCCTGATACCGAGATCCTGTACGCAAAATAGATCTGCCGTTAAGATATAGTGTAGTAGGAGTTGAGAGATCCAAGCTCTGCAATGAGTCTTCTCACTCCGCAGCCTAAGTGAGTTACAACTGGCGGGGTTGACACGGGGCGCAGGTTATGATGGAAGTAGCCAAGTCAACGTCTGCAACCAACAATACTTGTTGGTTGACTTGAAGAAAGGATTGACCGCTCTGGATAAACTGTGGGCTGGGAAAGGTACTATTAACTAACTTAATTGGTCTAGAACCGCAACGGGTCCAGAAGTGCAACACTCGAGATTTAATCAGAGTAATTGAACTTCTGATTTCCTGCATGAGCCTTGAATCCTTACATACTTGAATGATTATTTTTGTAAAATGACTTTAGGATGAGTCTCTTTCCATCTTCTGGATTATAAAATATCTACTTTAGGAATAAATGAGTAGGAGAGATGTCTAGAAAGCTTTAACTAGAGAGAGGAACTTTGGTTAAGGTTTCCAGGGCCTGTGCGGATGGTCTTACACTTCTGGGCCACTCACATTACTAAACATTTATCGAGTAACTTAGCGTGGAACCCCTACAGATCCAAAAGTGCTTACTACGTATCTTTTTCCAGTTTAGTTCCAAGTGTCAGGTAGAAGCCAGGGTGGCTGATTGATGTCATCTCGAGGCTGCCTCTCAATTGGTGCCTGTACTCCCTCCAGGTGTCCAGCACTCACTCTTCTCTGTATCCATACAATCCCTCTATCCTGTACATTACTGCTTCCGTTGGTGCACAACCCGTGTCTTAAATTTAACAAGCACTTACATCCAAGACTGCACACTATCTGGACCCTCGCTTGCCATTGAAGTTTCCCATCCGGTTTCCAGGCTACCACAACCCCAGTCCTCCCCTCCCTCCCTACCTTATTTTCCTACTCCAAGATGGCATCCAACCCCCCAGACTACTACGCCATCCTCTCCATCCCCTCAACCGCAACGGCCCAACAGATCCGCGACGCCTACAAAAAAGCCGCTCTAAAATCGCACCCTGACCGCGTCCCCTCCGACTCCCCCGAGCGGCCTGCCCGGACCAAGAAGTTCCAGCAGATCAACGACGCCTACTACACTCTCTCCGACCCAACTCGACGACGAGACTACGACGCCGCACGAACATTCCACTTCAGCAACAGCAACAGCGACGGC